GCACACACGCGCCTTATCAGGCGAGTCCATCCTCTGCTCCTCCATCACCGTCTGGTACGCTGCAGCCACAGCCAAGGACAAGGGCAGGCTGCAGCGTGTCATCCGCTCTGCAGAGAGGGTGATCGGCTGCAATCTGCCGTCCCTGGAGGACTTGTTCGCTTCCAGGTCTCTGAAGCGAGCTAAAAAGATCGCGGCCGACCCCTCCCACCCCGGACATAAACTGTTTGTGCCCCTTCCATCTGGCAGGAGGCTGAGGTCCATCAGGACTACGACCTCCCGCCACACGAACAGTTTCTTCCCGTCGGCAGTCGGGCTCATCAACAGAGCCCGGTCCCCCACTGACTGACTATAACATTCCACCGGTCACTCCCCCTCACACTGCACATGCCACTTTAACTGCAATTCATCACTTTGTCACTTGTCACTTTGTCTCTTGTCTGTTACTTGTTTGTTAGTGCACTTTATGCTTAATACTTTTCTTTTTAACTTTTTAATATTTAAAATTTGTTTAACTTTATTCCCTTGTTTTTTTACTAACCCATAGCCTTAGCCTTATTCTTACTAACCCATTGCATTAGCATTTCATTCCACCTTATTTTATTACCTGTGCACTGTTGTCTTGTCTGTCTACTGTCGCGCACTAACCGCCAAGACAAATTCCTTGTATGTTTGACATATTTTGGCCAATAAATGTTTCCTGATTCCTGATTCCTGATTCCTGATTCCTGAGAATGATTGCTTTTGATGTACTCGCTTACGGTTAAAAGCTAAATCTTTTGAATGACAAGAGAATCAGTAATTCATGGATGTATTTTGGCCTTCTTATATATTAACTTAACACTCAATCAGACTAACCTCCATCTCAGAGAATATCCTTCTTCACTGCCTACTTTCACAATGAGTTCCACTAAGTTAGAACGAGTAATGAAGTACAAAGTTGTGTGTGTTAACTAGTTATGAAAGACTCATCGTGCATATTGTCACGTTGACAGTTCTCATAAAAGACGGATTGGGGATTGATCCATGGAAAGAAAAGTTCTCTTCTGTCAACCTTCTCCATTCCTGCATCCCTGTACCTAAAGCACAGACCAATCAGAGCATGAGGGAAACACATTAATAAATAAAAGAACATACTTTATTCCCTGCTGTTCTGAATTAATAATGAGCCTACAAACGACCAATTAAACACATGATGAATGCCATAATCTATATAATTGCAGGCAATAAGTCATTGTGAGCTAATGATAGCAATACTTAATATCGATTCACATGGGGTGTCTTTGTACAGTTGTGCTTAATTCTTTCTATGAAGTGCCCCTTTTTAGAACAGCTAAAAATGCTATTAATAAGAGTCCATTTATTTATTTTCCTCAGGCAAAACATTGAGGAACAGGAATCTGTAGAAGCCACACATTTGTTTTTATAATTTTAGGTTATGGCATCTCAGAGGCAGCTATTTACTTTCAATGATAACCATGCGAAGCAGTTATAAGCAATAAGTTATGAAACACATGGCGCTTGTAAGCGCTGTGTTGAAAATGAAAAAAAAATAAAAGAAGCTCCTCTTAGAAACTAGATTTTTGTGGCATCGCTTACGTGATGCAAAACAGTTTTTTTTGGACTACATTTGAACAACATTTGCATTTTTTGTAAATGGCACTGTGTTTTTTATATCTTCATTATAAAGCACCACCATTTTATTACGAAAGTGAATCTATATGAGCCTTCTAAATAAACAAATGCCTCAGTGCCCAAAGAGATTTTGATAGATCATATAAGTTACAACACTTCAGAACTATTTAATTTTAAATTGACAAAAAAGCACACTTTCTGTGTGTTCTCCAGTTTCTGTGGTTTGAGTGAGGGAGTAAGCTCTCAGAGCGCCTGTCTCACAGGGAGAGCGATGCAGAGGATGAATGATGGCGTATTAAACATTAAGGATGAAGAAGTAGCACAGCAATTATTTCTGTTCATATTTCACTGAAAACACTTGGATTCATCAATCCATCTTTTCATTTATCCCACTCCTTCTCCCTATTCTCCTTCACCCCATTTGAAAAAGTGTAATTCCGTGGCCCTTTCCCTTCTTCGTCAAACGCTTTCTCTCTTAGACTCTTTGTAATGTGTTGTGGTTTTTTTTCCCTTTTTAAACACACATGTTCGCATGAAACAGCCCCCGAGCTCTGATTTAAAGTTAGTTTGTCACACTTTTCACTGCATGTGCACCTCAGCATGGAAATGAGTGTGGACACACAAATGTGTTTATAAGGAATGTAACTCATATTATTCATGTATACTTGTTGTGTAGAATCAAACTGAATTAGGAAAAAGAAGGTGATAACATTGATAAAATACATAGTAGGGCCGACATGCATAACAAGTTTGGCACCACTCAAGACTTTTTTTTCTAATCGATCTGTATTGGCAAAAGGATGCTGATCCATTTCTGTTATTTTAAAACACAGCCTTGCAATACACCTAAGCGCTTAATGTACTATTACTTTTGAGTACATGTGTTGCTAGAATGACGGTTACAAAGTGAGCGGGGGAAAGAGAACACGAGAGAGTGAGAGAGAGAGAGAGAGAGAAAGAAAGATAAAGAGGGAAACTCCCCCAGTAGTGGTTTTGGCGAAATACACAGGGTTTCCCAGTGTCTCACTGGGGGGACGAGGCAATTTCACACACGCGTGCTGGTTGCTTACACTGGCACAGGGGGCTGGTACAGTATTACAGCACATTACCATCTCTATTTGGCATTGTTTGCTGTGGCTCATGCCTACACATACAAACACACATGCTTGTACGCACACAATTCCTGAACCACAGGCACCATGGGAATAGTTTATTGGCTACTGGCAAAGCTGATGCCTGGTCCGAGTCCAAGACGGAGCTGCGAAGGGGCAATGCCACTGAAAATCAGTCACTCGACTCCTACGCGAGAGCGTAAAAATCAGATACGCCTCTGACGGTTTCATTATTTCTATTTCAGAGATGGATCGGTATGTCTTATGATTCCAACCTATACTGGCATTTCCTTTTTGTCTCTCACAAATCAGATGTTCATGACACCACCATGTTTGTGTGCATGTCTACAATATTAAACCACTTACACACTCTATTTTGAGTGCTTTGTTAGAGTACTGTGTCTCTATAAGTTAAGTTCTTGTTATGTGTGTTTCATGAGAGCCTAAGTTGGCTTGTCTGGCTCCTTTATCTGAGTTTGCTTATGCACTTGTTGTGTGAGGGAAAGGGCACGATAGAGGCTGGTGGGAATCAGGTGTAACAAACTTCAATTGTTTGATGGCTTTCAGAAAGCGGCATGACAAAAATCAAAAGGAGAGGGGGAGGAGAAAAGAAGAAATGGAGAGAGCGCGAGATGAAAAAGGGTAAGGAGCACAGAGAACAATTTGGAATGTGAGAAAACAGGGGAGAAGGTAAGGAACTAACATGAGAGAATGTTGAAGAGCAGAGAAAAAGTGGCGAAAAAGTGAGGCATTTGATTATGTGCGAGAATCTTACCAGTCGCAGTGTAATTTCTGGGCCCATCGATGTGCGTACATATGGTTCCTACACCGGTCTGGTTCAGGCGGTACTGTTGTATGTTTCCGTTGGGACGAGTGGGTTCAGACCAGCTCACATGGAGGGAGAAAGGACTTAAAGCTGTTACCTCTGGAGGCTGCACGTCCTCTGGGACTCCTTGGGCTGTCACTGCCACCACCTGAACACACACAAGGACAGTCATACAAGAGTTTAACTATAACATATGACACATTTCTGATATTTTACACAATGTAAAAGGTGGGGATAACAGATGGATTCCTGCTTTGACCATTTATGAGCGTAATTAACACGATCACAAGGCAGTAAAAAACTTCCAAATTCAGGAATTCTCTTTCTAATGTAGTAAAAACCTTGTTTATGACATAGAAAGACATTTGCTGGTAATTAAATGTATTTCCCAAAAAATAAAAAAAGGAAAAATCTGGATAAGAAGACTTTTTTTTATTGTTTGTTATAACCTGCTGCCAAATGCACCCAAAGCAGGGAACAACACCTCCCCCCCCCCCAACAAACACAGCTTTTTATTAAATTGCTGAATCACCATCTTATTTTAAATTCTTTGTGGATCATCGGTGGACCCCTGTGAATGCTGGGTGAATGTGGAGACCACAGAATCACAGGGCAATCTGCTGCTAATGGCAACAGGGATATCCTGCCTTAATAGACTGTCACTAGCATTTCCCCCACCTGTCCAACACAGTGCTGTGCAATTAGAAGACTGCTACTACAACTAAGGAGACACACAACCATGGGCACATATATAAACACGCACACACACACACACACACACACACACACACACACACACACACACACACACACACACACACGCAAAATACAAAGTGGAGGAGGCGTGTTGGGAGAACCGGAAACGAGGGGGAGGAGGAGATTAGGGAGATGCCGAGGAAATGCCTCCCTCTGCTGTTAAACTCAGATTTCACTCAAGTCTAAAGAAAATAAACCACGTATTGTATGCAAGCGTACCCTAAATGTCATGAACATACAGTTGATATGACTTGGATGGAGACCTTTACCCTGACTTTAGTTGAAATAAGTTGAGCAGCACATTGATACAGATAAATGAAATACATTTGGTAATCCTGGTTTCTTTTGAGGTGAATCTAACTCACTACATGCATCTCACAGTTATAATACCTGGTCCTAGGTAAAGATTTTTGATCTGGGCATGTTATAGTTTATTAATAGGGTAGATATGTAAACATGGAAAAGAATCATTAATAGCTCAGATAAATACATTTTACTCACGTGCAATAAAATATTGCATACATGGAAACTTGGATGGTCAAGGAAACATGGCATTATGATAGACATTAGGGAAAAAGAGAAGGGGGGTGGTTGGACACCAGATGACAGTTGTTGTAAAAGAGAAACTTAAAAAGAGACAAATGACAAAGAGAAACCAAAGAGTGCTGCGTTTGGATCAAGAAGATGACAGAAGACAAATCGCACAGTGAACAGGACAGAAGGATTCGAAGACACAGGAGGACCAATCGCTCTTCCTCTCTCTCTAAGTGACCAACCGTATTAGATCAGCACCTTCTGTTGTCACAGCAGGTGTGCATTTGTGTGTGCCCGTGTTTGTTTGTCCGTGCCTGTGTGTATATGTGCGGGGGCTGATGCCAGGTAATTGCAGTGGTGTATTAGGTTAGCCCAAGTTATCCCATAATTGGGACTGTTTGGCCAATTTTCACTGGTGTACAAACTAATCCAACTCACTTCCATTTCCACCCTCTGCTGGGAGTGTGTGTGCTTCTTTGTGTGAATGTGTGTAAGTCTGAGTGTGAGCGAGGTAGCAGAGAGACAGAGAAAGGGAGGAAGACGATTGAGCTTTGGGTCGATCCACGTATGGCCTTTGGGTTTGTGCATGTTCTTCTGCTCAGCTTTCGGCTAAGTGACCACAGGGTTCGGGTTGACGGGGAGTCGGGGGATCCAACATTATCACACCACTGTTGCAGAGTTTGCACCGGCTAAATTTGAGCTGCTGGAGGTCGGTTTCCAGGAGCTACTGCATTACTACTTTATCCGTGTCATTATTCTCTCAATCAATCATTTACTGGATACATTTATACATCAAAAGTCTAGTTTCAACCAACTATCTCCATCACATTCTCTCTTGTCTATCCACCCTCCAATAACACATCCACAGGTTTTGTATTTAAGTAAGAATTGACTAAAAATGATGGCATGTCAAATTAACTAAAAAAAAAATTTAAAAAAGCCAGAAAGACAGTTTTCAACATAAGCTTTCATCATCCCTAAGCCGGAGAAATTAATTGTTGTGGTGATATCAGCTCTGCTACAGCCACAGAGATAGTAGGGGGGAGTTATCACAAACATCAGGGAGGCTCAGCAAATCCAGAGCCTCACATGCAGGGAGAGAGCCGAAAGAAGGCTAAATGAAAACTTGTTCCGACATGGAACAACATCCCACACTGTACTTATTCAACAATAAAGGTCAGACAGTTTACAATTCGTAAAATATAACTTAAACAAGCTCAGTCTATCTTTAAAGCAGCCATTAAACCATCATATAGGGGAATGATGTACATGGAGGGCTACTAGAAACAGAACAGTTCTGTCGTTTTGATTTGAATGCTCCCAACAGCCTCCCAGCAGCCCGTGAACTTTAAAGTCCTAAGAAAGTTGCATGCTGTTGCATGCTGTGCATTATATTTGTGAGACGGGTAAGCATGAGGTTAGCAACATAATTACTGGAGTAGCAATGACAAAAAGACATATGTAGTCTTACCTGTGAGCTGTCGGTACAACCAGCCCGGTTACAGACCCTCAGCTGGTAAGTGTATTCCCTGAAAGGCCTGATCCCGCCTACATCAGTGAAACTGTTTTCCTCCCCACGGTAACGTTCTTGTCCATTCCGCAGTATAATGTAGTGGGTGATGTCACCTTGTAAAATGGAAAAGTAACTTTAAAATCAATGTCAGAAGTTTCACAATATTCCAAAGATGTGAGAGGTCCTGCGTTGTAGATAATCATGAACACTCCTCTACAATTTAGCCAATTTAACAGAACCACATGTACGAAAAGGGGGATTTTTATTGATACATTCATGCACGCATACACACACACCATTACGCCTGGCTGGAGCGTGCCACAGCAACTGGATGATGTCATCTCGTTCACCTACGCGACTCCAGCGAGGCGGTGCCACTCCCCACGGCTTGTCTTCACTGGTGGTCACTGTTGTGACATCACTGGAGCCTCGACCAAAGCTGTTCCAGCCCCTCACCCTGTACTCATAGGTGGTGAAGGGCTCCAGGTCAGAGTCTATTAGACAGCAAGTAAGGTAAGGATGACAGAAGAATTGGAGAAAGGAAGATAAAACAATAACATTAGGCCGGTTGCAAGAGAATAATCAATCAGTCTGTTAGATTGTCAATATATTGATTTGAGAAATCCATTACCAACACTGTAACAAGTACAAGTTATGAATACTGTGTAAACAGTAAAAACGACCGTTAATGCATCGGTTAATGCTTATGACGAGGAACAGTGATAAATATTAAGACGTGAGTAGCAAAATATTTCTGATGGATTTGGACCTTTTATTGGTTAGTTGTACTAATCTAAAGGGTGCAGGTTGTTTCCCGTTTGTACAACATTAGAGTTGTACTGCCAATGTAAACACACTTTATATGGACAAATACCAAATATATGCACAATCGCTGGTGAGTGGTTGTAAACGTCAGGCCATTACTGAAGCATTCTGGGAGACAGGTTGTGACAACCCTTATAGTGAGGTGAACATACAGAAGCATATATAAATACCGATGCCCTTCTACACGCTCACATGCACATATGCATTATTTTCAGGAGTGTTAAGGGACTTAAGCTGTAAATGAGACCATGTTTTTTACCGCCATTCTGGGACTCTTGTCTTTACTACTGTGATAACCGAAGCAGCAAAACACACACAGCGGCACACACATTTAAACAAAACACAAGAGGTGTTTTTATAGCTACAAGTCTAAAAAATTAATTTATCTTTTTGATTAAAAACTAATTCCCCAAAATATGAAATACAAATTGCATTTGCACACATGTAGTTATTTATATGGGACCCACCTTAGAATTTTTTCCCAGAGAACCATAGCATGGTACCCTGCTTGTGTGTGTGTGTGTGTGTGTGTGTGTGTGTGTGTGTGTGTGTGCATCTGTGCATGAGAAACATCTGGTGTATGGTGGGTGGCGACAGCTTTATGTGCCTCTGCCCAGATGGTGTCACAGCATTGCCTAGAAACTCTTATCCTAACCACCCCACGTGCCCCCCCTTTGCTCCCGCAGCACACACACGCACAGAACAAAAAACACATACACAAAACCACAAACACTGCAGAAGAACACTTCAATGGTAACTAACTGGACACTAACGCCCAAAGAAAAAACATGGAATTATTGTACAACCACCCATGCACATATATGACATCCACAACCATATCTACCCAGATATATAATGTGTGGACAGACTGAAAATCCTGACGCACAGGCCCACAAACACACACACAAATACACTCCTGCCACATCACAAACTCCCTTTAGGCTGATAAATAGTGGAGGATATTGAAATGCCATTTAAACGCCCATCTTTAAGTTTTAATGAGTCACAAGTGTACAGCTCAGACAGAGTTACCACGTTAACAGCTATCAACGTACACTCCAACAGCTGTCCTGGTGTGTGTGCATGTGTGTGTGAGCGTGTGGAAGGGCATCTGTCTCTAAAGCCCATTGATTGCAGCGGCTGACACATTTAAACGCTGAATTGGTTTCTCCAGGCTCAAAATTTCTATGAGTGCTGCGTTACACAGATGGCAGTATTCTGTTCTATTTGTTCTTCAAAGTGGCTTGTGGTCAGAAGCAGGGAGGCAAATGTACAATAAATGGTCAAATGGTTTTAAACCGTATTACATCAGGCAACCAGAGGCATGTTGAAAAAAGAAAAAAATATGTGATTAAAAACCATTTCTGTAATGGTACCGCTGCTGACTTAAATATTTGAACAACAGCTGGTGTTGTTATGGAGCAGTCTGAGAATACTACATATGGAACGTCACTCAGGTAACCAGGATTGTAGTTTGAATAAACCAGAATCCTGGTACCCAGGAGAGACGTTTGTGTAGATGCTCAGATCACACACTGCACATAACCAACTAAAACACAATGCATCGAAGAGCAGCGACTGGACATGTAGGCTAAAAATCACGGTTGATCCAATAAGCCGTTGGTTGGACTTGAAAAGGTACAGGAAGCATTGAGTGGTACAAAACATTTGGTTTTAAAGAGAGATAATGAAACAGGAACATTTTTAGAAAAAGTTCAAGCAAAACAAAGAAGTTTGGTCAGTTAAAGCGTGCTCTATTTTTACATATAAATTACCTGTAAAGGTGTATCTGTTGGCATCTCCGCTGTACACTACGTCCTCATGTGACGGGCACAGGCTTCCCTCGGATGGCAGTTTCTCAGTGTGTGTGTGACTGTATGTGTCTGCCATTTTGTATGTGTTATCACTTCCGCTTGTATTTGCAGACGGGTCCCTTCTGAGAGTTTCATGAGTGGTGTTACGGAAAGGTGAGTATGTCGTGGAGGGTTTATCACGGTGCGCAGACAGGACCCATGTGCAGGAGCTCGTAGATGGATCGAGGTCACACAAGCCACAGTAAGCTGTAGAAGCTGCAGCCACAGGACACACGGCCCCCTGCAAACACTGGTGCTGCACACAGAAGAAAGGGAGAGACAGTGAAAGATGGGGAAAATTCAACTATGAGGTTCAAAATATATGTTTTCTTTAATTGATTAGTCTCCATCATTACAACCAGCAGACATGATCTCAAAGTTTAGCGTTATATTTACAAATAGCGTCTCTAACACGTCCTACATGCAGAATGTTGCTTTGTTTGAGTTTGTGTGTCGTAAGCGTGGCCCTTAATGACATCATTAGAGCTAATGAGAGTTCCTACCCTTTGTCCCTGTGTGTGTGCGCGTGCCCCTGTTTGTGTATGTGTGTATGCCTGTTTCATGCTGACTTAGGAACACACAAACACCCCATGAACCCAGTTGATAAATGGAAGATGGCCCAATCGCCAACTCCTGATGTGACAACGCGTTTCTGAGGTGGAGAGAGATACCACCAACACCCAGTGGACGTGTAAAGGCCGTTCTGGTTTTTTTGACAAAGCTGCTGGCATTTGGGAAGCTTGAAAGTCACGTGATTTACACGTCAGATCCATAAGGTCATTTACATGTTTTATGTTCAATTGTAATGATTTTCTTTTGTAAATTTATGTCACCTGAAACAAAAAAATGATGGCAAAACAATGCTTGGTTATTTTGAAATGCCGATGCAAACGAACAGACTGCTACAAGATCAGCTGCTCTATAAAACAACAAAAACAAAAACTGGTGGAGGGGGAGGACATGTGGCACCACTGTACACGTGAAAAATAACAAAGACAATGACAAACGGATACTCGTTTGTCGAAAAAAGTTATTGAAAGTGTGCATCAGATCAGCCTCATCTATCATGTTCAGGGAAAAAACAACGTAGTACAAAAACTGAGGATTTCACCATCTTTGATTAGATATTAATTTACTAGTGGATAGACACAAACACAGAGACAAACCACACACATCCTCTCACATACCTGTATCAACAGGCCGGGTGTGGGTTCATCTGCACACACATGTCGTTGAGGGTCATAGCCAATGCCATTGCAGCATTCCTCCTCCTGATGTATGACCTTTGACCCACAGCACTGCAGTGTCACAGTGGCATTGCCAGCAGCGTGCAATGTGGGATATCCGTCATTACCCACACAGCACAGAGAGGTCGAAGAGTTTATGTACTCCGTACCACAGCAGGCAAAACCTAAAGATAGAAAACATCCATCGCATTATTGGATAGGAGAGCGTAAAGTTGGGATCGTACCGCAGAAGGAAATGAGATTTAATAAAACACCTTCCACTGCTCATTTACAGCCTACAAAAGACAAGAATGAGTATTAATTATCTGATGAATCACTTTGAAGACCTACCGTAGACCACACGTCTACCTAATATGTGGTTGAATCTACATTCACCCGTATCGGGTCTCACTTTAGTCATCACCTCTTGTTGTCCTCCTCTGCTTCTACATATTCAAGCAGGGAATCCTCAGATACTACTCAACCCATAATTATCTCCTCCCTCCACAACCTCTCCTCCTTCCTCAATCCACTTCCCAAACTCTTGTTTCCTTTTCTCCTCAACCTCTATTTTCCCATCTGCAAAGAAAAAGTATTTACGCTTCTCGGAATATTAGAGTGCATCTTCTCTTATCAACTCTCCGTATTCTCCTTTCCTCTTCTCCTTCCCTGTAGCCTCCTTTTCTCTTTCCTCTTCTGTATTCATCTCTTTGTACAGCTGTAATATTCAGGCTACGCTGTCAGAAGTGTGCAGGGGGAGAGGAAGTGTGGTTTTCTGAGAGCTGCCATCTCTGACAGTGATAGGTGATGTCTGCTACCACTTCACCTTCAGCAGCAAGGTGACATTTAAAATATATGCTATCACTCCATTCCCCTGTAAATGTTTTGCAGCTGAATATCAAATTTCAAGCCATGTTCCTCCACATTCTCCAGCGCTTCATATTTCAAATAACTTCAGTCACTTTGAATGACAAAATAGGCCAAAAAAAAGACTGAGACTTGCTCTTGGTGGAGCAAATAGCATTTTTGTCTACGCAAGAATAAATCTAATGTTCTACTTTATTCGGGTTATAAAAGCTGCTAATCAAGTCTTTGGCACACAATGTCACTTTTATTGAATCCCCATGAACTCCCTTGAATTTAGCACACATTTGACAGAATACACTCATTGAGCTCAAAGAATAGATCCATTTGTGGGTGCACCTTGAGACCGCTTGCACTGTTAAAAGCGGAAGCTAAGGTAACACGGCTGGAATCTGGGGATATTACACCCCGCGTTCTGCTTAACCGTGTTAAGCTGCACCCAACCAGCGGAACACAGGACAGGACCCAACACATTTTGGGTCTCACTTTTTAAAATACGGGATGTTTTTTTTGTGCTCTCTGGTGGCTCTTCTAATCTGGTTACTTTGGCGTATTAGCTTAGTTGAGGGGGAGGATTGTCCCTGCAATGGATTAGGACTATAATATTGTCCTGGTATAATACTGAACCCCCCCACTGTGTGAATACGTTGAAAATACAAATGAGCATGGCACCACACAGCTCAACGAAAACAGAACTGGGCTGATGGAAAAAGGACAAATTGTATAATAAGAGCTCTTTAGTTTGTGTTTTTTCTAAATAATCTAAATTTCATGTGGTATTTAGCAAATTCACCCTAACAACCGATGACATGATCTGTGGCGCTATCTGCCCCCAGCTGTGTTGCCCATTTTATTTGACAGCAGACATTAAACACTAAGTCATTGCATTGTACCATGGCCTTGCCCTTTAATGGGGCTGCAGCTAGTTGTGGAGTGATAAATAACTTATTGTTTAACAACCCAATCACCCTCACTCTTTGAGCACATGAATAGCTGCTCATTTAGGCAATCATTTCACTAAAAGGCCAGAAGTGGAGGATGGCACATATTTTTTCCTGTGCCGTTATATCCTCACCGCATCCATCACAGGAACCATGTGACATGGAAATGCATGTGTATGTGTGTGTGATTGTGTGACATAAAGGCAGTCTGACGGTAAGTAACTCACTTAGCAGCGGCAGCTGTTGCAGAGTGGGGGCTTGGTGGCCAATTCCCCCAGCGCCTTACTTCAGCTTCAATGACGTGCAAATAAACAGCTCAACACTTTTCCAAAATAGCTTCCTTCCACTCATCCCTCGTCCTCTTGCCGTCTTCACCTCTACTCCGTCGCATCAGGACGCCGAGCCCTCTGCCACTCACAATCTTTACTAATTTGTCTCAGATCCATCCACTACCAAGCAGTCACACTATCTTTCCGGGTATCGTTCAACGTGACTATCAGCATTCAGCATTCTTGATTCTCCCACTCTGTTTTACAAACTTCATCCCCTGTGAACTGAAGTTCAGCAGTTCACTCCTGCCGCTTCTCCACCGTCAATCAGTTCTTTCTCTGATCATTCTTTTTTTTGCTGGATCCTTTACTTCCATCAATACCTATGAATTTCCACAACTGCATTTGTCTGCCCTATGATGTCCTTCTACTGAACTACTTTTCCCATCACCCTATTATACCAGTTGTCCCCCTTTCTTTCTATTCCAACATTTCCCCATCTCATCTTTGTATCTTTATTTCGGCCTCCTCTTCCTCTGTACACTGCTATTGCTCTCGCTATCAGCCTCCATTCAGTTCATACGTCTATATTTGTTTATTCCTCAGCAGCTAAACTTCAGTACTGAATCATCACACATTTAGCAGAAATCTAATTCCAGTCTTTGTAAGCGTTATCTGTGTTTGGGTTTGTGTGACATGCTTGTACATTTGTGTTACCGTTTTGAAAGACACACCTACAATTTGCTCTTGCTCTCTGTAAGCTGTGTGCGTTTGTGCATGTGTATGCATGTGAGTGTATGTGTGGACATCACACACACCTCTTGTTTTCTCTCTCGCATTGCAGAATGCTTCAGCCCTAATCTTCAGATTTAAGTTGGATTTGCATACATTGGTTAATAGCATCGGGAGCACCGCGTCAACACAAGGTGCTTAGACAACGTGAATTATTATTAGGGTTTCACTCATTCCACTTAATGATAAGTCAATATTTAGCCCTGCCAATGAACTACTGATAAAAATGTGTGTTGTGGATTAGGGTTATCCGAGCTCTCTCGGAGACCAAAACCCCTCCACAACTTTAAACAAACCAAACACTTTTAAATACCTGAATATATTACAAGGGGTTTGGCACAAAGTGCAAAGCAATTGCACACATACAAAGTGTGTGTTCAGCACACACACCCACAGTCACATTGAAGAAGTGTTATAGACAGACTGGAGGCACACATCTGCACGTGCACGCTCATTCTTAGAATGGATAATGCACATAAAAGCTGATATAGTTATTTAACAACAAGATCATCAAATATTGACAAATTAAATTGGTACGGGCATATATGCAGGCCAATACGTTATAAAAAAGGCATAGTACATATCCTTACATAAAAATGAATAAATCAAAGATTCAGAATTCTCATAATAAAGGATCGTACTATACATACCCTTTTTGTTTAATGTTTATTGTGATTATCCTTTACATTGTTCCAATTTTCATGAATTTAAATGTTTGGTGTATTTTTATGGTATATATTTTATATATTATATATTGAATGTCAAATCAACTGTATTTTTGTTGAGTTTTTGTTTATAGTTGATACAAATAAAATGTATTGCTTTGAAATTCTAGTCTAGTGTGGTGGTCACACCTGCACCTAACTCAAAGAAAGGATCTCTATCACACAGGGTTGGTTGTTAAAAAAAACAGTAGGTTCACTTCTATTGGAACTCTCAATAAAGGTATCTCCCCTCATATATACAGTGTTGGGATCTATACACGCACGCACGCACGCACGCACGCACGCACGCACGCACACACACACACACACACACACACACACACACACACACACACACACACACACACACACACACACACACACACACACACACACACACACTCTGCATTAGGGATTGTTTTAGTGTTTGTGTGTGTGTGTGCGCACTTTGTGCTCCAGAGGGACCAGCCTATATGCCATGAAATTGTAGAGGATTGACTTTCTCACACAGTGCAGCGTTCCCATGTGGACACACATGTGTGGGGAAGCAAACAAACAAGCATGCACGCACACGTGCACACACTTACTTTTCCCAGCTGACTGGTTGTCCTCTTGTCTTTCTGACTTCTTTTTATTTCTTTTTTTATTCATCTCAACAGCATCAACAGCTGGGCCTGTGTCTGTGACGATGTATGTGCATCTGTGGCCGTATGAGTCTCAAGTGTATGTGTGTGCTTAGCTTAGGGAAATGCTTTGGTGGCAGTTATATTTTCACCACTCTACAGGGATTCACTAAAAACTGAGACACAGCAAGCAGCTGCTCATGTGTGTGTTTAAAATTGTCTGTGTGAGAAGATGGACTGAGATGAAGAAAGATCTTGTGATAAAGAAATGAACAACTAAGAGTTTGACAAATTGAAAAAGATACAAAAATCCAAAACGTCACATAGCGCCTTTCAATGTCTCCTCCCTCCATCAATAATAAAGATCTAAAGTGATTGAGCCAAATGGACGTGTTCAACACAAAGGACAAAAAATGTTATTATATTATATACAGAGTAACTAAAACAGTGTCCCTGATTGTATAACACAGTCATGCATTGGTAACTATGCAGTATTCTATTGAAACCCGCAGAAGTCACTTGTAGTAAAGTAAAACAAATGTCGAGGTCTCTTTGTGTGGGTGTTCTTAAGCATGTAACTTTACTCATTAGAAGAAGTTGTGAATTTTCATATTTTCAACTTGTAAACTTTTGATAAACCCACACTGTTAAACAGCAAAATAACACACACACATACACACACCAGATAGTCATCATCGATGTGCTCCCGACAGCTTCTGATTTTATTCTTGCCAGTCGTTAAGGTAAACCTAATAGAAAAGCCATCATCGTAAATAGATTAACAGAGAGAGAAATGTCTTTCTGCGCTCAGAGAGTACTCCATCTTCTAAAGCAGCCAGACGCTGCTGTTTGGAATGCACTACTGTTAGCCATTTGCTACCCATCATTGATGAGGGGCTTTTGGCAATGACAAACACACCCGGGGAAACAAATTGATGAGAATCTTTTGGCAGAGAGCAAAAGGACATGTTAAGGGTGTGACTCTCTGCATAAAGAAACATGTAAAAATGCAAACACATTGAGATACATATACGGACTCAGACGGCCACATATAGAAAGTGAGGCATGCTTGCACCAAAGTTTAAGTAACAAACCATGCACACTTGCTCACACTTATACACACAAACGCATCCACTCCCACAATTCCGCCAAGCTCGGAGTGAGCTAGCTTAACTACTGGGATAATTTCCCTCCAGCAAATGGTCACTGTGCCCTTGAAAAACATATTTGATTATTACTTTTTCTCCCCCTCCTCTTTTTTTCTTTTAGCATCATCACAGCCATTTTCATCACGCGCTCTGATGATGGCACGGCAAGGCGCGTTAAGATAACACCCCGGCACCGCCAGGCTTTTAACACTTAAACGGTGAAAAGGGATATTCAGATTTGTCCTTGAACGTTTGGATGGGCCTGCTGGGCTGAGGCAGAGGGAGGGAGTGAGGGGAAGGAGTTAAAGAAACATACGCATACATTTTTAAGATTCACTTACTTTTAGAAAAAGTGAGGTGGGGAGGGCGTTTGTGGTAGAAGCCACAGTGAGAAATGGAGAAGGTGGGGTTGAAGGGCAGATGCAAGAGTTAAAGAACTGTACACTATAAAAGAAAAAAAACGTGTGATGGGGCAATGATTAGTGGAGCGCACGTGGCGAGGCGGGAGACTTTGGGGGAGCAAGGGAGCAACGGGAGGCCAAAGGCACCACACACCTTCATCTAAACACCATCTAATCTCACCTAAATCCCAGCTAAACATTTTACATACAAAGAGTGAAGAAAAGAGGAGAAAATAAAGAGCTTAAAAGTCAGCTTGGAACCTGCAACGCTGTAAGAAAACTGAGGCACTACCGTATTTAATCTACTTGAATGTGGGATGAAAGCTGTTTAAACAAACTGGCAGATTTGGGAGGGAGGGATTTAGCGTGTAGACTTTCTGTTATTGTATTACAACTAGTGAATGCTGAGGAAAGGATTATAGAGACCATCTCAATAATACCCCCAAACTGTTTAGAACTAGTTAAAGTAGAAGAAAGCTCTGCCATTTAAGAGGCTGTATTCCTGCTGCCTAACAAAGTACGTTTCAATGAAGAAACAAGTAGGCAGGAACTTACAAAAATGAATGTAGGTTCTTCTGAATGGGAAGAAAAGACATTCATGGTGGACTAATATGCCAAAGTACAAGTGAGGTGCAATCATCATTGTGTAGATTAAACAGATATCTGCTCGGCCAGATGTAGAAACACACAATTAGTGCGGTCGAGTGGACAGGAGTGCCAGGCCAAACCATAAGGAACATTCAGAAGAGCTCAGTCCACTGACTCAGCTTCGTTTTTTCTTTGGTAAAAGCTTGTGTGAGGTGACGTTTGAGACCCTTCACCAGATAGACACGGGTTTCCTCTTTCAAGTAGTCCTGTGCACACGTGTGAGTGGTTGTACAGATGTGTGTGAATATCTTTGTGGAGTGTAGATGTGGATGCAAATCTGTATGTACATACATACATGCTACGTGTGTGGTTGTGTATGAATGTTGTTGGATGCTTATGCTTGTGTGTGCGTACCTGTGCACATGTACACACAAGCCGGTACTTGTATCTGCTGCCAGACGGCTGTCTCCTGGCATTGCTGTTCCCCTGCAGTGTGTGTGTATGGTTGTTGACAGTGTGGACGGTAATGTGTGATAGATCGCACTTCAGGGACCCCATAATCACATCAGCCTAACCTAGTCTATCAGCTGGGCACAATGGGATACCCTTCACTCCTCCTTTAATCTGCTCCATCTAGCTCTTCACCACTCTTCTATTCTCTCCAGGTTTTTTTTCTCTCTCAATCACTTTCCTTTCTCTGTTTTTTTCCTGTATTTAATGAATATTTTACTACTATTTAATTTTCTTTCTTTCATCATTCATCTTTGGTTTTGCATTCTTTCTTACTATTCAAATTTGTACAACAATGGATTTTTATTGTGTATCAAATAGGACTATAGTACACAGATTTTTAGGATTTATCCTATTCATAATTGATACAATATATTAAAAGCAATCCGTAGTCTTCCCTCGCTTGCATTTTCTTTCACTCTTTCTCTCTATTCCTATCAAAAATCTCTTACGGTATCATTAAAAATACAAAACCTTGAACATAGGGAGAGGCAGTGATGAGAGTGAGTGGTGGCAAGGTTAAGTAGCATATCCTATAATAGGTGTTGCTGTGTGTATTTTGTGTGTGTTAGTGTGAGTGTCTTGAAAACAGACGTGTGGGCTCGAGGTTGCATAGCCTGCCCCTGGGCTCCCCGACAGCGCTGTGCACCCGGCAAATGGCCCTTAGACTTGCTAGCGCCGCTAGCCCTGCGATCCATCATACCATATGTTCTCAATGGGGAAGCTAACGCTAATGACTGATGAGTTGATTGGAAAGAGGCACATGGAGGAGGGGAGGAGAGAGTTTCAAGGGAAAAGCAGAGGGAGAGGAAAACAAGTTGAGGAACAGTGGGCAAGAAGATGACAAAGGAGCAGAGGGGATGTGAAATAAATAACAGAAGGGGATGGAGTGGAAGAGGTGGGGAGCATATGCACTCCATGGGAGGGCAACTGGTCAAATGAAGGATGACCATATAGCGTGCTTGGTTGGAAGAGAAAAGGAAATCCAATGAAGGAGCAGAAAAGGAAGCAAAGTAACAGTATGACGGAATGGAGCACTCACAAATCACATGACAAAGCAAATGAACAAAACAACTGTAAACACTAACACAATGTCAAGTAAAAACAACATTTTAGAAATCAGTCTATATAATAAGGGAGAGTAGTCAATTATAAAGGCCATAAAATCAATACACAAGTATTGTTTTTTGATTTCCTGCTTGCTAAGAACTTTTTTGTCAAATGCGCATATTTTTGTGTGGGTAAGGTTCTTTTGTGTGTGTCTGTGTGTTTGCGGCTAGGCTAATGGAGTACTATATGCCTGCCCATATGGGCCATTGTTTATGTGTGATGAATAGAGTCCACGTGTCTGTCTCTGGCACTCAACACTAAGCGAACCCTGCCGAGGGCACCCTGTTGACTCTATGTGTGTGTGTGTGTGTGTGTAGGTGCATGTAAAATGTCTATATGCGTGAAAGCGCGTGTGTGTGTGTGTAGGAGAGAGAATAAATGTGTATTTGTCCTGCTGTGTGCTTGGCAGTGCCCTCAACGGTGCCATCTTGGGTGTGTTTCATCATCATCTGCCATGACAAAGATGTCTAATGACACACACACATACCAGACACACACACACACACACACACACACACACACACACACACACACACACACACACACACACACACACACACACACACACACACACAGACACACGGTCCCATCTGTGCCATGGTACCCGGGTGCTTTGGGACACTGCGGCAGAGGAAGAAAGGGAAACGACCCCACGTTCCTACACCATGTGTCTACATCAACCCTTTTTGCTTTTCTCTCTTGTCCTATGATTTTTTTTTTATCACCCCCCCGAACATTAAGAGGACGTCACCAGGGACTAAACTCTAACAAAATCCTTTTTGGGTAACTGGTTCTTTGAACAAAGGAGCTTTTTGTTGATTGGATTTTGCAATAAAGGATTTACTAAAGACCAAAACTGTTTTCAATCCAGAAGGCTCAGCATCCAATCAAACTTCTTCCAAATGTGCATCCATTGTTGGATGTTTGGCCAAATAACCTGACCAGTGCAGACAATTATCATTCGCCCACTATTCTAACAAAAGTGGATTTCCACGTCCAAACATGTGTGTTTTATTCACTCACCTGGGGTATATGTATGCGCGTCCCCCCTCTCAGCATCCCCGCAGCACACTAGAAAATCATCTACAATTCGGCCTCCACAGCATTGGACCCCATAGCCATCACGGAGTCTCCCACTACAGCAAAGCTGGCCGCCTTTCATGGAGTAAGGAACCCCCCCACAGCATCTGTCACCCGGCCCTACTGAGACCCGGCCCTGCTCGTGGTCAGGGCAGCACTTTTCGTCTACAAAGTCAAGGACAGATGAAGGGAACACTTGAACGACATAGAAAAGATTTGACTCAATTCAAGCAGAAAAGAGCAAATCTCAAACAAGTGTAAACATATGAAGTGATGTGACACTCACTGGTTTTTACATGAATGTAGTTTCCTCTACAGCAGTGGTGGTCAGGGGATGCTGGGAGCAGTTTGCCATTGCAGCAGACCGGATTGGAAGAATTACTGGAACCCAGGTAGCTCCCCTCACAACATTCATGACGTGGTTTCTTAGTGTACAGGAACCCACTGCAGCAAACCTGGTTTACATACAATATGGATGAGAAAGAATGTAAACTCAATATAATGGTGTCACTGTCTGTACCATTGGTTGCTGTAGGGTTAAATGTATAGCTGGTGGAGTGTGCCAACTTGGCTGGCATTCAATGACACTAGGATGGAAGTGAACGCAGATGACAAGTTAATCTGTTTGGAGAAATTAATCACTGTGGGGATGACCGTGCATCCCAATAAAATAGCGTGCACTTAGGATATGTGAGAGTGTGTTTGTCTGTGGGTGTCTGTGTTTCTGTTTGTGCTATTGTGTCTTTGAGGTCTGGTGACTAATATCTTGAGGAACTACAAAGCAACAACCAATCGATTATCCACTTCAGATTAGCAACCAAAGCCGCCTTTGACTTTAACACATTTTTGTTGAACAGTGATTGATGATTCCGGCTTCAATGATTCATTTTGACAAGTTCAAGTTTTAAGAGACTTGATTTTATGTGAAAAGGGCAGAGGACATTTTAATGTATTGTTTTAACATGTAAATGGTGATATTTCCTTCAGCCCAGCACACTTGCTAATGCATTGTTGTCCATTCAAAATGTATTTCACAGGTGTTCAACAAACACTTGCATGAAAATTTTCCCACAAGCCCGCCTCAGACAAGAGCATGATCACCTGAACGTCAGGATCGAAGCAGGCCGTTCCACACACACCATGACTGGCCAGACACTGCAGGTACAAACATCTGAACCTAACACCGCCCGGAACGTCCTCCACAGAGGATGTGACCCCCGTTGATCCGATGGCACATGACCTCAAGGTCCGTCTTAAAACATCATAGCCCAGCATGATGCCACTGGGTCTGCCTGGATGGGACCAGTCCAACCTCACCACCCTGATGAAGAGAGAGAAGGACAACCAGAGTTAGAGAGAGGGATCTTCTTCACACTCCTTTCACACTACTGGGAGGCACACTAGAACCTTGTCATACCCAGACACACACACACACACACGCACACATGCATTCATGCATGGCTAATGCCCGACAAAGTTGAGTTACAGTGTCAGAGTGTGTGTGTCTTTATACACTTCTCACTATTGATTTTGGTCTTTTTTATCCCTGACATCTTTGGCAGGAGAAAGACCTGTGTAGTAACACAGAGTTACAACTCACACAGTCTCCTACACAGAAAACGAGCTACAAATCACCACTTCCTCTGCTACTCTGCAAAGAAAACTTCAGTTTAGAAATGTAGAGGTTATGTTATTATTTTAAATGGTTGGAAAACTTGCTTTGCTGAATGCACAATAAGTATATGGTTTATCAGTGATTAATACTGAATATTGAATTTAGTATTTCAGATACTGAATGGGTGAAACAATCACTGTCTTTCCATCACTGGGTTTCAAAGAAGCTTGATACAGCTGTGTCAAACAAAAAACCTACCTTTTGTGCTGCTGATAAACATGAACAATCAATACATTAAAAACACAAGCTATACGGTTACATTGATCTGGAAGGAACACTTTAATGTTCATGAACAAATCTATTCAGAAAGAGTTACTGGAAAGAGAAACATTTCGGTAATACCTGGGATTGATCACATGTGCGTGCGGCGGCGCTAGGTCAGCAGGCAGGTCTTCCACAGTAGTCGTCTGAGTAATGTTACTCCGCACACATGCATACACAGTACAGACCTCCACCTGAAATACACAAAAGCAGCGGGTTGATTGTGTGTTTGAGTGTCTGGGTTTTGGGGGCGGTGATTTGATTTTGATTGTGTGTACCTGTACGTTGTAGACAGTAAAAGGCAGCAGGTTGCCCAGCAGGTAGGAGCCTGAGCTGTTGTCTACACTACCATGAAGATGGTCATTAAGGTAGATGCTATAACCAGTAACTGCCCCGTTGGGCTGTAGAGGAGGCGACCAAAGCACACGAACTATGCTGCTGTTAACTGGAACCATCTCTGGGGCGGAAATCCCGGCTGGTTCTGAGGATAGCGTGATGTGAGTACAGAGAACCACATTTTTTCTCTTGAAGATACAGCTTGAAGATAAGAAAAGCAATGCACTCAATATCACATGCAGTATTTAATGCAGTCTATCTATACTGCTGTAGTGAAGTACTAAAATGTCAAAATATGTCTGGCATGTGTTGTGACTATGAAAGTATATGCATGATGATAGTTCATAACATGTCATATTCTCAGCGTTAGGATACACTTTTAACATACCAGCCTTAATTTACACAGTCATGTACTAGTGTGTGTGAGAGGTAAAAAAAAGTCAAGACGTGGACACACACAGCTTATAGGCATGTGATTGTGTGCACAGCACGGTAGTGTGTTTGTGTGTGTGGCCCAGAGAGAAACAGACAAACACTGTGTGTCGGTGGGTATAGAATGCAGGTGTGTGTGTGTGTGTGTGCAGCACAGCGTTGATAATATTATTTAGTAGTAAATGAAATGTAGAGCAGTGGGGCGGGTTTTGGGTAGGTGCATTGGCAGTAAATGAATTGGGTTAACTTCACTTATCTGAGTGCATTTTCACTAAGAGGAATAGATTGACTTTGCTCGGTCAGCTCCCTCCCTCAGTGTTTCCGCTGTCCTACAGGCAGTAGTATATGAGTCTCTACCTTCCAGTGTTGTGTTATGTTATCCCTCTCTATCTTTCCCTGCCCTGTCGGTCAAACTCCCTGTGTCCTCAATAACTCCTGAGAACTCCCACGGTGATGAAATAAGTAAGGCGACCGATAGGAAATGACTCAGAGGCAAAATGAGGAGTGAGTGAAATTCTGACAAATACAGGACAAGTGCTAATCTGTGGAATCAGAATATACAGTGGAGAGTTTTAGTCAAAGAGTGGGAGACTAAAAACAGAGCATCATTCATTGTATGAAATGTTCTACAAACATCAATGAAGGTCCGGTAGTGAGTAGAAAAGCAAGTGAACCAAACAGAGTGAAATAATATGAGAAGGTGTGTGTGAGACGTAATCATACACACTCCATCTATTATTTGACGTTGACCCAATTCATTTGCTGCCAATGCACTTACCTAAACCCAACATACTGCTCTACATTTCATTTACCACAGGATTGCATTATCAACGCAATACTGCACATTGATTCTTATTCACTCACACACACACGTTTTTTTTTGCCAATTAGCCTTGATGTTAGCATTGCCCTATAGATTGCGGGCCATGTTAGGATGGTTGGTAGGGTTGAGCTGCATTTGGCCTTGGTCTTTGTGTGTGTGTGTGTGTGTGAGCACACTCTTATGGCTGTAAAATAATGAAATTACCTCCAGAGCCCTCTCAGTTAAACGAGCCATGCTTTGCCTTTAGCACCTAATGATTTTCTAATGTTTTTAATGCACTTTTTATTATACTGCTCAGATTAGAGGAAAAGAGAGACGGTGTGGATGAGGGAAAGAAACTAAAGGACAACAACAGACGGATTGAAAGGTCTCTGACAGACGATTACAAAGCCGATTTGAAAGCAAACTCTTAAGGCTGAGAAACTGGGCTAAGTTTGAGTGGAGAGTTGCAAAGATGGCTAGTTAGCTTGTGCCATTCGTGGCTAAAGATAGCGAAAGCTAAACCTACGTGAAACAAATGTAGATCTGAAAACTCTCTTTCCTTCTTTGCTCATATCAATGAATATGTCATAGCTCCAGATTTTACATCATAATAAAAAGTCTTTGGCATAACAGATGATTAGAATGTTTATCATAATGATATCACATCATATTTTGGTGAGAGATTCCACTTTCAACACCAACGGGGAACCGATATTTCAGCTATTAGATATTTATTTTCCCCACAGAATCCAAAAAGAAAACAGACTAAACCATGTATTGGTTGTTGTGGTAATTATAGCCAGCATAAGACATGGAACAGCCTTGTTTGCCGTCTTGTTTGACAGGTAGATCCTTACAAGTGTGTGTGGCTACGTGTGCAGTTTTTTAGCGTCTTTCTGTGTTGCCAACAAGTATTTTACGGACGTTAAATCTGGCTCATACGAACAGTTTGTATTGATTTTGTGCCTCACTACATGATCTGTTTAACATCTCCTGCGAACCTCAGAGTTATGAGACACAGCAACACACATTACAAGTCACCCCCTTCTCCAGGAAGTATTCATATACTGCAGATGACACACCCATGTGTACAGTATTGTGCACAAAAACACCCTCACACATATACTATGAGTAAGTAAGAAGGCACATTACACAAATACCTCCATCCTGTGTGGTGACGTTAACCTCCACCTTAGTTGTATTGTGAGCTCCGTTGGAAACCTGTAGTGACAACAGGTATGTGGTGCTGGGCCAAAGGTTGCTTATCACTGCGGATAGGATCTCAGGGGGGAAAACCAAGACTTTACTTAATTGGGCAGACATTATTGTCAGAAAGTAGAATTCCACCTGTCCCTGTAGGTCCTGCAAAGCTGAGGAAGACACAAAGATAGAGGGAGAAGAAAGAGTACAAAGAAATTGTACTAGTCACTTTTTGATAACTGTCACACAACAATACCAACTAAACCATGAAATAACTGCATGGAATCTGTGTGTGATTGTGTGTTTAAATAGCAGGTAGTCTTACAGGGTTGTGTCCAGGTGACCTGTACAGCAGTGTGATTGACAGCGTGGGCAGACAGAGACGGAGGGTGGTGGGGAACTCCCGCCATGGTCACCGCGGTAACAATCTCTCCTGAGGAGCGGCCCACGTCGTTATGTACCACTAACTGATAATGGTAACGGGTGAATCTGGTGAGACAGTATTTGTGTTGTTAATAAGAGGACTACATTAGCTGTGTTCTCTTTCACCTGTCAAGCAACTTTTTAATAAACCTTTAAAAAACAGAAAATATAACTTTAGTGCATTTTTGCACGTGAGGATGTTTCATTGATTTTTTTTTCCATACAGCTTTTCTAATGGAATTCTTCAAAATGAAAATATATAAATATGTGTAATTTACTTCAACTATACAAAACAAATTCCATTCTCATGTACTCTCTAGGACACAAACATTCCTGCAAAATGCTGACACGTTTAGATGTTTGCCAGCTTACTACCTGAATGAAGCACAGCAGACGCAAACCCAAAAAGAGTACACCCAGAGCCGTTCAGCAAGCATAGGGGCAAAAAAAAAAATTAGCTTCCACCAAGTGCCAAACTGAGATTAGGGGACTATGTGTGAAAAACAATTTAATTCTTTGGGATATTTGCTTAATGTATCTTTGAGCGGTATTAAAAGATCGGCATCAGCGGCAGCTCGCCGATCGGCTCTGCACACACGGTTTGCCGCGGTGCCGTCGTTTGCTCTAGAGCTCATTTCAGTAATCTCACCTGCTTAGGCCTTTATCTTGGTAGAACAATTTGGTGCCGGAGTAAACATGGAGCCAGCGATGGAGATCTTCAGAAGGGGGAGGGGACACAGCTGTTACCTTGGGGACCGCAGCGACAGCCAGGGGCTGGTGGGTTTTACGTCTGAGCAACTTGTATCTGAAGGGGAAATTTGAATAAAAGAAAACACACGCACACGTTTGCATGTTTAGGAATGCATTAACACCCAACGCATGTTCACAAATCATTATGAGCACACAGACACACACTGCGCCCACATGGCAATATACACAAGCACACAGACACAAAAAGAACACACACACACACACACTGTGCACCCGACTCTTCTCCTTATCGCTCATTTCCTCCGCTTCTGCTGTTTTTCATCATCTCTATTCTTTCGCGTTCTCTGTATCTCACCCCTCCCTCCCAGTGAGCCTTGTTTTTTTCTGCAGGGTTTGTGTTTTCCTCTCCCAACAGTGATGCTAATTTCTGCTGTAATCAGAAGAGAAGGGCTTAATGCCACCTTTTAACAAACCCACTTAGACAAACACACAGAGCTGAGCAGAGCAGAACCGAAAGAAGGGCTCATGCATTTTAATCGCCTGCCATGAAAATGGACCTTTATTTTAGGCCTAATCACCGACAGCGTAGAACAAGACAGAACAAAAATAGACCAGAATGTGCATTAGGACTGAGAAAACACTGATTAAAAATGTGTCTCTCAGTAACAACATGTGTATATTTCAGTGTCCGCAACCTGTTTCCTGACTTTTGGTTTTGGCTAATGAAAAAAAACAGAAGGTCGATTCAAATTAAGTTAAGTTACACACAGATTGGGGTCCACTCATATAAACTCTTCATGATTAGTATTGGATTTTGGATGAATTTTGCATGTGCCGAAGAATTGAAAACACAAAATAGTTTTCTCACTTAGTTAATTTCCTACGACCATCACAAAGTAAGAAGGAATTTGTTTGGTTCTATGCATTTTGAAAGAAAGTAGCGTATTTATGCCTGATCCATAGTCCATGTTGAGACTGCTTATGTCACATCTGATTAACTAATAAACCTTCAACTTACAGTCAAGAGATTTAAGATCATCAAAGCCCGGCAGTCTGTGTCATATCTCACCTGATGTTTGGTCCGTTGGGCCTGCTTGGTGGTTGCCAAGAAATGGCCAGGAAGGACTCACTGACTGCCACGACAGACAGTGGTTCAAGGCCTTCAGGGATTGTTGGCAAAGTGGCAGCAGGCGTAGGCAGGCTTTCTGTGCAGCCTCCGACATGACCACCACCGTTAGAACATGCCAGCACTGTGATACTGTAGTTTGTGTACGGGACGAGGGCCGTTACTGGGATGCTGAACTCAGAAGCTTTGCCGCTCTCATGGAAGATGCGGGGTTCTGGGAGGCGGATCTCGTAACCGTGGATCTCCCCATTGGGAATAAGAGGAGGGGACCATGTTACCTGAAATGTAAATGTGGAGAAGATTAGTGATTTGAATGTAGTAAATTTGTATTTATTTTAAGTAAAATTCATCCATTCAAACGGTCCTACAATCATACCCGTTCTATTTGCTGAAACCTTTAGATGAATGAATACAGGAAAGTGTATGTTTGTGCGTGTGTGTGTAGAGCCTATTGTGTGTGCTTAAGCTAACCCATATTAGCATCACAGTGTGAGTGTAAGTGTGGTTAGTTGACTGCTACCGGTGACTTTATGTAGGGAGTATCCGTGTGTGCGTACATTGTGACCTGGGTATATGTGAACGTAGGACGGTCACTCTGTATGTTTGTGTGTGCGTTTGTTAAACTCTCTTGTGGGGAAAGATAACCCGACTTTGACTTCAGCAGAAGAATCCTTTCATCAAATTTAAAACAGGGTACACAAACACGCGCACACACACAGATGCGCGTGTGCACTCGCACAAAGACCATGCTAAAATAATGAAAACGGCTGGTAATGGAATTGCTGCATGCAAAAACAAAAGCTTGCTGTCGTTGAGCACTGTCTCTGAATTGGAAACAGTTCAGTCTGTCAGCATTTCCGTGTGAAGATGAAGGTAACTGGCACACATACAATTTTTAATACACACACACACACACACACACACACACACGTCTCTAGATGTTTGAGTTACAGATATCTTTACAATAAATGTTTTATACATCCAGGTAAAGACTTAATTGAAGAATCACCCGCTTTAATACACTTATGGAGAAAAACTGTCATGTACAATAACTGATCAGTTCAGAGCTTGTTGAGACTCACCGGTTGAGGCGATTAAATGGTCAATGTTGATGAGAGTATTATGAATGAACGTCAACAATAATTACTTCTCATGCAACCTTGATATTCATTTAACAAGTGACACTGTGAGGTGATACAGGACAGTAAATCTGAGCCACACGCACACACAGCCACATATGGGCAGGGTCATGTTGAGTTAGGTGGCTCATTTCCCAAAGTGCGTGTTGGGTGTGCTTTGTAGTGGAAGTCATTTACAGATTGAATAGCCTGATGTAATCTGGAGATGGTGAGGACAGCAAAAACCCTCGGCTGGCAGGGAGCACTGGGGCTAAGGCCAGTACAGTGTTTCTGTGTGAGTTTGTAAATGTTTATGTGTATCTGAGAAGAACAGAGAGAGACCGATAATAAAGTTGGTAGTTAGATATAATAGATGTATGTGTTCGAGACTAAACGACTTTCTTAAATGTATTCACATATTACATTACATTTACAGGTCATTTAGCAGACGCTTTTATCCAAAGCAACGTACATTACACTTTAAACCCATGGCTTTTTCACAGCAATTAGGGGTTAGGTGTCTTGCTCAGGGACACTTCGACGTGGAACATGGGGCAGCCTGGAATCGAACCAACAACCTTGTGCTTCCCAGCACACCTTCTCTCGCCACGACGACCCCCTTAAACATATGCGTCAATGTTATCACTTATACATTTAGTTCAATATATATTGTATCCTGCAAACAAAAACTGGGATCCAAATCCTTGAATACCTTTTTATTCTGTCTCGTAAAGATTAGTATATTATGGGTGACGGATCCAATTAACCAGCAATGGGCGGAAAACTATCTTGCAAAAATAAGTGATGAGTGAGAAAAAACAAACACTAACACAAAAGTTGAAACATTTAGATGTGGTATCTTCTCTTTTATTAATTGTCTCTTTATTACCAAACCCACAGACACGGTAGCTGATGTAATAGGTTTTGTTGCACATACATTAACTCTTCATTCACAGCACAGTCCAAAACAAAACCTGAAATACAACGCGGAAATGGAAAGCCAAAAGGACGCAAATAACCATGATGCCATCCTAATATCGGAATGAAAACGTAACGGGATAATGGGTAAAAAGAAAGCAAGTGCCTCGATGAGCAAGACGTGATATGAAGGCAGATATTCAAAATCCTGTCTGTGTGTCAAGGTCAATTGGTAACCAGGAAGCAGCCTGCCTGTCTGTCCAATTAGCAACAACCAGGAAGGAACACTTTCCCTCTCGAACCTATGACCCCTAAAGCTGTGCTGCTGCAGAGATGACAGGGGCGGTTTAGAAATGATGGCAGGCATTAGCATTTTTCTGCAGTTAGCATTAGTGCAGGACAGTGCAGTGCATGAGTGTGTGCGCGTATCTGCGTGTGTGCATACATACAATATAGTTTCAGTGGCTTTCATTGAAAGGCCTTGATGTGGGATTAGCCAGTGGTGGAATTTAACTCTGGCCCCTCCTTCAAAATGGCCGACAGGAAGGAAGCTGCCTCAGACAGGGTCACAGCCCCTCCTATTTTCTGAAGGGGACCTTGGGTTTAATGTTTTTCTTTCTCATTAAATCTCCAGATGGAAAGACAGAGAAATCAGTGTGACATTGCTTTGTCTTTTCTACTCTGAGAAACCAAAGTTGCAATATATTTTATGTTTTCCTGAAACTTGTCCACTTTCTGAAAGAAATTCTTAAAGCCCATGCTGAGTTACTTGTTGAACGTAATGGGAGATATTAGAATTGTTAACAGCAGCATGGTGTACTTTGTGTGGTGCAGCCATTTTTGAGAGTGCTTGTGCTCTCAAGCCAGATCGAACAAGGTACATACCTGAAGTGACTCTGGTCCTGTGACCTTCACCCTCGGAGGACTGAGACCAGCCGGCCGAGAAGGCCTCGTGGTGACGTTGGCCCAGGGTCCTGCAAGTATGCAACAATATGTGGTTGATGATCTCATCGTAAAAAAAAAGGCTGGAAGTTAAGTTTGACTCAAAGCTGTTGAAGTCTGTAAAACTGACCCGAGACAGACAGAAATAATGACGCATCTTGGTCAGGTTACATTTTATTTAGTTAAGAATTTTGTAACGGCATCACCTGTAGTGTTGCCAGCTTGATTATGGAGCGAAAGTCGATACTGGTAGCTTGTCCAGGGACTGAGGGCAGATGAAGAGTCGAGGAAGGAAAGAGGGGGAGGGTCTGGTGGGAGATGGCCCACTGTGGAGACTCGTTTGGTCCCAGTAACTCTGCGTTCAATCAACCACCTATGCCCAGCGCAAGATACAATACAATTCATTTAGTATATGATTAAAACAGGAGGGTCACAGAGGGGTTGAAGTGTATGTACTTAATTATCGCTTACCGCTCTAGAGGTCCATTGCTCCACTCTGGTGCACCCCAGGACAAGAGCACAGAGGTGGGGGTGTCAGAGTAAAGGTGAGGTGCGGGAACCCCTTCAGGGGGAGCTGGGAGGGTACGGAAGTGCTGAGACATCCCGGACACCGAGCAACCCACACTGGTACATGCCTCCACCTAGACGTTGTAGAATAATTTTGGAACATCACAGTGAGGTCTTTGGAGTGTTGAATTATTAACAGTTAGTAATAATATTACTTATTCTGTTTTTTTTCAGTTCATAATCTCTTATTCTGACATCTTCAACTCCAACAATTGTTGAAGGGGAAACAAGAAAAAATAAAAATGATTTAAATAAAAAATATATATATACGTAAAAAATATATTTTTATAAGAGACAAATATTTTTTTAAACATGACACTAAATTGAAATTATTTTTCTTTGCATAATATGATGTTAAATCTAGCATACCAATATTGTGTGAACCTCATATATCGTACCTGGAGGCTGTAGTTCTGGTAGGGAGGTAGGTTGAAGAAAGTGTAGCTGGAGGTGTTCCCTGGAACAGCGACTGATACAATGGATGTATGCAAATCTGAAACTTCACTGAAGAAACCAGAAATGGGGCTGTCACTGGGGGAGATGGACTCAATCTGGTTGTCGTCCGTTATACCATGACTCAAACTGGAGGGGGTGTTAGGGAGGAGGCCGGGAATATAGCCCTGGACTGTGCTTGAGCTGCCATAACGGCCCGTGGCGTCAGTGGACGTGGAGACGTGGCTGAAGCCTGCGCTGAGAAGGCTTGATGTTGGCCTGAGGTTATGGCTTGAGTTGAGATATGCACGCTCAGTGCTGGCCAATAGGCTCTTGTTACGACCTGAGCTGGAGCTGAGGGTCATGCTGCTGCTTGAGTTGGAATCAGAGGTAGAGGTGGAGCTGGGGCAAAGATAGAGGGTATACTTGGTGATAATGCCATTTGGTTGGGAGGGAGGAACCCAGGTAGTTGTTACACTTCGAGATTGGAGCCTGGATACAACTGGAGTATCTACTGGTCCTGGACCTGGGGGTAAAGGAGAATAAATGGATAAAGAGATAAATATACACTGTGTGTGAGTGAGAAAAAAGAGAGAAGGAGTCTGTTTAAAATGACTATTTACGTCAAGAAAAGGACAAAGATCGATTTTTCCTCTATGTAAAGGATTAACATGGAAACTTTCTCTCACAATTTCACCAGCTGATTGAACACATATTGTACTCATGGGTTGATGCAGTCTCGTTTGAACGTGTGCCTGTGCATCATTCAGCAAAAAATGCGTTGGCCCGGCTGGTCTGCTGGAAACGTTCTAGTGCTGTCCGCTGGTTTTGCTTGACACATAAATGACCTACACATGCATGCAAACACACTTCAGAAATGACAAAGAGGGACACCAGTGGTGATGTGCTTTGACGAAATAAGTCAGAGACAGACAGACATACGCACTCACTCACTCACTCGCATCATCTGCACAAGTCCATGCCTGGATAAGACGCCACACAAGACCAGTCTGAGGTATATTTCACTCCAGGGTAGCTCATTTGAAGGTAATGCCCCTCCTCCCCTGGCATTTACATCCCACTGTACTGCTCTATAATGGACACACACAGATGCATGTCCATATACGCAGACACATTCTTCCTGACACACATATTCACATTCCCACACCCACAGTGATGCAGTACAGCAGTAATGGTACTGTGTGAAGGGCAAGCAGATCAAGGTGACTGAGCGGACTGAGGGAGCGTGCTGCGTCGCTAAGTGCTACTGCTAACCGCTAACGGCTTTCCCAGATGGCGGTGTGTATGTGTGTGTGTGTGTGTATGTGTGTGTAAGAGAGAGGGTGAAAGAAGATCGGTTGAGAGTATGCGTGCGTGACTGGAAGAGGTAAAGTGTGCAGGTATGTGTATGTGTTGTGCATGTCAGCATGTGTGTGCACAAGAGAGCAGTTAGGAAGATTGTGCATATTTTGCATCTATTAAGAGAAATGCTAACTAACATTCAGTGTTGATGCCCGGGATGCTTGTCTTCAAACTTTAAAATGTCTCTAGAGTATAATGCTCATCATAACATAATGTTTTGTCCATATTTAATTTGGTCCCATATTTTCAAAATGATTTTGCTGTTTTTTTATGCAGACAAGAAACCTTTTCTTTTACAAAATAAAAACCCTGAGAAATATTTTAGAACAAGTTGTTGGTGAATTTAAGCTATTCAGGAAAATTTTTGATAAGTATACAAGGGTGACGTAACGCTTGGTTGACTTTACAGCTCACAAATTGTCTCACAATCAACCCATCGTTCATCATATCCACATCTCACTTTACCCCCGTTTTCTTCATTCTTCTCTTTTCCCTGACCCCTTCCTTCCGTCAACCCAACCACATCTCCCTCATTTCGGTCTCTCTCTGTTGCTCGTGCTTTGTGCCGAGGTCCCCCCATCACCCCTCTCTCTCTCTGGTCTCCCTGCTAAATAAACAATGCAGAGAGTTGACCTTTTGGGTTAACAGGTTTTTATGCTAGCTCTACTCAGCACTCACACTGATTCAATTACCACCAAAGGTCCACTGAACCCCACGAATAACCAACGAGCTCGCCTCCCCGTCTGTCTGTGGGCCTGTCGGCCGGCCTGTTTGCATCCGTCTTTGTTTAGGGTTGGGACGTCTCACTGCCCGTTCGTCTAATTTGTCAAAAGTTCTGCGTCTTTGACTAAATCCTTGTCTATCTGTCTGTCAAACTGCTGGTCTGCTCCAGCGGACTTCGACAAAAGACACCAGTATGAGATGCACGGAGAAGAAAAAGATTGCGAGCAGAATCTCTTCAATTGTAAAATGAAACCTTGTCACCTTGATCCAGTGACTGTCAACAACTCCAAATAACCCCCGTGTCCTCCCCCTGCTCCCCCCCTCATTCTCCTCTCCTCTGCCCTCCCCCCATCCCCCTCTAAGTGTTGAGTGTTATTTAGGCTTTACTGGCGCGTGTAAAATTTTGCAATTTGAAGGGCTGTTAAGTTTTTCAATTGAAATTTTCATTTAAGATGCAGGTGATGCTTTTTCCCTTTTTTTTATTTTGCCGACACTTTACTGCTCCGTGGATAGAGAACGAGTGTTCAGGGAATGCGTATCTACCCCTCAATCCCTGCTTTCCTTAGTCCATATTGCTCTTACTCAATTCCTCTCCTCCCTGCTCAACTCTTCCTTCTTTCTCCTCTCCCATCCGCTATTTCCCAACTGCTCTTCTTTTGTCTCCCCCTACCTCTTTGACCTCTTCATTCCCCATTCCTTTTTGTCTTTCGTTCCCCTCTATCTTAATCCCTGCCTCCACACCTCCCACCGTTACTCCTCCCTCCAGTAAAACACAGTAGCAGAAGGCTAAAACATGAGCGCGGGGCCGCCAAGCCTTAAATCACATTTATAAGGATTTGGTTAGCATAGTAATAACACAATCAACTGACAAGGGCCGGGAGAGGGGGATGGAGGAAGATGTATGTGTGTGTGTGTGTGTGTGTGTGTGTGTGTGTGTGTGTGTACCTTTCAGTGTATACATGTTATGTAGCTTCTTGTGCATATTGTAAGTGTGCACATCTGTGTCTATCCATTTGGAGAGATGAGGAAGGGTATTATTTTTAGTCTTGCACAGGATCCCGTGCGTGCATGTGTGTTCCTGTGGGTGACTTGGCTTTTGAAGGTGAGCCGAGGCTGCTAGGAGTCATAATGAGGACAAACGCTGAGCTTTACTGTAATCAAGATGCTTACGACATGGTGTCAAAACGTGACAAGCAATACGAGGAAAATTTACATTGCAATTTATATCTTTACTTTTTCTACAGATTAGTTAATGTCATTGCTGCTTTAGGAGACAATGAGGAGGCATAGAGAAAGGGGATGATGCACGACCAAGGTCATGAGCTCACTTTGTATCCATAACATCATGACTATATGTGATGTACATTAGGCTTTAAGTAACTGCGACCATCACGATACCTGAAATGTCAATCACTCAACTATTTCAATGTTCTTTTCAGACGTTCACTATTTGGAGTGATTTACTTCATTCGAGGTAACCTCACACGAAAGAGAACACAAAAATGCAAAATATTCTAAAATCAATTCAGTGTCAAAATGTTAAATTCTGAGGAAAACCATTATTAAAAACCTGCAAAAAAGGCTCTTAAAATCTTTTAATCTCCTAAGAAAAAGCTATTTGACTGCCATGTTTTATTCTCTCAGAAATGTACATTTTCCCACTAGTTCCGACAGAAAATGTAATGAGTTTATAGTACTTATAACATTATAGCCAAGTCTGGGACAGAATACTGTGACAAAAGATAGGATTATTATCGTTTCATTAATGCAGTGAATAAATAACATACATTCTTTGTGTTCTGCCTAAACTCATTTCTGTCAGATTTTCCCCCTTCGTACTTTTTTTTCACTAATGTTCTGTCCCACGCACGTGCGCACGCACGAACACACGCACTTACTTTTCTAAGATCATTTTGTCAAAACTGGGCTTCAGTCATACTCCCTATAACACAATAACACTTGCCCACAAACACACACACACACGCACGCACGCAGACGCTCTCTCTTCCGCTCTTAGATCACTTAGCTAGTGTGAACATGGGAGTAGACAGAGGAAAGGGAGCTGTCCAACACGGCTAGAGTTTATGTTCACAGGAGCCGTCTGTCTGTTCTGCAGCGGCAGGAATTCATAGGGACCAGATTACATTAAAAAGATGGATATAAAACTTTAATGGAATGATAAAAAGGAAAGGAGGAAGCGTGGGTCTCTCCTTCTCTGTTCTATCATTAGCCTTCCCTTTTCTTCTCCTCCTCTTTTTTTCCTCAAATCACCTTTTTGCTTTCTCCATTTTTCTTTCCTCATTTTTCTATCCTTTTTCTCCTCTTTATTTTCTCATTTTTCTCACTCTCCTTATCCCTCTAGTAAACACTTAAGGGCTAGTCCGTCCAGAACAAGATGAGAAAGGAACAGGTATGACAATATCAAAGATAGAGGACAAAGACATGTATAGATTTCAAAGGATTGAAGGAGAGCATGAAGGGATACAAGTAATGAGGTGGAAAACACACTTGAATCCATGTTTCTAATGAAGATCCATGTCAACTTGGCTATATAATTTACATTTGAGTAACAAAGTAGACACCTTGCAAGCTTAAAGCTCACATCAGCCAATACAGAACAGAGTAGGAGGGAACTATTCCAAAAAGCACAGAGGACAGCCCTGGTTTATATTACAATATACTGTATATATAACTTGACCATGTGCATGAATGTTTATAGGAGTTTACAATTTAAATACAATAATTACATAATTACTGTTGGCTGTACAATACACCAAATCATACTAAATAAAATGTCTTGCTACGGTTGTTGTTTTGTTTTTTAATTTGAGGGTGTGGAGATTAAGCGAACGACACAGCCTTTCCATGCCATAATAATGAGAGGATGGGTTTATGGGGACAGATTACATTTTAGAAAAAATCTGTGTCTCTTCCATCGTGGGTTTAAATCCCTTCTTATTTAAAGCTTACATACCTATCATGTATTTTATTATTATGGGAAAATATTTCTTCGCATGCTTTAACACGATTAGACACAGTAGCATGTATTCTATGTGAATGGCTGGTTTAAAGATTCAATTACAACATTACAACAAATAACGGAGATCAGTATGACACAAGGAGCTGTGAGAATGGATGAAAGTGTACAACCGGCATACTGGGGACAAAGTTAAATTAATATTATCACATGTACTCAAACACTGTGTGTGTGTGTGTACAAGTTTGTCAGCATCCACCTTCCTGAGTATGTTTTGTGAGTATAAGCAGAGGTTGATAGATAAGTAGGACCACGAGGTGTGTGTATGGCCCATGTTCTCAGTGTGCGTGTGCTTATGATGGGGCCAGAGAGAGGAGAAAGAACGATGGAGGTTTGAATGACATAAGACACACATACACACCTACACGCACGCACAAAAAGGTTGATTTGCACATTTTCAGTCTCACATGAAAACACACATTTGTACCCACAACCAAAAACACTAATAACTTTTCACCTTAACTGTAACTGTGTCTATTAGAGGGAACTCGGTTCTGAATAGCAATGAGGAAAAAGAAAAGGCTCTAATTTACTGAATCCTAAATGTCTGCAATTGTATGTGTAGGAATGGGATTGTGCATCGCTGTTAGTATGAATGTGTTTTTATACACATCTCTCGCACGTCTCTCGCACGTGTCCATACACATTTCTGTGTGTGTACATGTGCATGTATTGGATGTATGCAAATCTCAGAGGCTTAATGATAATGTATGTGATAATAGCGTGGTGCTAATTAATTTATAACTTTGCACTGAGGAGGCTGTTCCAGTGGCTAATATGATTCTATTACAGCAATTAGCCCACAATGACAATGGCTAGGTCACTCACACAGACACACACCTTACAGTATGCAAATCTCAACGTCAGTGTGTTTCATCCTCCCTTGCTTGTCCCCATGTTTCATTTTGAATATGATCTGTCTCTCTTCCTTATTGCTCGGACCAGATTGACCACCTGCACCAACACCAAGGAATTAACACACGTGCATCAAATCAAACCATGGAGATTTTCAAATAGAAAAGGAAACTGGGCAGAGGACTTTTGTGTTGAATGTGTGAGGCCATTGGTTAGATCGTCAACTAAAATCAGGAGATCCAAGAGACTCCTTGACTTTGGCTCAGCAGCACTGACGGTCAACTGACGGCAGAGGACAACTAATAACCAGCAGCTGCCAGCCGCCTGCCGGCCACTCACTGTCACATTTTCTATGGTTATTTATCAGTTTCTCTTTTGCTGTGTGCAAACGTGTACATGCACGCATCTGTGAGTAATGAGTAAGTGTAATATATTCTATCTGGGTACTTGTGCGTGTGGGAGTCTGTGCACTTACTGTACTCTGCGGTGCGCAGGGTCGCCCAGGGGCCGACGGTCTGCCCGTGTGCGTGTGAGATCACCACTCTTAACATGTACTGGGTGTACGGTGATAGGCCCTCCACATGGTAGGCAAAGGTTTCCGTTGCGTTTTCCACGAGCCTACAGCAGAGGTTCACAGAGACAAACATTTAGTGAAAACTATGTAGATTGAGGCGCCTAGTGAGAAAGAGAATTTAATGTAGAAAACTTTTTTACAACTCTTTACTTTCTATGTTTCCAAAACATTTTTTCCTTCAAATTTATTCGCCGTCTATTGTTTGTCCTCTTTAATGCCTGGCCAAAGAGATTCAGCACTGGACAGCTCCCCAGAATGTGTTTTCCAGCTACTGGCCAAGAATAATGATTAAATGAGTCCTAGAACCCCAAAATGAGTAAGCACTTCCAGCTCCCCAAAGTCAACGTGTTTTTTAATACAATTCTTGTTAAGATCAATGAATTAAGGTTTGCGACTAACACAAGATTAAGATATTTTACATTTTTTACAAAATTTTACAAAAACATCAGAAAATACATTTTTGTCATTTAACACAGTCAATGCTGAACTCAATTCAAGAAAGAGAGATCTTTTTTACGCGTTTTTATTAAAGAACTTTTAGGTGTAATGTTATATGAACAAGTTTTGTATGGTCACTAAACATTGACTATCGAACTATTGAAATGCGTACTTTATTTGTAGAGCTTTTTATCAAATTCCCATGTCATACATAATGCCATTTCATATAATCATACAAAGGAATCTAGGACAAAGTAAAAGAATATTGTCATAAATGAGGGACCGCTGACCATTTAGCATCAGATGGGTAGAAAGGATGAATGAATGAATGAATAAATCAGGGAACAATGAGATTTCCATAGCAGAGGAGGAGGAGGGCATGGCTGTCTGATATATAATACATGTAGCTAGTCATTTATTTATTACCACAGAATGAGAGCCTCCTCTTCTTGGATTAAATTGCAATTTGTTGTCAGGAAGCATGTAATGAATACATATCAGATGCACGCCCTCTCTCTCTTTTTATTCTATTACATTTTCCCTACCTCTGTCTCCCTCTTTGCACGGCTCTCTGATATTTTGTCTTTTTCACCCCCCTGTCTCTCCAGCTCGTTTCCTTACCGTTTCTCTGATTGTCATATGGATGTGACATATCCGGCTTTGCTGAATAATGTACCCTGTTATATGTACTTGTGTATGCATATATGTGTACACATTTTTAAGGTGCGTATGTACGGCCATACGTATCTGAGAGCGTTGTATAGGAGCGGCATTCTCTCAATGCTGCTTCCAACCGTTTGAATGTGCAAACTTGTCCACTTGTTTATCTACGTGTATCTGTGCAGTTTTTACATCTAAAAATAAATGACTCGATATGTCTAGCTCACCTTATCACTGGCCTCTGAGGGGATGTCCTCATTTGCAGGCTGTAACGGAGTGGACCCGGTGCATTGGAGTGAGCCGGGCCGGACCAGGAAACATTCAGACTGGCACTTGTTCTATGAGCCAACCGCGGTGGTGACAATCCATCTGGGGCTTTGGAAAGAGAGAGAGAGACATGATGGTAATAAGAAGACGCAGCAATTGATAAAGGAAGGAAGGAAGGAAGGAAGGAAGGAAGGAAGGAAGGAAGGAGGTGGTAGAAAATGGATGGAGTGATGCAATGAGAAAAAACGAAATAAAGACAGCATGAAAAAGAACAAGAGGAAAAGTAGATTAGCAAAGCTACATCAATGTCGTATTGACGTTAATCCCATTGATAAACTGCACACAAAACAAACAACACCAGATGACCTCGCTCTCTCAACCATGCCCGCCCCTTTCCAGCTGAGCATGGTAGCATCGGGAAAATCAGTAAAAACATCTTGATTCAGTATGATGGCCGTGCTCTTAACAGAAATACAGGAGATAGGAGGAAAGACAGAATGGGAAAGAGATAAGGACAACAAACAGAAGGACGAAATGAGAGTGACTGTAGTGCAGTCGACTATGCGAAATGAGAGTAGGTCCTCCGATGTGGAAAGTGACCCTTCAATCAAACACAGTGCTCTCTTTCCACCACAGCAGCACTGATTGCTCAAGACGTCTTACTATACACACGGCTGTTGCAAACACACACGCGCAGTATATCAAAATAAAAGAAGCCAAAAAACACTCTTTGATACTGGTTCAGAATAATATTTGTGGTGGGTCACCAATATATATATATAGAGAGAGAGAAAGCATTCAAAGTAGAATAAGCGCTTTACAATGTCTTTGTCAATCATTGATTTGGCAGCTCAGTGTCTTCACTTTATCCATTCTTCTATTACATATTTGTATGACATTGTAGTAATTAGCAATTATGAGGTTGTCATAATAAGTAATGATTACTGATTTAGTAATAAAAGTAATAAATATAATCAGAGTGACAAATTTGTCAATCCTAATATATCACTTGACTAGGAGCACAGTGAACTTGACCTTTGAGTTCCAAATTCTAATAAAGTTTATCCTGGAACCAACGTGGGTGTTTGTGAGGAGATATAGCGATTGCGAAAACTGACCAGATGGACGTATGTCCCAATGTACCTAACATCATGCCTGTGATGTGGCCCCAACAATTCAACCCCTACCAAAGTGATTCTGAGAATATGTGTGTGTGTGTATGAGAACGTGTCTTCTGTCTTTGTTCATTTCCCTACTGTTATGTCCAATTTGTGTCTTTTTCTATGTTATCTGTTGGGTCTAAGGTGTTAGATGCCTTGATAGCGTTGACAACTAAGATTCAAAATAGGAAAAAAAATGAACAAATCCAAAATGACAAAGGAATGTTGAAAGTTAAAAAAAAACCCATCAATTTGATCTATATATTGTATTGTATTTACATGTGAACAGATTAATAAAAGACATCCATACTGAATGGATCCATTATTTATTATTATTACATGTTATCAATGCCCATCACTAGCCTCTAATTTAAATAAAGAGAACTCTACAGTAGATTAGCAAAATTGCCTGACACACGCGCACATGGACACATGCACAAAACACCCAAAACACACACCTTTGGTGAGCCTGTGTCTCTCTCATGCTGTGTTAGCAGATACAATATCAGAGGTGTCACTAATCGTTTTAAACTATGCACTTTTATGTTCACTTCTCTCTCTCCGCTCTCCTCCTCCTCAGCTCTTCGGTCTCTTGCTCAACTATCTTCTCTCTGTTCTTTCATAGAACAAGGACGCATCAAGACAGTTTGCCTTAAAGAAGTCTAAAGACATGCCAGAGGCACAGAGGTAGAAAGAGAGAGTGAAAGAGAGGAAACGTCTGGTATTTAAAATTTATACTTTCTTATGCCTTTGTTTTGAACTTGAACAGCAGAACTTTCCGAAGTCAGTCTTTTGTCGTGTTCTGAGTGAGACATGGTTGGGGTGTGAGTGTGTTTGTGCGCGTGCACGTGTGTTCGAATGCAACACTTTAACATTAGCCGTTAGTAGTAAAATATGTTTATTGGTCTGAGTGCTGCCTGGTTATCATTATCTTCAAACTACTCTGATCGGCTTCGGCATTGATCAGTATGCACAAACAGCCTCCATGCCACACCCACAAACACACCAACAAACGCTGTGTAAATTCAAAATATGTGTATTGACCATTAAGTGAAGTCAAATATCTGTGTGTGTCAGTGTTACTCACTGAATAATTGTTTTTTATTTTTTGCCCAGCAAGCTATTTCCAGTTCATAAGAATAGCAGTTCAAATTCTAACCATTTAGAAAAGACAAAACATTTTGAAAAAGACAATAAAGACATCTTCTATATTAGAAGATAGAATCATTTATCTCATAAGTATGTACAGTATCTATAGAGTACCAGTGAAAACTTTGATTTCGAGGGGAAATCAGGTCTGTATGCTGTCGTCTAATGATGGAACGATAACTTACTGTATTTTTGTGCATAAGTACCTGCTGGGGGCGTAGTGACATTGAGCGGCAGGCTCTCCACACAACCTTCTGTGTTACACCCTCTGATCCAGAAGATGTAGTTGGTGTAAGGGTGTAGGTCAGTCACAGACAACCAGGCTCCTGCTGCTGTACTTCCATCCAGCACACCCTCACCATCTAAGAGACAGAGTCACATAAGGAGAGACATGTAAGGTCTTAGGCCAAGCATGCTGTATTTAACTAGTGAGCAGGAAGACGCTATTATCTCGCACATTTGATTTCATGGCACATTCATTGATTAAAGTGATAACTGTGATAGCTGAAAAAAGGCGATACATAAAACTAATTTAAGAACAGAAGGAAAACAGAATGAGTGAGTTCAAGAGGGGGGAATACTGACTGAGATTAACTGAGAGTGATCAAAAGAGAGAGGTCTCTGCATCGAGGTTATGCAAGGATAGTCAAAAGAAAAAAGATCAGAACATTACAATATGTAAGGCGATCCAATATATTTAGATGGACACACACCCACACACATATCGGTTTTGTCGGTACTGATGAAGGCAGTGTGTATCAAAGAATCGAGGGGTTGTGAAACCCCATCTTTCTCTTTCTTCCACACCTCTTCCACCCTTCTCTCCACTCATTTTAATCCGTCTCTTCCTCCGTGCAGGGCAGATCAAAGTCCCTGACTCCATGTGTGTGTGTGTGTCTGTGCGAGACAGAGAGAGACTTGCATGTGGGTTTAAGGAAAATTGAGAGTTCTGCCGTTTCCTCGTGCCCCTGTTCTCATCTCGTCCAATTTTCCCTTTTTCTTTGTATGTTCAGTTCTCATACGCTGTTTTGTTGCACTTCATGTCTTATGTTGTTTTTACTTGCAATCCTTTCTAATACATCTATGGAAATATGAGCTTATCATCTCTCCTCTCTCTGTATACTATTATTTACCAATACTCGTCTTTGTTCTTTCTATCTTGCCGCGGAATCCCACCTCGTTTCCTCTCTCAAGTCAGCAGCAGTATAAAACAAACCGCGTCCTTTCTGCACCACTCAGGTTCGATTACTCCATCTTCCTCTTTCAGTCGTGCCCTGTTGGTGATGATTGCATCTGTGTGTGTGTGTCTAGGTGTACAAATCAGTCTCCACACATCTCCAAAAAATGTACTTTATTTAATATGTATACTTTGATTGTGATCTGAATAGTGATAGTAATTTCTGTTAATTTCCTGCAGACTTTAAAACAAACTTGTTTTTTTCATTTCTAGTTTTAACTTTTCTTAAAATCTTTGAGAGAACTAACCTGCAAAAGTGAGATCTATGGGGAAGCAACTTTTAATGTCCACTAACACTGAAGATAATTCCATCCTAGCAACAAGGTAAATGTCAAGACACAGCTTTTTAGATTAGTTATTGAGGTCTTTCTGATACATTTAACAGTTATGTGCATTATGCAGGGTTGGATCTGGAGTAAATTCACTTTAAAAATGTAGCAGGCTTAGTGGGCAATTCAGGCTCTATTTGAAGCATAATTTAAGTTTGTTCTGCCTCGTAAGCAAAGGGGGTACATGGTCTCTCAGCAGGATTGACCTGACGCTGAACGTGGGTGAAGGGTCTTCTCTGGGTACTCCAGCTTCCTCCAGCAGTCCAAAGACATGCAGATTAGGTCAATGTGACAGCATTACGACCCTACGCCTTTGCCAAATGTCGGCTGAGGTCGGCTCAACCCCGCCTCCCGAAGAGGATAAGCGGTTACATATAACGGATGGCTGGATGCATAGTGGGCAGATGTGATAATCATAACTGCCGGAAGGTGTGTTAGAAAGAACCATGTCAGCCGTCATTGGAAATGGTTTTGAAAGCATATGTCAGAGAGAAAGAGAGAGAGCGCCTGGCTGTATGTGTTACCTTTGCTTTTGTAGTACAGTGTGTAGCCGAGGTTCCCGTTGGGTCTCGGCGGGGCCGTCCAGCGGGCTCGGAGCGATCGAGAGCTCTGATTGGTCAGCTCCAACAGTATGGGGCCCTCTGGGGCCATCTGTAATGTACGCACCTCCACCTGATTTAAAGATAAAAGACAGACAAGCACACAATAGTTGAATGAGATGGTGTTTAAAATTTTCATTCTTTTCACCATAATTCCACCCTCATCTCATCCAACAATCTGGTAGGGAATATTAAAAAATGCACTTGAGAATTGAGAAATGAGAAATATAACGTTCAACCAGCCAAAGTGTAAGTTCAAAACACTCTACACATCTGGTCCAAATTACTGCTGCCTCATTTATTGTCTATAATCTCTTTCTCTCTTTCGTCCTCATGGCACCTTTCCATCTCTTTTTCCACCCCGCTTCTTTCCTCTGTCTCCTTTCCTCCTGTCCCTCGCTCATGTTACTCTTTCCTCTGTTGTCCTTTACGTCCTCACTTGACACGTCATCTCTCCCTTCGCTCTGACCCTTTACTCCATCCTCATCATTTCACTCCCTATACCCCTAAACTTCCTCCTTTCCTCAGTCCTTTCTTCTCCTTTTCCCGTCCATCCTGTCATCTATTCCTCTTTATCCTGTTTTTGCTTCCCCTTCCTTCCTGTCCTCCTGTTCTGCTGTGTCAGCCGTTTGACTAAATATGGCGTCCGTATTGGAAAAATGCCCCAAAATATGGCCTGTCGTCAGGGACGTCGTCGAGTGTGGAGTGGCATTTGCTACCAAATGTCAATGTCGCCACACCAACCTCGTTATTGAGCCGAGAGAATCGATCACCTTTATGACAGTCAGTGACACAACATGCACACGCGCGCACACACTTTGAAAATGTCTGCGTAGGCATTCCCGTATGTGTCCCTTGTTTTCGTGTGTCACAAAAATATCTGGTTTACTCTCTGTTTTGTTTTACCGACTGACCGGATTCATCCCAATGCAAAAACCCTGCAGATAAAAGTTTGCCTACCTTCAAAGATTTCACATTGGATGTCATTCAATACATGGATTAGTTAACTGACCATCGGTCCTTTGCCACAGCCTCGCGCTGTGCAGGCCTGCAACCTGAGGAGGTGTCGGCTCCACGGGGAGAGTCCCTCGACCACAAGGAACCTCAGGGAGGAGCTGGAGTTTGAAATGAGCGCTCCATCCAGCCAGAGACCATAGCTGGTTATAATGCCTGAAAGAAAGCACATCTGGTTTTAGTCATCCTAAGTAATCGTAGACAAGCTTTAGTGATTATTGTCCCAGAAGGAGTTTATTGTATAACACACAATCTGTCTTGCTAACATAACTAATGTGCCCTTCATTTGCTGCCCTGGAACACATCAGTCCACATAACACCATCACCCTGACTCTAACGACAGACTTTGAAATGAAACATTTGTATAGTGTCAGGTTTTTTGTTGTTCATTCATGCTTCGAAATCCATTCATTTAAACACGTTTGATTGTGACATCCCTTTGGTTTCTTGGTCTGATGGTCTGTTTGTGATGTTCTGTTGCCATTGGTTACTCAAAAAATGTTTCAGTTATTCCAGTCACAAAGTGAGCTCTGCAGTCTGGATTACTGCAGTACAATGCAAATAAAAACTGACTTAGTACCAGTCAATGTGTCTTTGTGTGAACTCAAACTGTATCCACAGGCGTTTTGACAATAAAGACCCTCAAAAGGACAGTACTACCGGAGCAAACATGCGCACACACGACTGTGGGTGCAAATAAGTGAGCACTCATCCACACACGCAAAGATGGGAACTCACACATGTCCATACACACATACATACACGTACAATAATTACATTACATTCACCTAATAAAAAAAAAATGAAACAGTACGGTGCCAAATGTGCTTTCCCTTAATAAAAATGCATACAGAGGGCTCAAGAGATCAGCGCTGAGAACTAAGAGTCTATTCCGCTTTAATCATGTGTGGGTTTTATTATTGCTCAATACAGATATACACACTATCAGGAAAATGAAGACACAGAAACCCCACGGACGGCAACTACATCTGGGAAGCTCTTAATGTGGCCAATCACACGCGTGTGAGAGTGTATGTGTGTGTGTGTGGACGTCGCTGTGTGCTTGTGTGTGTGCGAATAAGCCCATATCAGTATAGGTTGTAATAAAGACAGGTTGGGAAATGAAGCAGCGAATGCATAACAGGCTTATTTCCCCTCTTTGTCTGCGTGTTGCCCCAACCTAATCCCCGAGAGGATTATCCCCCACAAATCCCTACGGAATTGGGGAGAAGGGGGGAGAGATAGAGACAGAATCTCACTCCTCTGGAACCCATCATCATCATCGTCATCATTGTTGCTGTCCATTTATGACAAAAAAGAGTAAATGGAAAAAAAAGAAAGCTCTGAGCCTTTCTTTAAGTAAAAATTAAAGCTTTTTAAGCATGAGATAATCGGGTAATCATGATTAAGTGTCTCCTTGTTTTAAATTTCTGTCATCAGATGAGAGAAGCTTTTAATTCATCCGGGCTGATATGCACACACATCACATGGTTTATGGTGCGAAATGCACTCATGTGGCATTGAGCGTAAAACACACACAATTCACATTACACGCAGACACACACACACACACATTACAGAATTACTTTAACGAGGATGGCAGTAACATTTGATAATATGGGGCGGTGCGTTGTATGTTACAGACTGTGAAATTGTTAGATGGTTTTAAACCATCAATGCATTCTACAGTATATATAGTCCTTAGAATGTTTTTTTTATTTGTAAAAAATAAAGTTTTGAAGATTAAAAAGAAAAATTGTAGGCTGTTACTTGAAGCTACTGTATTTTAGTTGTTTGTATGTACTTTGTGCTTAGATTTAGTATACAGTTTATTTTTATTTTCTGTTCAAGTTCTACATTTCTATTAAATTGCTCGATTCAATTTGAATGTGAATCATTTTATACAAAAGAAATGTTATTTTTCTTCTAATTTGACAAGGCCCAGAGCAAGCCAATGCTTTCTTACAGTTTCAGACTATTGGCAATATTTGGAGGTTTTTAAATTGTTGACGGAATACATGTTCTTCAGATAGAATAATATTGATTGATTATCACTTTTGCTTCCCAAACTGTACTGTGCAGGAAACTTTCCATTTACTTTCCTTTCAGTCTCTTTATGCTCACAATTAATAGTCCCCGGCAAATCTTTCTTGACATTTCAGTCCATTAAAATTATTTTAAAATCCCCACCAATATACATTAAATATCTAATTGCCTGCAAGTGAATTGGATGAAGGTAAGAAGAATGAGAACAACAAGAGAGAATGGCACTCGCTGTCTATGTGCTTCTTGCCTGCAGTTCTCTATTCTGTCAAAAGGGAGCACTTTTCATCCACTTAAAGGAGCTTGGTGAGCCACAGCCGGCCGACTCCCTGTCTCCGTTGGTCTCCAATTTTATGTTCTCTCCCCGTCTTTGTCTCTTCCCCTGTTTTATCTGAGTCCTCAATGTCCACCCCTTTTCTTTATCCGTTTTATCTATCTCTTGCACACTCATCTGATTCCTCTCGCTCAAAGGGAAACTTTCACCTGTTTCATGCTCACATGTACGGGAGGCCTGTGCAATGGAATGGGTCTTTATGAACGTGATAGTCCGGGCAAACACAAACCACGTAAATATATATTTAATCTCTCTGATCAATTTAATATAATTCTATAAAAAAAAAACTTATTATAATATGTTAAAATGGATTATTGAAAGCTGGAATGTGTCCGCTTGTATTTCGTTATAATCTTTCATTCCAAACACTGTTGATAATTCATCAAAAATGATTAACAATTGTTAATTTATTTATTTTTATTTGAGTGTTTCAGGCTATAATTGTCAGATTAAGAGCGCTTTCCCTTACCATTCGGAGTATCTGGAGGGGTCCAGCTGACGTTGAGTGCATTTGGGGACAGAGGCGTGACCAGCGGTGCGGGGACATTCTCTGGGGTGCTCTCCTCAGTCTGAGCCCGGCCGGGAGGGCTTAAGGTACACCCGCCTCCTGTGCAGGCCTGGTGTAAACACACGGCCAGGCATTAATGGGCTTGTGAACGAGAGAATCAAATCGAAAAGATGAAAGAGTGAGGGACTCACAGCGATCGTGATGCTGTAGACTGTTCCTGGGGTTAGGTCGCGCAGTGTGTGGTCTTCAAAAAGTTCAGAGCTGTTATAGACTAACACAGGTTCCGCACCCTCCAGTGACAGGAAGATGGAATAAAACTCCAAAACGCCATTTACATGAGAGGGACGTGACCACCTGGAGAGAAAGAAAGGCGTCAGAGATATATATATGTACTCGAGCAACTTCAATTCAGATTAAAGAGTATCACATGAGTGTCAAGTTAACTTCAAAATAAGGTTATTATATTGTTTAGTGGCTAAATAAATTTGGAGAGATACTAAAATTGTATCCAGCAATCCCAGTAGCATTATGATGTCTGATTAGCAGCCTGGTCTTTATAATTTCTACCTTAAAACTGCTGGAAATATTTTAGAACACACATTGTATTGTGCCAATGTAATTAAAATGTTTGTTAAATATTTTGTTTATTAAATTATTGCTAGAAATACCACAGATTCCATTGGAATAAAAAGGCTTGTGAAATCTGTGTCTGAGAATGTGCACATGAATATATACACAAATGTTTTTATTATAGTTGCTTTTTGTAAACAGATAAAACACAAAACAAGTGCTTTTACTCCCCACACAGTTTCCTCTGTCAGATAGAGGTGTCTCCTTTTCTATATTTAGAACACGAAGGTCATCCCCAACAGAGACGGAGAGAGAGAGAGGACGAGAGACTGCATTTATAAATAGAAACCTGTCATCTACCCATTGCAAAATGTGAGAGAAATGAGAGGCAATAAGGACCCGATCTCAGCTATAAAGACTAAACTATAACAAAGATTGGATTTAATAATTTCACCTGCTTAATTAATAGTAAACTATGATTGCTTTATATTTATTCGAATATGGGATAGTAAGAGCTGCTAAATATGACTGGATGAGCATGTAGCCATGGTACTTTTAAATGTAATTTTATTTGCGTTTGTTTCTGCTGTAGGACGGATATTCAAGCTATGAACAAATGATTTCATACAGAAAGTTGTGATACGGGAAACTCTAAAAGCTGGGCTGTAATGGTGCTTTGAATGTATGTATGTAAGTCACTGGACTGAAATAGTGCTTGTATTTTGTAAATTGTGTACCTAGTTGACCTTTTCACTTATACAAAATCCAAAGTATCTGAAGATTTTGAGAATAAGAAAACAGGTAAACCTTTCTTAAATAAAACAGTAAAACATTCATTTTTATAAATAATTCTGCAATTCTTACTCTTATTCTAAAAGTAAACCATCCCTCCTATAGTCGCGGTGGGAGGTCATTTTGAAAAGTGATGGATTCCTTTCTTGGTTCCTCTCATTAACAGCCAGTTTTTGAAAGACTGATGAGTGTGTGTTAGCCCACAATTAGCCATTGTGGCTAATCTATCCCATTTATTATAAGATTTATATGCTGTCGATTGACAGTGTGATGTATGTCCACTTTTGAAAAACTAAATCAAAGGGGAGTTTTAATAATCTGAAATATAATTCAAGTTGGTAATGGTTTCAGAAAACCATTATTTTTAAAAACCTTATAAAATGAGAATGAAACAGACGAGTTCTTTCTCGGAAACATTCAATTAAAAACCACGTGCAATGCAACAGGTTCCATTCGTGGTTTACAATCTATGAGGGGACAACCTGTCTCCTGCACCTTTCTTGCTGCCCATGTTTCCTGATTTTATCTCATGTTGCAGACTCAAAAAAGAGTGGCACCATAATTACTGGCAACCCATTGACATGTTTACCATTAACAAAGGACACAGACCAAAAGGAAATTGACCTCTATTCTCAAAATGTCAAGTGTCCCATCAGTGTTTTTTTGTTATATATTTGTTCGGGGGTAGTATTGTTGCAGTTATGTCTTTGTGTGTTTATAAACGTGTTTCTGTCAGGTGGTGTTAGATGAGGTCAGGGATAAATCTGCTGATATTGTTTTGTTCGCATCCTGCAGTCTTCTTCAACCTTTCTCACAGTCTCTAACCCTCAACCTTTCTCATAGACACACAAACACACACACACACACACACACACACACACACACACACACACCTTAAAATGTATCTACGTTCTTTCAATTCAAACTCACTAAATATCTCTTCCTTCACATATTCTTCAGTAGTTCTACACCTCTCTCTCTCCTTCTCTCACAGCTTTTTTCACAGACACAATGGAGAGATATTGACCAAGTATGATCTCTCAACCTCTTCCTATTACCAATGTGCTAACAAGGCAATACCCAGACTTCCCACACCTGCTGAATATATAGCTGAAACACATTTAAACGACTATAAAACAAATCCCTGCTGGCAGCTTAATCTCATGGATAATGTATTACGCAAAGTAATTTTCTTTTTTTGCTGTCAATTGTATTGAGCTACATGGTTAAAAAAGAAAGTGAAATCTTGTTTACTTTGAATAGAATAACTGCTCAATTCATGTAAAGTTTATATTGGGAGAGGATATGACTGTTGTGCATCCATAAACAATATTAAATATTTGTAATTATTTACGTGTGGTTAGAGAAAGATGCTGATTTACAGTGTTTTCTTTCTTTCAAATGATTCTACTGTATATAAAGTGTTCATGAATGAGGCTTAGCTACTCCTGCAGTACATTGCTGATATGCTTGTGTGCAGTATAAATGTACGCTGCCGATCCAAGGAAATCGATCATAACCAAGATCACCACATCTCAACCACAGGCACATTCACCATTCGACACTCAGCATCCGTCCATTGTTTAAGTGTGTGGGGATATGCCTGTGTATGTATGTGTGTGCGTCAGTGTGAGTCCCACTGTAAGTGACAGTCAGGACACTAATGGCTTTTACGCAGATGGACTCTTAAATACTCACACTCAAAAACCAGTAACATTTACCCATGAGCTTGATTGAAAAAGTGCAGAGATCTATCTTCCTCTGTCCCCTCCCTGTCGAGGTGGAAGGTCAAGTACAGAAGAATATTCTGCACTCTAAACACTACTGCAGAAGGTCACAGGCTCGGTGTGCCGCTTTGTATTTTACACACACGCAACATGTAAAAGTAAATAATGAAAAGCGATAACATTCCTTAAGCCCCTTTTATTCTTAGCATGTCCTTTTCACGCTGAAAAGGTTTCACAAAAAGGCCTCTGTGAGTATGTGCATTATAGGTATATGCGTGCGTGTGAGCATGCACTTACTCCACCAGAATAGTCCGCGAGTCAAGTAGTGTAAGACGTGGTCTGTGTAGGGGCCCTGGAGGAAGCTGAGAGGTCAGCAAAGTGACTTGTGAACTGTTGGTGCAGCCTACTTTTGTGCATGCGCTCAGAACCAAGACATGGGTGGAATAGACACGAAGTCCTGAAACACACACACACACCAAGACAGCGAGATACAAAGCGACGTGAAAATAGGAAGAAACACATTGATCGCTAAAAAGCATTAATAATAAAGATTCAACCCTCATATAAGTCCAAATCTCCTAAGTATGTTCTTTTTTCACTCATTCCTCGGTGTATCTCCCTCTCTCCTTTTAGCTCAGTTTCTGAGTCCTGGTGTCCATGTTTGCCTCAAAACTGTTCTCCATCCCTTTCACTGTGACAATCTGCAACTCAATCTATTCTTGCATATTGTATAATTACAATGTCCATAATCCTTCCAATCACGGAGAACATCAGACACTCTGCATTATTAACCCAGCATGGATGATATGTGCTCTCATGCATTCATTAGCTAACGCACACAACACTGTTGGGCAGCGTGATGTTGTGCCAACCGTGTGTATGCGTGATGGTAAAAATCAAATGAGTGTTAATTATTCTGCTCATAAAATGTCATATAAAATAACTCTCCGGTTTGTGAGTCTGTGTACCTCTCTGCATACCTTTTGTCAACATATGTTGTATTGAGAGTGTGTCTTGCATGGTGTGTATCTACTGCGTTCACATCCTGGTGCACCAACGAAGTCTCAGCAGCGTTTCTCTGCTCCTTCATCTCTATGTGTGCGTGTGTGTTTAGCGCTCTTTTTCAAAGTGCTATTCCCTTGGTAAGGACGGAGTTCCTTTTTCCTTTTCAAATGCTAATCCCCCACTACGTTTCGCTTTTCTTCACTCTTCCTGCTCTTTACACCGAGGTCCCATCCCTCTACAGGAACACAAACATCGCAACACGTACACACAAGCACACACTTTCGTGCTCTCTCCTCTTTACCAGTGATGTTGTGTTGTCGGTCCTTCCCCCTGTAGACCATTTGGTTGTTGTGATAGAGGAGGTATTCTGTAATGCCTCCATTGGGCCTATCAGCGGAACAAGAAGTATCAAATGAGGATACAAATATTATGTAACATTTTTATGTAACATTCTTACTATTTGATATCAAACTCTCTGTTGTGTTCAATTATGATGAGAAATATATGTAAGGTAAATAAAAGGAGCTACGTTCGTAATTTTAAAACAACATGTTTGGTTAAATTTACCAACCTATATAGTCAATTACCTGCTACGTCAGAAAAGTGTCCAAAAATGTCGTCCATAAGTAAAGAATTTAAGAACGAAGCTCTAGTGTGTAAAAACGATTTGGACATGCGAATAGCAGGTGAGTTGAATTACCTTGCGGGGGGTTCCCAGGTAACATAGAGGACTGAGGGGGAAGAGACTGCAGCTGGGGGAAAGACAACATCTGGAGCTGAAAGAGGATCAAAATCCTATTATTGGTTTATAAGGAAGAGAGTACGTTAACACAAATATACTAGTTGGTATAAGAAAATGATGCAATTGATCCACGATGTTATCCATATTTCTATCGGTTTCGCCTGTTTGAATGTAAACATAATACTTCATATTGAACACTGAATGGTAAAAGTTTTTAAATGTTGTGTTTTGTTGTCTCTTTCCCTCCTTCTGCTGCTGCTGCTGCTGCTCCCCTTCGTCTCTACCTGCCTCATTTGAAATATGTCTCACAAGTTTCTTTTTCCACAACATGGGTGAGACTAGTGAGTTTATGTTCCCCATCTTAAGTGTTTATGAGACAGGATCGCCAACACATTTTTTGTTTTATTAAAATCTCACTATTGGCCATTTGCATTAATAAATTGAGACCACTTCACTGTTCAAAACACCACTGAGACTGGAGACAAACAAACAAAAATGTGCTGGGCATGATCACGGGTCTTTGGCAAAAAACAGAGTTATAAATAAGTTCTTTCTCCGATCTTACTTACATGGTTCTTAACTCTGCCTTCAGTGAGAATCAATACGGTCATCTGTTTTTTTCTCCTTTTACTTTAGATTGATTTTTTCCCACCTCTGCGCTGACCCCTGCCGTCACATTATCTGCCCAACAAGGCCAGTTAGTTGCTATTAATCTGTGTTGGACTAACACATGAAGAAAAATCTCTCACTTCATCTTCCACTTCTTCTTTCCTTTTACATGTAATCTTTACACAATGACCTCCAAGACATTACTCTGTACAATCTGCCACTCAGTTGCAATGTGCTTCATTCTCTAAATTCATCATTTTGTGTAATTCCCTATCAAGCTATTTGACTTCTCCCACAATTCTCCTTTTTATACATTATGACTCCCTGTCTTGGCCTTTTTTTCCATCGCTCTCTTATTAAGAGTGAAAATCCCTGAAGAGACAGGATGAGCGTGTCCAAGTGTGTTTAGAAGTGTGTCTGTGTGCCCAGCTGCACGAACATTACTACATGAATGCAGCTAGTAAAGGATAGAAACATTCTTTTCATGGGTGTATGGCTGTGCATGTGTCTGTGTGTGTGTACGTTTGTGCTTTGCAGACATACCTTCCTCCGGGGTTGTGAGGCTCGATCTCAAATCATTATCATCACCATTGTCATTAAGAAGACTCTCCGTGCAGCCAACAGGACTACAGGCGCTTACAGTGATAATGTATCGAGTCGATGGAGTGAGACCGGGCAGCACACCTGAAGAAGAGGAGAGCGTGAACATACCCGACAGGGAGTGAGGCAGAGAAAACCGGTTTTCAATTTTGTTTTAAACAAAGACTCAGTGACTTAACACCGCTTGACTTTTCCTCATATTGGCTACTGGGGAAATAAAGAGTGACAACTATTGTACGATGTGAACGTTTCCTTTAACACTCGTTTTTTGCAGCCCCGCCTTATGCCTTTAACCTTCTCCTTTGACTTTGTGTTGAAAACCGTTGTTACTAAAGTAGGTATCAATCTTGTTCAATGGGGCAATTTTATTGCTTTACTTGTTTCCACGTGTCACTGTTGCTAAGCAAACTGGCTGGGCTTGGCACGCAAGGAGAGTCTCTTCTAATTGTAAGGCTTCGTTTGTCCCTGTCTGACATTTTTTGTCCTAGCCGTCTGCCCTCTCCGCTCATTTCTGAATTCTTGAGTCACTCTTCTACGCCCCCCCTCTTCTCCTCCTCACCCTCTGTATGCAGTCAACCTGTCTCTCTTCCTTCTCTCTCTGTTACCCATGTCTTTTAATTCAATTAAGGGCCAGGGCCCCACTCCGCTGCCATTACACCCTCATTTACTTTCTGTGTTTTTCAGCCGTTGGTGTAATTCTGTAGTCAGGTGTTGGGGCCGTCATAAATTAACAAAAAGCTTTATCACGGTGGACTTAATGTCTGGCAAAGAGAAAGAGAGGGAATCGGGAGCACCGGGCGAGACTCCGACACACTTGGAGACAGAGCTCATCTTCATATTTGCCTGGAGACATGGCAGAGTGGATGAGAGGAGGGACGAATAGCAGTAAGGGACGCAGACATCATCATCATCATAAAAGATGAAGTGGGGAAAGATCGAAAAGTGAGCAACAGGGAGAGCGAGGGAGGGAGAAAAAAGGAGCAATGCCAGGGTATGACATCATTGGGGTAGTCCTGAGTGTCTTGTTCCAAATGGAGACAATCTCCTATGGCTGGGGACTTGCCAAGGAGACATCGACATGGTTGCCTGGTACATGGCATATATGTTTATATGAAAGACTAGTGAAAAAGGCAGCGTGAGTGTGTGCTCTGTAAGCGACGACAGGCAGGTCTCAATAGGGGGTTTCTTCCCTTTTTCTAGTTTCTTTAGTAAGTTAACAGGACAACAATTTCAGGTTAAGTTCCAGCACAAGTGATCCATGTTCCGCTGGCATGTGTGCATAGTTCTCACCAAGCAAAATCCAGTTAATTCTGTTTTTAATAAAATAGTTAACCCTCCTTGTACGTAATTTTACCACTTTTTCAGTACATCAACACAATGTTTAATACGGTTTGCATGTCAAGACATTTTATACTATCAAGGGGTTTGTATGTGTTGTACCTGTTAAATTTCCATTAGCCAGGTATATGGCTTTGATGGGTGGTTCCTCTGGCTGATCTCTATTGTAGGCCTTCAACTCATATCTGTCAATCAGCCCTCTCAGGTCCCCAGTGGGTGGCCCCCAGCTCACCATGGCACTGAAGCCATTCAAGCTTTGCACTGTGCTAGGAGGTGGTACAGACCTCGGCACTGCAGAGAGAGACGGAGAGAACGCAGGAGAGAAAAATGAGTCCAGATGAAGAGGAAGAGACTGTGGAGAGCAAAACAATGTGGATCAAGACAGGAATAGAGATACAAAACTGCAAGCAGAAGAATAAATAAACGAGACAACCAGCTACTACAGCTAAATGCATATTTAATACATAATAAAGCAAGTGAGATAATTAAAGACAAAAGACGCAAATAAAGAATGTGGGCCACACAAAGAAACATTTAAAACAAGAATATATCCGATAAAAGCAGAAAGGGAAAAAATTGAAAAAGAAAAGGCAAAACAACAAGCCGAGAGCATGTGAGGTTAAGTAAAAGCATCCCCCATCGCTCAGTGTTTTAATAGGGCCAGTAAATCATACCTCACCATTAGCATAAATAGTATTTATGAGAGTAGTAACTTTTTGAGAACTGATTTAATACAGCCAGCCATTCATTCATTCAATCTGGGCTGTATTTCACAGCAACCGGCTTCCCTCCTTCTTGGGGGCACTTCTTTCTCTCTCCGACACCCTCGGTAGTTCAGAATGGTCCTGCCCCCCGTTCAGATCTTCGTCTCACAGCCTCACAACCACTTTCCTTTTCTGTTTCCACCCATTCCTCCATCTCCCTTTGCTTTTCTCTCTGTTTCATCTTCCTTCTTCAGCTATTTTTCACACGTTTCATCTTTCCTTGTCTCCTCCCACCACTTTCTGTAGTCTTCCTCTTGCTTCCCCCCTTTCACCTCAGGCCTCATCCTCCAGCCTCTTCTTTCAGTTCTTAATGTTTTTAGCACTTCCTTCCTCACTCCCCCTCATTCCTCTCTGTAGTCACAGCATGGTATAGTGAGACCTACCAGTGTATTGTTCGCTACTAACGAGCAGCTTTATATTACACGGGGGACCACGCAGGCCATTCTGGGTTAACAGCCTTTTACTGGGATGCCCTTTATAGAGGCTTTATCAATCCCTCATACCGTCTGGCACATGCAATATAACTGGCTTTGGGATAAGTCTCATGTACTATCCAACATAAGCACGGCTTCACATCCACAACCTCTTAGGAACAAAGATAAAAACTACAGAACAAAGTCAAAAGGAGGGAATACTTACTAAGGCCGCCCCTGTTGACTTGATTAGAACTGGTCATTTTGGTCTTAGTGAACTAAGATTTTGTGTGTGTGACAATTGTAAAGCCCTCTGAGGAGAATGTGATTTAGTGCTATGCTAAATAAATTAAATTTAAATAAATTGAATTGGATTTAAATAAATTGAGCACATCTCTGTTAAAAACTAAATTGTACTCAGTTTTACAGCCGTTGATTAAACAAAAGCTCTAATATTTACTCCTCGTTGAACACACCCAAAAGTATCAGTTGCAGTGAAGCAAATTAAAATCAAACATTTGTTAGTGAACGTGCAAATTACACAGTACATAGAAGAACACACATGCTAAGGCCTTATAATAATCACAGGTTAGATAGTAAGAAACACTGATAAAGTTGCAGATACTGTAACAAGGTGTATTGGGCTTGTGTACTGCACACAATGAATTGGCTGAGTCGGATGCATGATGTAATACATAAGTGGGAGTGTATATTACTGTAATGATATGATCATATTTGGCTGTGAACATATTGGTCTGATGATACATAAAAGCGCACACATCTGCTGCTGAAGGAAGATATATGTTTTACCTTTGCCCCGGCTGCGCCCTCTCTGCCAAGGTCCCGCTGCCCAACCTCCTGCAGCCACGGCAACAAACCTGTACAAGTACTCTACAGAAGTGTAAGTGTGTGTGTGTGTGTGAGTGTGTTTGCACAAAGGAGCAAGGGTTTGGGATCCACATGAAACATGGGAGAAACAGATTTCTTACATTAAAATAAACGTATTTGAAAGCTATTTGCACACAAAATAGAAATCACAATTAACTTAATTGTCACATTTACCTAACAATAGACAATGTTATCAAATACACTTGTGCCAAAGAATATTCATACATTGGACAATTTGTTAAGAACTATTTTTGTTGATTTAGCTATTTTTACGGGAACTTTCCTGTTCAACGTGACACATTTCACAAATCTCTTCCTCTGGCTTTACAATTTGTACAACATACACAAGGGAAAGACTACTGAAAAAAAGCATGTATACATTTAACATTCTGAATTGTAACTGTCCTTGTTTGATCAAATGTTCTCATTTTATTTGACTGTTTCAATATAGGCTGGATTATAATCTAATGTCATAATCTTTATATTGTTTGTTTCGATGTTGGAGAAGAGTCTATTGGTGATGTCTTAAAAACAATAATTGTATTAACATTGTGTCAGAGTTCCATACTTTCTTCTCAGGTGAGGACTGTGCGTGGTTACTGTACGTGCAAACAATGTGCATGTAAATGTGCATCATTACCAGTGAAAGGCTGTAGGCTATGATCTGTGGCCTGTGTCTTCCTCCCACTATACACCAACACTGAATCGTTTCCTCTGCAGTTGTAATGGCTTTCACCGGTGGGACAGCCGTCTAAGTAGACTCTAACAGAACGGCGGGAGGCAACAGAGAGATTAACACTTTGACTGACAGGAGGGTTCGTTTCATCACTTCGTATGTGAAGACCCCTTATGCAACCTCCTAGACCTGTGAAGGAGGAAAGGAGGAGATAAAGAAAGTATGACAGCGAGACGAAGAGGAGGAGAAGTGAAAAAAAAGTGGAGAAAGGGAAGGAGAGGGTGAGAAAGAAATCTTTCTGAAAAACTTTCACTTTAAATTGTGCAAATAAGCACCATCATCCTCCAAAATCATTTCATGGTTGAATTTGCCATCCACTTAAACTTAAGTTGAATGTGATACTGCAAGCAAATAGCAGTATGACCACTTTGGCGCCTGGTTGGTACATGTAATACTGCCCACTGGGCCTGTAACTGTCAATCAAAACCTGCAAGTACCTATTGCTTATCCCCACAGAATAATTTTTTTTTTTTTTTACTAGTTAAGCTCCATTGCCTGTGTGAAGTACAACCAGTTAAAGAATAAAGCAGCGTAGACAGTGTAAAAGCACTGATATTATTCTCACCGTGTTTGTGACTTCGGCTGTCCAGAGCAGGGTGTGTGAGCTCCATGGGCACGCCTCCCAAGTATAACGGCGAATCAACTCTTAGCCTCACTGCCTCTCCCCTCGTCTCCTCTGCCCAGTCATTGACTGCCGCGGAAATAAGCGAGCCGCGTTTTGCCAGTGAAAGCGGTTTCCAGTCTCCATCGCAGTAACTGAGCCCCACCCACATGCTGAGTTCAGTCACGTAACCTTCGGCGGCGAGTACGAATGACAGGAGGCCGGCTTCCAGCTCCACCTATAAATCAACACCATCAAAAGAAACACAACAAGCTAATGTCATGCAAGTTTTATTTTTGTATTTATTTATAATCTTAAATGTGTCTGTTCACCTTACCAACATATAATCATCCGTTTGTGTGCCGTATGTAAAGAGTAAAAGTGCATTGAGCTGGTCTGTTCTGAAATCCATATAAATGTCAAAGTCTTCTCCTCCACTGAAGACATCTCCGACCATCTCCAAAAAACCTTGAAGATGAGGAGAATAATTGCCAACAACATGCCATTTTATTATAAGGCAGGGGCTAAATAATGAAAACAACTTATTTTGTTGTGTACACCTTTATTTCAAACTGTCCCATTTAGAATGTGTGACATGGTTAAGATGTTTTTCATGCATTTAAAAGTGACAGACAGGTAAAAGGTTCGATGAGCAGATTGTTTTGCAAAGTAATAAGGGAAGAAATATTGACTGATGAACCTGACCAATTTCATCATTCACACAGAGACCAATTAACTTATCATCATCATATTTATCAACATGAAACAACAACCTCATTATGAGCAACATCGGCGGGCAAGCAACTTATTAAGATACAGTGTTGAGAGTGCACGAGGGAAACAGAAAATCCACAAGAAGTTTTATCTAAACACAGCTTTTCATGAAATGCAAATAATCTGTCCCATATTGTTAATTTTCATAATCGCAGCCAAAATCTGCTTCCTGACCTTACCCAATACATGTAATGTATTCAGGGTCATATTTCCTCACCATACACTTTGGAGATTCTACTGGTGGCGGGTTATCTCACGTTTAAATTTAAATTAAACTTGTGACCACTTTGTGTCACTGCATCCATGTAAACGTTGGCTAGCTACCATTGACAAAACCTGTTTGTCTATCCTGGTGATATCAAATCACATCAGTAACATTATGGCTTTTGAAATGAATGCATTTTTTATTCATTTAAATTCCACAGCAGATTTAGGTATGCAAATAACTGGGTTTGTAAATAACACCTCAAAATGATGTAAGCATAATTATCTAAGCATTTCTCAGTAGCTCAGCGGCCCACCTGTAAACCCCCCCAGCATCAGAGATTAGCAGCTCTCATTGCTGTGGTATGTAGTAACATAAGTAGTGAAACAAGTAAATGAACCAAAACTCATCATCACACATCTCTATATCATTTACAAGGATCCTACCGTGACCAAGAAAATGGGCGCCTTGCACAGTTTGAAGGGGGCATCCCTCCCAGCTTTCATACACTGCCACCTTCTTTGTGGCTTTTTCCCAGTCTAGAGGTTTCCATTCCTCTGATGGGCCGTCAGCCATCTTAAAACTCACGTCTCTGAGGCAACCAGAGAAACACTGTCGCACCAGCTGAGCATCACCTGGTGGGACAGAAACAAATGAATACCTGTCTAAAGAAAAGAACTCCATGCTTCTTAAGTAAACAATTTAAGTTCAAGTTGCAAGTGCAAATTGACACCCGGTGCTTGTCCTATAAACGGCCGGGCGATACCAAGTATCACTGGCTGATTATGTGAATGATGACAAGTTTTATGAAGATGGACAGCGAGCTCGTAAGATCTATTTCTAATTAGACTGGACCTCACACGGGAGGTTTAATATCCCTTTCCAAATTATACTTGAGGAGCAGATAAAATATCTATGTAAGCCGGGGCTGTAGCACTAACCTACCCGAGAGTGAACGGAGATGAATATAAAAAATAACTTTTATTTCACAGGAGAATTGACAACCTACGTTAAAATCAATTAAAAATACAAGGCATGTTAAGCTGTCCAACACTTATATTTAAAGGTTAGAAAATGATAAACTATCATTGAATATTAGCTAAAGAGAGTGGGCGTGACAAGGGACTAACCTGAATCCTGCCTTAGCAAAGTTAAGTCTTCCGGCAGCCCTCCAATGAAAATCCCAGTGTTCTCTCCAATGATGGTGCTGCCGCTGGAAGCTGACGCACTTCCTGTTGTAGAGTGGTTGTATTGTATCGGAGGTAGGATGTTATAAAAAAGAAATTAGTGCATTTAGAGAACAAAAATAGATTAATATGAAAGAAAGGAAAATAAAATAGAGTGGAAGTAATAACAGGGTAAAGGAGTGGAGTCAGAGGACACACTCTGGGGGAGGGTTATGATCCTGCAGTCTCTGTGCAGATTTACTCTGAAAGAAGGAAAATGTCATTTGAAAAAAGATTTGAGTCCAATTGAGGATTGAATGTTTGTTTTCGAGTGCGTTGGTATGTGAAGCATTTTTTTATTCATCAGATACAGAGTTGCTGGTATTAACCTGGCTAATACCTCCATGCAGAGTTGGGGGATTTACTTAAATAGAAACACACACGTGATATACAAGCTAGTCATATCCAAGCAGTGGTGCACATACTCAAATTTATGGAGAAAAAAATAACACTCTCATTTACACTCATACGTGCACACACTGAGGGAGATACACACAGTGGTCAGTACGAATATGAGAAGAGTTACCTCGGTATTGATTGTTCACAACGATTGTTCCCACGGCCCCTCGCCTGGCTGCTATGATGCTGTGCCATTGTCCGTCATCGTAGCGGCGCCCTCCGTCACCCTGTGCTCTCACCGCCACCGCTGAGCCCTACACACACAGACGTATAATCCCACATCACAAGCAAGTTTATTAGGGGTGACCCCAACTCATCCACTATATGATGATTCAATCTAGAGCCCGATTCAATTGTGAGAGGAAAATGTGATTATGAAACAAAGGATCATGCTATTTTCTGCCATATGTGGGGGAGAGAATGTCTGATATTTCATAGAACTCCTCTTACTAGTCTATTTGTAATACGCATGATACACATTTTAGAATAACTCATGTGCCTGCTTAGTGTGAGTGATAACCGTGGTAGACAAAGTTGCACATCTTAATTTTGCGTCACCATTGGAGCAGCATCATAATGACAGCAAAGAAGGACCATATAACAACAACAACAACATCAAGCTGCTGTTTCAACATCAAACTCAGATTTATTGATGAGAGCATTGACATAAAAAACAAAGCACTATCAGAAATCTGGACATTTTAATTTATTTCATGATCACAAGATTTGTACTCTGGAATATGGACTGAAAATGGAATAAGGAGGAAAGGTTTTGTTTACCACCACGAAAAGTAAGCAAGACAAACTGTACCTGTTGCTCTGTTTCAATACCTTGGAGAGCGCTGCATCTACAGTACACTTGACCAATTAGATTCAACATGGTAAAATCTTAATCAGGGCCATCACTAACATCTCCCTCAATAGAGTCGTCAAGAAATCCCCTGACCGTAGGTCTCGCAACTATATGTTTTAAAGTAATAAGCTGTAGTAAATAAGTGAAATAAGTAAATCTATTAGCTCTGTCTCAAAGAAACCATTTTTCATGTCACAGTGCAATCGAACACCCTTAGATGTAACATTTCAAATGACCACTTATTTTTTCTTCCGTTGTGTAAAGAAGATAAAGAATCGATGACACACGTTGTACACAATCCCCCTCAAAGGGACACCAACATGCACATATAATCACCAAAGTGTTGTTACAGGGCTTTTTGCCACCTATTAAGTATGACATCATTGTTGTGATCAGCTTTTAGCAAGTGGGCAAAGAGTAATGTAGTAAAACAAGAGTACTGGGTACACTTACACAAACACAATGATAACATATATCCACACACAGTCACACACTCAGTGATGAAGATTTAATGATGAGATCAATAAATGTATGAATGCCAGAGTATATCAGCGCCTGACATCTTTACTACCGACGCTAGACAGCTCTACTTAACAAGACAACTTGGAGGGAGTCTCTCTATCACTCGCTCTCTTTTACGCTTACACAAAAACCTGATCGTTTGAATCCCTTCCGGGAGAAACTGGCTAACGAATAACCCCGGAGCAAGACATCTAAACCATGACTGCAGACAAACAAAAAGCCGATGCAACATATAGCCTCAGCTAAAGCCACGCCACTCATTACGCGCTGGATGAGACGCCTTGCTTCAGTACTCGTCGTCGTGCTGACGCACTCGACTAAGGTGTGCGTCAGCTGATGAGCGACAAGGCCACAATTCCCGATGGCTTCAACACGCAGCATGTGATACTGGAAGGATGAAAGAGGATAAGGTACACCAACAAATGGTACTTATCCAAGTGCCAACCCTACGGTCTTCCCAGCAATACTTGGCAGCTATCAAAAGACTGGCAGCATATCTATGTGTGTGCCGCACTGTGCCAGGGCTTTTCCAGGCTGTGAATGGGCCTTTGGGGGCGAATATCCACCACATTAGGTAACATCGGTCCGTGTTTACAATAAAGGAAATGAGACGTAACGTTTTTTTTACAGAAATCAATGCATTTTCCTGACCCTGGTTATGTCTGATCATTTGATAAGCAAATATGTCCATCAGGCTTTGACTAAATGAGCGAAAGAGCATTCATTCTGGCAGACAACAAACTGAGCTTGTGTGAGCTTCACAGCAGAGTGTTCAGGCACATTCAAAACAATGCAGCTTAGTTGGATTATCCAGCGCTCAGCCGCATGTGTATTATGTTGCGGCAGTGGATGGGAGAGGAGTTTATTTGTGGAAGTCAAAGACGCCGTATTTAACTCCTCCAGAATTTAACAGGTGACCGGCAGTCATCTTGTTTAAATTTAAAATCTAAATAAAAAGACAAAATGGGTGCTTGTGCTCATGTATTAGTATTCTACATTTCTTTGCTCGGTGAATGGAAAAAAAAACTGAAGAGAACAAAAGTACTGAAGATGCGCGCGCGGGTGTGCGTGTATGTGTGTTTGTGTTTTCATAAGCAGGCAAGGAATCCCTTGGGTTGTACTACAGCAAATGTGCAGGCTCTGCTTCATTACCAATTTTGAGAATACATGTTGAGCATCTGCTGTTGAAGATTACAATATGTTCTTCCCAAAAGGCTGGAAGACTGTAAAATGAAACAGTTTCCAGATTTCACTAAGAGCCTCCAGTGTCACCTAAGAGAGAACCAAGATGCATGGCTGGTACAATAAAATATAATTCTGTTTATCCGTGTACTAGCCAAAGTGTTTAACAGACAGTGACAGCTAACCCAGGGTCTGTAATAAGAGTTACATGTGTAGTATTTCAGCTCGAGACACACTGTAGTTCCCAGTAGTGACAGATACATCTGTATAGTGACACAGCCACTACTCACCTGCACCAAGAGTGTGTGTGTTTCAGCATGTGTGTTAAATAGTTTGTGACAGTGCAGCAATAACACTTTGGTCCATCTCCTCTATGCTTGACAAGTATTATTTCTGACTGTCACGTGCTTTATATTGTGTGCGTGCGTGGCGACTCACAAGTACACATATTTATGAGCATATCACTTTCCTGTGTCATGCTAAATTAGCCCCCCTGCACTGGTAATCCCATTAAGGCTAGCTCAACAGGCTAATAGGGGGAAGTAATGGGCCCGGCTATATGTATCTAGGGAAACACTAATAAGCCGTGACACCACTCCCACTGTTAATTATGCCAAAATAGTCTAAACAAAGGAATCAACCCAGTTGGAGAAGACATACTTACACTTACACACACATTAACTTTGCAAGTCAACAAGGATCTATCCATTGACTTGCACTCCTCGGGACACGCAGATTCCTCCCATGGTTACATTTCGATGAGGGCTTTTTGATAACGAGTATTGGATAGTGATGAGGAAGGAAAGTGTAAGTGTGTGTTTGTTTGACTGTGTAATTAGTTGGTGGCCTCATGGAAGTGTGTGTAATCATCTCCCATCATCACTTTCATCATCTAAGTCGTTGACTCTTTAACCCCCCTACATGTGTCTGTATGGATGGATAAGGGAAACAGGGCTGTGTGTGTGTCCATGTCCGTGTGTGTGAGTGTGTGTGCAAAGCTTAATTAGCTTGCAATTGGTATTCACGCGTGGTGACTGCAGGGAATGAGTTAATTGCAGTCCAATTCAAACGTTGACACACTTTCAAAGTTTTTTCCCCTCTGTCTGACAGAAACCAATGAGGGGCTACAGATCACATTTTATTAGATGAGAGCAAGTGAGAGAAAATGGAAGAGAGACAGAGAGACTGAGACTGGGGCAAAGAAAAAAAAAAGACAAGAGGTGGATCAGAATAAAAAAGACTAAAAGACACGGGGAGTGGAGCAAGTAAGTAAAGTGAGCAGAAAGAAGTAATGAAATAAGAGACAAAAGAAATGAAGGGCTGTAGATAAAAAAGCTGAATGAAACAAAATGGCGTAACTTCACACCAAGCATAGCGGCACGCGCAAAAAAGCATTTTACAATATCCTTCTGTCTGACAGGTGTGTTTACTCAATGAAACACGTACTTATATCATTTCTCCTCCTACTTTTGAAACAAAATTGTAACTTTGGTTGGTCTTGACATCTTCCTAACCCTCCGATTCTTTGTTAATTACAAATTGATCTTAAAAAGCAAAGTTGCATGTGTCAAGATCATCGGTCTCGCAATATCCATACTTTTTTTCCTAGTGTGCAGAAAAAGAACATACCTGTGGATCAAACAAAAAGTAGGGCTGTCCGTTTTTCAACTGAATGGCCAGGAACTCTTCCTGATTTCCTGGAGAAAAGGCACAGAGCAGCAGGCCATTCGGGGAATGAGTTCTGAAACTCAACTCAACACCTAAAAAAATGAGAGAGAGCAAAATAATGTTTTTTATTACTTTGGTATATGGACATTTTTTCGGTAACTTTCAATATATGGATAATTTAAAAGACTTGTTCCATCCATTATTTCTGAATTTGTTCAAATCCATATGAAGTGGATGCGTAAGGTTAAGGGTTTAAAAACAAGGTATACTGTACATGTAAAGTTACAACACAGCACAATACAACACAGTTCTATACAAGTCATATAACGCACATTATGCTATTCCCAAATACATTAAAGCTTATGTGTTTTTCTTGGCAAGTTTTTCCTGTGCCAGCATGTCTATAGACTGTAAAACCCTCTTTGTAAATTGCGATTTGGGGCTTTACAAATAAATGAATTGAATATAAAACCCCAACCACCAACTGGTAGGACACAAGATTTGAGAGCTGGAAAAACAATATTAACGGAGCAAATTCAGTTGTTTAATCTCATTCCATCACATCTGTCCTGCCACGTTTGCTAATGCAGTGAATCAAAGCCTCAGCAATGTGGGAAACATCTGGCTTTCTTTTTAACACACACACCAAAATTCATCCAGCGTGCTGTCTGGTTGTGTTACTTTGGATCAGAGATGGGATCTTAATCCACTACTAGATCCACATAGCGACAGCGGGCATGCGTTTTACTTGTGCATTTCCTCAGCTTCGTCTGTCTCTGAAGGGAAGGGGAAGTGTGGGAAGATGTGAAGAGTTGAATAGAGGCAGTCCAAGGTTCATCAGAAGCCGGTGTTTGCAAAAATAATTAGTGTGTGAAATCACTTAACATGGAGGGAAGTCAAACAGTTACAAGGAAAACTCCAGATGAATACAGATTATCCACTTCAGAGCTCCCACTTTTTACAATTAAAAAAAGCCATTTCTGGGTTGTTTATTTGTATCTGGATCAATGCTTACGGTATATTAGTAGTGGACATGTGGCAAAACAGTGACTTCCCATAGGTTTACAATTTGTAGATGTTCTGTATGTGCTGGTTTACAAAGATTCCACTAAAATAATTTCCAATCAGGCTTTACTACAAGCAGAGTCACAGTACTTTCTGACAACAGTCCTAGCAACGGTTATGTGGATTTAATGAGCATAACGTTCTTCCTTGGTGATGGAGATGAGGACTGATCCCAAATAATGTGTGGATGTCAACGCCAATGGATGCACATCAAATACTGTATATCAGGGTCTAAAGAGGCAGTCAGACGGGAATGAGAAGTTCACCGTGGTCATCTGTAATTTCACTCATCCTTTCTGACAAAAATGTAATCATCTGCAAATTAGAAGAATGTGTTCTGTAATAAACGTAAAAAGAGGGAACCCAAAGTCTCCCCAGGAGAGTGAAAGATGTGAGACTAACACACTGCATGAAGTAAATTACTCATCATACTCTTTCTCTGAGTCATTACTTGGCCTAATCTGAACAGACACATTAAACATACAGAGATATCATCCAGTTTGACTTCTCCAGGACATTACTATCTGCTACACCCTTTGCAACTGGACATCCCTAAATGTGCATCATTAAATCATCAAAAACATTTTAATAATCCAGTGATTATTGTAAACCATGAATAATCTGAAAACAGGATTTGCATTTCGTTCTCTAGAGTGATGTGAGTAACATAAACCCTTTGAATGTAGAATTGTCTTCTTATAATGGTCCCCTTTGGCAGTGAACATATGCATTGATTACCAATAGTGCCCAAGACCACAAGTCTAAATGGAAATATGGTGGTAGTGTAGAGCAAAAACCAGACGAGATGCTCTTTACATTGAACTTGCATTCTCTACATCAAGCGGGCATCTGCTATTTACATTCATGACCTTGTCACTACAGAGATGAGGGAAGTCATGACAGATACCTGACATTACATTATCCCCCTTTAACCTTCTCTGTGTCACTCTCCTGATCGCTCATATATTCCTTTTTTTTTCTTTACTACGCTTTTAACCTTCCTGCTCTTTATCTTGACCTTTCCTCCTTTCTTCTTCACCTACTGCATCATCTGAATGTTTTCCCTTCTTCCATTTTAGATTTACCCCTTTTACTGCCACCTACTCATTCCATTGGATCGTAGGTTTTTATGCTATATAGCTATAGCTTACACTATGGTGCAAAAATGTGTCCACCTCATCAGACTGTACAACATGCTATACGTACATATTAAAGTGTATATAATGACCCGAATGTCCCGAAAGGAAGCGTTTTTACAAAACAATAAAAGATCTTCTCTCTTTCCCAGAATTCTTTACAGAGCCACTTAGTTTGTATCAGATATTTTCAAGCTGCAAGTTAGAAACAACACATCTGTTCTCCAGTAGGAGACTGAGGGCGGAACCTTAAGTGTCCGGCGGCCCGCAATCACGGTTTGGATGCATTTTAACTGTAAAGACTGAAGTAAGACTTTAAAATAACCTTTCAATACCCCTCCAAGTTGAACCAAAACATGCACAGGGGTTCATATTCAGCCATATGCAAAGATTCTTAAATGTCAAATGATGATGCCTTCTATTATATCCTGATAAAAAGGAATGTTGTGCAATATCCTGAACTTTTCTGCTATGTTTTGTGATTTTTTTCACTGAACCCAGTGTGAGCTTCCACATCTCAAGCTGTGTTTATGAGGAAACCACTTGGGAGGAATCATTCAAGAGGTCCAATCTAGGCCCCTCACTTCCCAAAACAGTAATGGTGACAGGTCAACGTGACTATTAATGCAACTGTATTAATGTTTACATCATGTCAAGAATTTTTGCTTTACAAAACTTTTAGCCTTTTGTTTATGTTTCATATACTGTTGTTATAAAATCTAAAAGTGATACAGTAGGGCAACAATAGACAGCTGTCGGTGTGGATTGTTCTATTCTGCATGTTTGACTCTGTGCAATAGGGAGGGACTGACTGTCAACACATGCTTGGCCACGCCGTTTGGTCCAAATGTACAGCATCTAAGTGACACTGCTCGTGCTCAGCATTGCTTCCTTAAGATTTCCCCACAGGACTTGTGCTACTTCACGCTGACAACCACTTTGGAGCCATCAACAGACAAACCTGAGGACACATCCTGACAGGTGTCTCTGTTACACATACAGAGTACATGCAGGCACACACGATCACACACAAACACTTGCGCAGTGCGCTCACACAGGCACAAAACACCAGCATGCAGTGAATAGTGCACGGCAAAGCCTGAGGAAAACACATAATAGGTATAATGTTTTCCCTCCAAAAGGCCTCCCCACCTCACAACTAATTAAACTAAGTAAACGAATAAGAACAAAAAACAATCAATTAATATCATTTAAATTGTACTGACAATGCATAATTATGCATTCAAACTGTGGGTCAACTTTTCAAATGGTATTTAAAAAACAGAGTAAACAATTACGTAGTAAGTAAATAATAAATTCAATAAAAAATGTGAGGTTGATACATTTCATATTCAATACCCGTGCTTTCATAAATGTGTGCATAGCGTATTCCTTGTAGAACATCCGGGTACTTATTGTGCACTAGTTGCCATTTCATATTTCATTGCCTTTCAATGTAAAGACATCCTGCTATAAGGCAAAGTGTTGTGATTGGCTGAACGACCAAACAATCAAACTATGCCCCACAACTCTTGATGCAGAAACATTAATAATCCACAATAAACATGTAAATGTGGAATTCTTGTTGAGTTTTAAACCTTGTTAAGTGAACAGGGTTATGCTCTCTTTCTGGCCAAAACATGAATCGTATGAAAAAGCACTGGATCTTCATCAATAAATATATCCTGTGTTGTTTGGAGGGGCTGTGAATCTGGTAGCTTTCATAAGTGATATTTCTTTAATTTAGTTTACAATTCCCATACAACCAATTATAATCACACATAAACTCTAGGTTAAGTAAGGCAATTATATTGTTTAAATTTGGTTATTCATTAATAGAAAATTATGCAGAATTGTTTAAAAAAATTGTTTATTGGTCATATGAATGTGCTTCTGCGCTATTTCTATGTGACAGAAGAGAGGAATTATGTTTTATTCAACAGTATGTCAAATTAAAAATTTGCAGCTTTCAGCCAGGTACAGTTTCAAGCATAGTTTTATGTATTAGGTAGCTATTGTTTCTTGAGTTAGTGAATTGTTGCTCCTCGCTCTGTCTCAGTAAACAGTGGAGGTTGTGTGTAATCATCTACACAACATAACCTGAATAACTCCAGTCATGTTAGCTCTGTGCTGGCATTAATCAGAGCCTGGCGTATTAATGAGAGCGCGGCAGCTAGCTAATTACACCCATAGATTCTGCAGCAGCCCATTAAATATACAAATGACAGAATTAAAGAGCCCAGCCTCTTCTGATTAATCTTTAAATGGGGAAAAACTAATGATGTCTGTGCAAACTTTCCCTTCACACATTCATTCCCCCTCCTCTCAACGTCAATTCCTGGCAATCAATCATATTAATTAAGAAAAAATCATTTGTATCATTTAACATTTCCCTCTGTCCTGCTTAGTTGCTGCAGAAATGTACTGTATTAGGCATGTGTGCAAATGATACAAATCTATTTGTTCCTGCATTAATTCTTTCTTTATTCGTAATGTTTCCTCTCTTTTGATTGACTGGGTGTAGAAATACATCTGGGCTAGAGAAAATATTAGTAGGCACTCATCCTCTTCTCAATCAGGCTATTTCAGGCGCAAATACTGAAGAATTACAAATGAGGAGAGAGGACTTCATAATCTGTTTAGAACCAGTATCCTTAATTCAAAGACGAACAAGGGGAGCAGGAAGTCACATTGTGGCCGTTCAGATATCAAGCATTAAATATAAGATAAATGGCCTACTATGCATTTATTGAAACAAGCACTTACAGGGTATTCATATCACAGCGTGACTTATACGGTAATAATCCGGTTTTATCTAAAGTAAGATTCAGTGTGGTAAATATTGACCTCAAGTACCCGGAATTCATTCAGCATTAAGATGCATCGTTAATCACAAGTGAGCAGACCTATCATAATGGAAACATCCAACCTTTGTCCCAATAATTGCACATGGAAAACAACCTATTTGGCCAAAATAATTTTTGTAAAGTGGCCATTGATTAAGTGAAATGGCAAATACCATGTGATTTTACAAGGTAATGTATTGATTTGATTTAAGATTTAACACACATAATATTGGCTCAGATTAAAGATGTGTCCTAGCATAATGTTAAGGAAATGTGAAAGCCTGCATTAAGAACCTAAATGAACAATTTATGAAAACTAAAAACTAATATTCCTGTAATGCTTCGTAATGTTGATTGAGAAAAATGATGATCTGCCGTTTCCTAGAGAAAGCCCATAAGGATCTTCTGAAGCATTAATACCTGTGTAAAAAAGTTATTTAAAGATTTAAAAGACTACAATGTCCAACCAATACACAATCTAAATGTTGTGATGTTTGCTGAAATATGATGACATTTTGCATTATGAAACTGAACAAAAAAAAGTCTATACAAAGATTATACTCTTATAAATACGTTCCATTTGTCATTGTCGGAGCTACTAGGTTTCCATAAGCAATCAACGATTGACGAGTCTCTTCTCTGTGATCAATTGACTCTCGAGGGGGCATTACACTGCATTACATTCATAATCCAATTTGGCTTTGATTTGTTCGCTGTTCCATGCGCTTCGATGGGAATAATTATCTGCAGATGATACTATTAGTATTGATGGTTGTAAAAGGGCGATGGTTTGAGGACTGCCGACACATTCTTGGTCCAGAATGGATCCGGTCTGAAAGTGATTGTCTGATCCATTACCCTTTATGAAGGAGGAAAGTGGAGGAGATGAGAGGCGCTGTTCTATAGCAAAATTCATCATCTATTTGCTGGTATCCATTTACCTTTGTGCTGAAGGAGCACGGGTAAGACCAACATCTTGATTTGAAAAAAAGTCAGCAACAGAGGCAGCAACTTCCAAAAGAAGTTGTACTTTTTTGTCACAGAGATGAAAGAGAGAAAACAGCCCAAGAAGACACAGATAATCTCATTGAGTATGTAAAAAAAACTGTTTTCACCACTAAGGTAAGTCCCAAAGAAAAACATATTTGTATTTTTTTTTTACAGTGTACTTTTTGCCATTTCTATTTTTTATTTTATTTCTATTTTTTAAATTTGTTGTGTTTGTAATTTCAGTATTCAGTGGCAGTTTGTCACAAATAATAGTGATACACAACTGAATCTATGCCATGGTCTCCTTTTCTGTCTGGAATATTTAGTAAAATCAATCAAAATATTTATAGGAAGAAAAAAAAAAGAATTGCTGTCTTTGGTATTTGGACCCTATCAACTGTTCGGGCTGGGTGATCTCAATATTGGTTATTTTAGTGGAACAAGATAATGCAACCAACATAGAGAGATTTGTTGACTCCGTTACAGTTGTCAAGGTCGCATAAGGATTAAAGATGAAAAATTGTGTCTACCCAAAGTCAGATTTTTGTCAACAGTCGGTTTGCGAAAAGGTATAAATACACTACAATACACTTATTTTTCCTTTTTAACTTGGTTTGAGAAGGTGTAAAAAAAATTGTGTCCATAAAGTATGACATAGTTGGTGATGCAAGGTTTGTACAGGACAGTGAAGTAATCTCAAGTGGCATCGAAGAGCTTTGACCGTTCAAATCCCTCTGATTAGTATCAGCAGCCATTAATTATGAGCGTCAGACTGGGTGATGTTCTCAGATGAAGCAGAACATGTTTGGCTGTGCAGCTCAACCCGCTAATGATGCTGGTAAACAGAAAGATAATTGTCCTTTAAGATGATGGGGGAAGTCATTGTTGAGGAATGACACAAAAAGACAGAGAGACACCGAACAACACAAAACATACCAACAAATGCAACAGGAATGCATGTGCAGACATACTCACTATACGGAAAATTGAGATGCAGGTGGGCATGACTTCCATTATCTGACACATAGGTCTCTATGTACTTTCTCACCTGTGAAGTCAGTGTTGACAGGAAGGGTGTCACTGGGAAACTGGTAGTAACCGTTTCCCGAGAATCTGGTTCCCCTGACAACAGGACTGTGTGGGTCAGAGAGAGAGACATCTGCTCTTTCAACCTAAACAAAGAAAAATAATGTTATTAAAAATAACACATCAACGATAAAGGAGCTTTTTATTTACATACATTTGGTCATCAGGGGGTGTGGGTCTGTGCGGACCTCTTTAATTTGGTAATATGTTGTGACCAACAGGACCTATACGCAGCCACAACACTACAATTGGCAGTGAACTAAGAAAAGTCTATTCTGTCCGCAACTGTCAGGAGCATAAACGAGGCTCGAAAGTCTACGCACACCACAGTGGCACCAAAAGGTTAAGCTTTAAACTAATGCTAACATGCTAATTTTCCCTCAATGAGAATTTTAACACCATGCCACCATGTTTATTTTAATTGAGTCGTTCATGTTCTGGGGACAATGAATGTCGTGCTATTGCTGTGCCAACATTACATTTCTGTAGACTTGTCCAGCACATACATGTACACTGCAAATGGTAATGGATCCTCTTTTTACACACCCACCAAATAGCTAAAAAAAACCTGGCGCAAACTAGCACACTGTGTTTAAACAAAGCCTTTCAGACCTGATATAGCGGGTTTGGTCCATTGAGTTGGGCTGGGGGGTCCCAGCCTACCTGAATGGTGGTTTCATTTACTGGATGTAATTGAGGTGGAGACAGTCCTGTTGGGGCTGGGGAGAGAAAGGTAGAAAATAAGAGATTGAATGCCAACTCAGAGCAAATAAAAAACCTTTCTAATATTTCAATCACTTAATCACTCAAAAGGTGCTCTGTTTGTTAAGTGCATGTAAATGTGAACATAGAGAACATAAAGCACTACATTTTCCTATTGTGCTTGTAATCAATACACTGATTTTGTGAATTTTCAAGAAGAACAAAGTCCATGGCTACTTTATCTCATACACAACTCTAGTGAGTACAAAAGCCCAATCTAACAGACTTAACAAATTAACAGATGGTAAACTGAATTAACTGCTTTCCCTTCAGATGTTAAATTGAATGTCACTTTCCAACATACTGAACGCTACTTGAGCTGTGGCTTCCACATGTATCATTAATAAATCAAATGGTGACTGGCTGATAAGGTGAGAGGAGATATATAGGAGTGGATAAGAGAGGCAAGTGATGGAATGGTGTAGAGATGGGGAAGATGTGCGTGCATTAAGTGTCATTCCATCGTTGTCTTTCTGTGTGTGTGTGTGTGTTTCAGTAATAGTCTAAATGGTCTGTGGTAGGAGTAAATTAGCTCTCGGTGACACACATGTGGACCATCTTTAGTGCGAGTTCTAATAGAGCTCTTAAAAGGGAAGTGGACAGGTTGTCTTTGGCTGTTCATCTTGCCACATCAAACCATAAATTACTGCCAATCGATAGCTTACTAGTCTATTGAAATGAGCTATGGTGACATTTAGAACATTGACTGTGCCAGGCACGCACCCACACGCATGCGCGTTTGAAACAGACATGTATTTATTGAACATTGACACTCAGTAATATATTGTTATTAATATTTACATGCATGGTTATCTTCCATGTAACTAAAGTCGGCTCTACCATGAATGGTTGTCAGACCACAAGCAAATAACAGACTACAACAGGTACAACAGTACTTGAATGGTAGATACCTAAATCTTGTCCAAATGCTTGTCCAAAAGTTTATCTGAAGCAGATGTTTTAACAGTATGCGGGTAGATTACAATGCACACATGTGTTTTCAGATTAATTTTGCCATAGTGTAGATAAAATATATATATATTTGGCAGGAGATCCTTATTTTGTGAACAACTCAGCCTACATACAAGGTAACACAAAGCCCCTCACTGAGACATGGATGAGTTCATTCACATCGAAAGCGGCCTCATGGTCTCTGATGAAAGTCTTTGTCCTGGTGAACGTTGTCTATTGCATCACCTGCTGCTCCTTTCAAACAATTCCTTGGGTAGAGTTCCACAAAGGTAGTTGAGAGCAGTAATACAATTTTCGTTTTTTATGGAGAGGGTGGGGGGTGGTGGCCCAATAGATCAATTGAATAAAAAGTAAGCTGTTGTTCCTTAATTACCGACAGCAGGACCACCAACTATTCTGTCTGAAACACAATATTACAGTATTTACATGAAGGTGAACTAAATACTGACTCATCTGGAAATGTTTTAAAGATTTTTCAAAACTGGCAGCTCTGCTATTTTATAGTGACAAAATAAATGATTCCCCCACTAACTTATTTTATTTGCTTACTTAATCAAATGCAGCATTATTTGGGATACCGTTTGTAATAATCTGGATGGAATAATACCTGGCATGTAGTGCATAAACACCATTGAATATTACAGATAAAACACTGCACACTTTGATAGACTTCAAAAAAGGACACAAGGGTGGGTGTGCATAGGTTTAACAGTTAGTGTGGTGTTGACAGATATCGACGGTGGTAATCGATGGAATTATTTGCGTGTCACATTTTACTTTATTGTGTCTCGTTTTTAATTCACTGAAATGTAGTTAACACCATGACACCTTTAGTTTGACGAAAGCCACTTGCCTCATAATGCATGTGCACAAATACACACCTTTCCCCAGACACGGGTTAACAGTGCACCAGAAAGGTGAATTTTAGCTGCTGACATGGTATGAAAGCAGCTAAATCATGGGCCAGCTCCCAGATGCATTTGTTTGTGTGTGTTTTCTGTTTTTACAATGAGTGGCGCGTCTCAACGGGCTCTTAGCGTACAGTTACACCACGCACACAAGCACACCACTTATTGACATCGCGATCCCTTGCCATGCATATTTCTTTCCTCAAGAAGGGCTTCGGGCCAATTATGCGTAAATCAATAAAGTTCCTGTTCTGTTGAGTGGTGTTACAGTGTGAGCGCGTATGTGTGTGTGTGTCTCTGTGTGTATGTCTTGTAGAACAAGCCTTTATGGATGTAGGATACATAAAACATCACCATCAGTCCCTGATTAGCCACTCACTTTACGTCGTGATCGATACCTTTGTGGAGAGACGCTCACATTCAAACAACTGCACAAGCATCCACACACGGACGCGGAGTGCTTTCCATGTGTCGTTACGTCTGTCTCGCCGTGCGCGCTAATGTTCAGTCATGTGCTTTGGTGTAACTCCAGTGGTTTTGCAGATGTTGTCTGCGCACTTACAGCAGATGGTAGCTGGCTCTAATGGGACAACCTTCCGTGGTACATTTATCAGTGCATCAGTCCCTCGCTTAAGTACTCTTACGTGGTGTAGCAGACATGTTCATTACATCTCTATATACAAATTGAAAATTAAATACCAAAACTTTATGGATTTGAGTTTTCGGTAATTCTGCGGACTTTTACCAGTAAAGACTAAGCGCTGGGAAAACCTTAAGGAACAATGTAATAATATACCTCAACAATATACTGTAGTTAAAGGATTTGGTCGGATTTATCTCTGCAAGATAAGAATGGGCTTGGTTTTCCTCTAGAAAAGGAAAAATATTTGGCTTGGCAAAAAATTCCAAAATTGACTTTGGATATCGACAAATAAAACTAAGCGAATATCAAATTATATACAGTTTATAACAGTATATTGCCAAAAAACATAAATAAAAAATAACAAAGAAAAGTGATTGTATTAAAGGTTTGAAATATGGTTAAAAAAATAACAGTAGAAAAAATGGGCATTAAAACAAAAAAAAAGGCAAAGGCTTTCTTTCCTTTTGTGGGCAATGCTGATCTGCTCCATATTCTCGATCGGGTATTAAAATAGTATTTGTAACCTAAGAGGTCGGCACCTTCTGAAAGCTCAGATTATGTTAAAAAAAACTATTTCCTTTTGACAAGATGATTTAAAACTGAATGAGGGAAAAGTGATATGAGGATGTGGAACTACAAGCAGAGGCTCATCACCCAAAGAAGTGGCACATGCAACGCGTAAAAAAAAAGGAAGTCTGCTGAACGGCATATGGCATTATCATTTCCTATAGTTGAAACAAGGGACACCTTTGGTGTTGGATGAAACAAAATGATGGAAACAGATGTGACTGTTAAAAATACATTCAAAAAGTCAACTGGGTACAATAAGCCATATTGTACTGTACTGTATTTCAGTCAAAAGAAGTTTTAGAATCACTTGAAATAAACATTGTCAGTGCGTCAGCAGATGTAGCCATTAAAAATACATTTAGAAAGTCCACCGATTACAATATGAAGCGTCATTCATCAAAATAAACACAAGGAAGGCTTTTGGAGAATTGCATTAAATGAAGATATTCCCTGTGGCAACAGCTGTCTAGAGCATGTTCAAAAGCCTAAATCCTGAGCAAGTATTTATAGATAAAAGCTGTTTTTTTTCGCAACCACTCAGCGCATTGTCTATTCACTCAAAAGGATAAACAAAAATAATTCAAAACCCCAAAAGACATAAAATGCAAGAGTAGAGACCATAATTGAACAGATGGAAAGTGTGTTGGGGGATCAGTTGCTGGTATGTTTGTATGTATGTTTGTGTGCGTGCAAGTGTGTGCAGTATTTATATTGCAGATTGATTCATGTTTGTTTGTATCCATGTGCTATTTTGTGTTTAGGTGAAAGTTGCAGTAAGAGATAGAAGTAAAGGACATATTGAGAGAAAAAGTGAGAAAAAGAAAGATAAACACAGTGAATAAAAATGTCATGTGTGCCTATGTCATCCTACACTGATCAATTAGTGCTCATACCAGTTGTATAGATTTGAGTTATTAAACACAGCTAATTCATTCTACTTCCCTAACAGTTGTAAATCTAAACGAGAGACACACCACTCTGCGTGTGTGTGTGTGTTCGATTCACGGCCAGGAAGAAGAGTGCGCTACGCCACATTTTCTCCTTGTAATTAACAGAAAATTGTTTTTACTGCCGAACAACAAATATCCCCTCTGACCCAATGACTGACTGACTGCACTTTTGGATAAGAGTTAGCTTATAATAATGTGCTGCAGTTGTTAGGAAGAGAATACCACACACTTTAATGTTTCAATACTGCACGCAGTTTGACTGAGGCGTTTGCATTTGACTGAGGTTATCTAGACTGTATGGACAACATATTTTTGAGGTCTTGTTTTACCTGCAGGTAGCGTCCGCCCCGTGCTGGGCAGACTGGAAATGCAACCCGTGCTTGTGCAGAGAGTAATAGTGAAGTTGTACACATGGTAAGGCTTCAGTCCTTCCACTAAATGAACAGGCTGTGACGATGGTCCTACCCTATGCAGGACCTGGAAAGAAACGAAGACGGAAATTTCACTTTAAGAAGAAGAAAAGAGAGAATTAGAGGCAATCACACAGTCACCTCAGTTCGCTAACTAAACTACAATTATTACTGCTGCTGCAGGTGAGCATATCTTTTTTCTACACAAGAAAACCCTGGTAAAACATCAACTCTACTTGAGTTAATAAAACAGCATTTACTAACAGCAGAAAAACAATATAACAACCGTTACCTTTACTTTTGGCAGAAAGCGCAGATCGCACTGAACATTTTATGGCTCTCCTGCTAATCATGTGAAGGGGAAAGTGTGTCGTTTGTCACCTGACTAATGACCGGAGGAGCATAGGGATTGTTGGTCTGTTCATTCAGCAAGTTGACCCGGAATTCTGTAACCTGTCCTCTGGCAATGATCCCGTGACCCTCAGTAGCACTCCATGAAACGTTGAGACTGGTGGATGACAGGGCCGATACTTCGGGAGGAGCCATCAATTCTGGGACTGGAGACATGGCCACAAACACACACACATCACACACCACAGTTATGCATTCATTAATAATGAAGTCCTAGCTGTGGAGACATTGGTATAGTTGTCTGTTCATAAGGCATTTGTAGGTCTATGTACTTGTGACCTTGTATGTTTTTTTTATCCTCATTTTTTTATACTGTTTTGTACTATCTGGGCAAAAAAGTTTGATTGATTGATTGATTGAATCATTAATGCTTAATTAATGAATTATGTGATAACACACACATTTGTTGAAGAGGCCAATAATTTATGCTGAAAAATTCAACAAATCAGTAAATATAGTAATACATTTTTGAACATTTGGTTCAAATAAGAGAACCCCAAATCTCCAGTATAAAAATTGCTTTAACTGCTTATAATAGTGTATTCCAAGGGACTTGAGCAGCATATTCCCTTAGTTTAGATAACTAATAACTATAACAGCTACTTCTGCAGCTGAATTACATTCCGATTCCAGCAGGCATCTAGAGAGAATATCAGGCTTTGAGCCAATTTGACACATGATTCCCAATCTTTTTTTTTGGCAAGACTAGCCCTGCATGGCTGGTTGAGAGAAGTACGATTGGGTAAGGTAAGGCATTGCCCTTGAGTAGTAAGGGTAACAACAGCCCAGGGATCAGGACCTAGGAACGACACTAACAAATCGGGTTAACCTTAATTCGGAGAGCATCCAAGCGATTAACTTCCCAGTATGAGTGCATGAATAGGCCTTATTTAAATGAGTTAGCTCTAAAAGTTGTAAAATATACAAAGAGTTGGGGTTAAAAGAAATTAAAATAGTACATTTGCTCTATTTGTCCAATGATGCTGAAAATAATGCTGATAGAAAATGCCACTGAAAAAAGAAAGTGCCACTGAGTAAGGGATAAACTGGGCGGTTTTAGGAAACGAGGATAGACCCACAGGTGATATCTATTTCTATTATTATAAGTTCACGCATATTAATGGTGTCCTTGAATGCATTTGCTAAGCTTTGTGTAGAAATAGGCGACACAGTCAAAATATCAACATGGTTATTATATAGGTAAAAACTGAGAAACTAGGAAAATCAAATAATTATTTATTTAAATTAGCTTCTAATAGGATTATTATATTTTAACTTTTGAAATCCAGAAACCATAAACATAAATTCCTCAACATTTTTGGGGAGTCTGTCTTTGACATCCACCCATTACAATAAAAACGTACCTTTTGCAGAGGGTTAATTAAAATACTTCTTTAGACACAAAGAGATACATTCAAAATCGAGACTAAGTAGATATTATGTTGGTTTAATGGATTGAAGCATTCCAGAATTTTACGGTTGTGATAGCCACTATTAGATGAATAGATTAAAGAGAAAGATTCTTTTATTCTGCTGTTGATGGCATCTAGCTGTGAAATATGCTGTGAAATGTGATTCGTGGTGGACATATCCACAATCCTATTCTTTCTTTCTGACACAGCGCACACACGTGCACAAACACCCACACACACGCTTCAAATTTAAAATGGTGTTATCATATGCTTGTTATCCAGACACATAGCTTGGAGTGATGTTGGAGGCAATCATTTAGTCCTAATGAGCCATATCATCTATTTGAAATTCAAATACCTTAATGAGATTCCCCTCCCCCACACACAGTTAGGTCCTCCCTCCTTCATTTCTCAGTATTTCTTTTGACAAATGCCTGTTTTGTTTTAATTTATTACTATTATTTTTCAATGTCATCATCTGGTGAACTTATTTGGACCAAAACTTGACTACATTAGGCAGATCTTGGGCAGATCTCAGTCCTTTTTGGTCTTAAATGATGCCGCATTATTAGTTTGTGGGAATGGTCCCACCACAACATTCACATTAACTTCAAATTTTACAAGTAAATTGACTGGCGTGATTTTTTCGACGCTATGACCACAAGCTATACAAACCTCCCTCCAAGGTGCGTGCTGTGGTCCACCCAGATGTCACACTTCCTGCCATATTGATGCTCACAACTCTCATCTCGTAGGTGGAAAACGCCTGCAGATTTCCTACAATGGTGCTGCTCTCAGGGGGTGGGACTGAGCTCCCATTGGTGAGCCGTTCTTCTGGGGAAACGCTGGGATCCAGCCAACCAGCGCTGACAAACACTCGCTTCTCAACAGCAAGTAACGGATTCTGTGATTCTATTGGTCCATGAAGAAACAGCTCATACCTTGTGATAACACCTGTGCAGAAAGAAAAATAGTACAAAAGTCGGCGAATTAGTACTAGGGACTACAACAACACAACAGTTATTTCTAAAATCAAATTAGACAAGTTACAATTGCAGCTAAAGGAATTCTTTGGGAAACACTGCACCCGTTTTCCTTTTTTCTCCAAACTAAATTCAGCCCGTTTGTGAATAAGAATCAGTATCAAGTCTGTGTTAGAAGCTGCAGCCCTGCATTTTGTAAATTGCCTTTAATACAGGGATGTTTTTCTTTTCGTTGCAAAAAATGCACCACTTTCCAGTTTTTGGCGCTGTAGTGAAAGAGGCTGATCATTTCTGGCTGGGTCAGTTTAACTCTCTGGAGGAAACCATTGTCCTAAACGCTCATGCTCTACTCCACTTGTTAATAGGGACACGGCAGAGCTGGTTTAGGAGGAGGACAAAGCAGGAAAGCCCCTCAATACAAAAAGGGACTTACAGACCCACCATGGAATAGATGAGAGCTCAAATGCTGTTAGTGTTAGTGTTTGTACAAAGTACAAATAACATCAGAACTTAACGTGGTACCGGTCTTCACCCTGCCCTCTCTGTGGCCTCTCATTACATGAGTGCATACTCCTGCGATAAAGCCGTCCACTAGTTTATTTGAATACTTATGTCTTTAAACCAGAAATGAACTATATGAAGTGAAAACCATTGTGAAAGGGTTATAGTTACACCCAAACCAAACGACGCCATGGTAGAAACCTGTCAATCACCAGGAAGCCACACCCTCGAGCATACCCTGCTTTACTGTTCATTTTGACTTTTAATAGAACCATATCTTACAAACTAAATGAACATCATGCTGTATTGAAGCATAATAATGAGGTTATAAATTAAGAAAGAGGTAGGGGAATTTTTCATTGACTTCTCCACAATCAGATTTCTTTTATGCAGCCGGTACGTGCGCACCATGTGATTGTAGAATTGCAGATGGTAGCCTGCCGTAAACTAGCTCCAGGCTGCACAAATACCCTGCTCACATTCTTGGTAACTCACAATCCTTTCTTTTTTTTTATAGCATATTACATTACGATTAACTATACAAACAATAAATAAACAACTAAAACATAAAACTCAAAAGAAAAGACAAACATAAATTACCATCCTCCAATAAAAATATGAAATAGTAAACTTATATTACTTATATTTGTTCCTCTAAAATTCCATTAAGCATCAGCAACCACTGATAAATGATATATTGATTAGAGCAGGTAATGGAGTAGTGATATTTTTTCTATTTTTGATATCTGTTGATGATATTTTAATTCCTGAAGGCAGAATGTGTGCTTTTACGCCCATTTAAGGAGAAAATGGTGCTGGTTGATGCACTGTTGTGTGTCAATTGAAAAGTGATCTCCTTCAGTTTATCTTTATTTTCAACTCGCACAAGCTCAAAATGATCATTCAACCCATAGTCTGCTAGATGTATCTATAAATAACCATGATGATAGTTGAGACTGCCTCAACTAATTAAAGAAAGATAGGAGATGGCTGGCCAATTCAAGAACAAATCCTGGAAAGGTGGCGGTGTACAGATGAGGCCTGAGATTAAAGTAGTTGAAAGCTCAACCTCGCTTTAAACAATTAATGGATGACATTTAATGGAGGAAAGAGAAACAGAGACACACATATAATGTAACACTTAGAATGACAGTGTGGATGAAAAAGATTAACAGAGGGAGAAAAGAAATGAGAGAAACAAACAGCGAGAAAAACCAGGTTAGGGGGCTTTGTATGACACTGAGCCTTCGAGCCATTACAAAGCTCTCTGGATTTACCAAAGGCAGTTCCAGTTCAGTGCTCGTTTCTGTGTATGCGTTAGTTGCTTCTCATACTTCGGCAGTGACATAAGCCTAAAAGCCATGCTAGTAGGCAACTCACGTTTTCAGTGTGTGTGTGTGCGTGTGTGATTATTATAACTATTATGTTTTATTCACTCTGACATGACCAATAATAATGTCTAAGTTCAGTGATATTAATAAAAACATAAAACAATAAAAGCATTTTAGTGCATTAATGTGTATAAGTTTGTGTGCATGTTTTTTGGAAAGGTTTCATGAGCTGTGTAGTATGCATGTGTATGTTTGGCGTCCTACCATTTGGCTGACTGGGGGGCTCCCAAGAAGCATGCAGGGTATGAGGTCCTGTAGCAGAGACCCTGGGTGTGGGTTGGTGTTGTGGGGGGGCAGAGGCTGTCAGAAGAGACATCGGTGGGGTAGAAGTGCACCCGCCGGACGAGCACGCCTGTAGACAAGGTTACGATTTTGCCATATTCAATGCCTAACATGTTCATCCGTTGTGTGGCTCAAGCAGTTGCTCCACAGTTCAATAATGATGCAATAAATCCAAGTGGAAAGTAAAAATACTGTTGGCTGTTTGCTCCACGTACCTCCAGTCTTACAGTGTATTGGGTGAATGGCTTCAGACCGCTCGCCACAGCCTCTGTAGAGAGGCCTGAGTAGTGAATGACAGGCTCTGCTCCACTAGACTCCACGGATGATAGGACAAACCTGTGAGGGGTGTGATGATCAAATTGTCTTAACGTAAATTTTTTTCCATCTCTCGCTGTCGCGCCATTTGGCCACTGGGAAGATCTCATGTTGTGGGTCAGTAATAAACTCGTGCTGAGGTGTCACAGGGGGCAGGAGGCTAAGATGTTTACCATGCAAACGGCAACGTCAAAGGTTGGAATAGAAGACAGTAATTCAGAGGTCCTCTCTGTTGTTGTAGGTCATCGGCCTCTACCAAATATCACCAATATACAAAGATGCCTCCAAAATAATCTTCTAAATGATATTAATAATTCAAAGTGATAATCGACCCATGCTGTTTAAAACTTTCCTTGTTACTCTCTTCACCTTCAAACGTCACTGATCCTTTCCATTTATATGTCAATCCTCCACCTCGTCCCATTATAACAACCTCCCAAGTAAAATAGTCTATTATATATCAACTATTGATTCTCCCATCTCCATCCCTTTACTCTCAACTTGTCCATGTTCTTTTTGTATCCTCAGGGTGAATGTACAAATAACACGTTTTACTTTTTACTTAATTTAATTTTCAATTGGTTTTCCCACTTCTTTCTCCCGCATCCAAAAGTCCTTCACATCTTTGCTCTCTATATCTGATGTTCTGCATCTAGCCGTTCTCCTTTAATTATCCTTCAACTTAACTAAAGCTTTTTATGTCCCCTTCACCTTAATTTCACTCGACTGTTTTGGCAATTCTGAATGTTTTGTTACAAATTGCCAGGAGGGCCATCAATAGGTCATTTAACCTAGTTGGCTACTTTCAGCACATGGTATATCAGCTTCAGTCAGTCAGAATCACAACTTGGACTACAGGTAAGGCAGGTCCTACAGGTCAGAGAACAAAGGAATCTAAATTACGACTTGAGTCCTGTTTCCTCTGTCTCTAAACTCTCCCCTCCCGTGTCTCCTCACTTACCTTTCCACTGGGCCCGTGTCATTCCGTGGCGCGCTCCAGTCAAAGCTAGCAGTGGACGGACCGGGTTGTCCTACAAGGTTTAGATGGAGTTGTTCTACTTCTGGAGGTGCGCCCAAAGTTTGGTATGAGGCTGATGCACTTATTGTTGTACCGGCCACATTAGCTGTTACAAGCCAGTAAGAGTAGTTGGTATAAGGAAACAAAGTAGTGTCTTCAAATGATTCAGGGCCTGAAAGAAAACAGGTAGGTTTCATAAATATTTTGAAATAGTAAGAAGGAGAATAGAGTTCTTGTCACCTGTGTGGATACTTACTGAACGGATAATAACTCTGAATGCTATGGACTGACTCTCCATCCCTGACGAGTGTGTATTTGAGTCTGTTTGAGTTCGGGGAATCGGGTGGATTCCAAGAGAGACGAATGGAGGAATAACTGAGAGCAGAACCTACTGGTGCAGGTTGCTGGGAGGGTGCTACACAGACAGACAGAAATAGTAAAAGAGACTATCAATGACTAAATAGATTAAATAATTATGTTTTGTAAGGAGCAAACAGTTTATAATTGTATATGTATAAATCAGCAAGCGCCTAAATTAGACTGCATAGAATTCGTTTTTAACATCATTAATGCAATAAATTGGTTGATGTTATTTAACAATACTCTTAATCTATTTCTTGCAGAGAATTATATAAGGGGATTGATTACACCGCCATGTGGATATGATACATATAAAGCTATAGTCAGCAGCTGCAATTTACATTAGGTAGGAATAAGAAATAGAAATTGGAGGGGTTTGTGTGTGTGTGTGTGTGTGTGTCTGTGTGTGTGTGTTGGCATGTAAAACAAACCTCTACTGCACCCAAAGTGGCTCTCAGGGTCGAAATGACTCGCTTCAGGTTGACATACATCACACTTATCCCCAGTTACCAGCAGCTTACACTCACAGAGCCCCAAGTCTGGATGACATGAACCATTGATACTGCCACCCGGGTCACATGCACAAGGCTGGCATCTGGTCAAGCAAAAAAAAAGAAAGATTAAGAAGACGTTTAGTACAGTCAAGATCATTCCTTCATAGCTACAAACTCTCACTGCGTGAGACAAAATCAAGAAGACTTAGACACCACTTTGAAAGAGATGTAAGTCTGTGGGTGTGTACAACCACTAAACAGATGTTATTGACAAAATATTTTATATTGTTATTGTAAAATAATACTTTCCTACAAATTAATAGTGATTGCTATTGCCGATGGTATGCCAAGTAGAAAAAGAAAATGTACTTTGAAATGTATCTGCATTATTGTACAAATGTTCCAAGATAACTTGTGACCGGTTATGCGTGTCTGAAGGGTGTCGGGTCTTCAATTTAACACTGTGAGGGAGACCCTCACTATAGCCTATCCCACCCACAATCACCCCCTAACTGTGAAACTATATTCACAGAAAATACATTCCCCTGCACAAAATCTCTATGTATTGTGTGTGTGTGTGTGGGTTTGTGTCCGACGGTGTATGTGTCTGGGTCACCAGTGTGGTGTTACCCTCACTGGGCTGGGCAGTGGGTGATCATCCGGCCATCCGCCTTACACCTTTACACACAAGTCACATGCACTCACACACAAACACATGCATGGTCACACTCACACACACACACCAACAGAGAGAGTGTAACACTGGATAAACCCTACTACTGTCTCACACAATCCCATATACACACCGTGCGAGTTTCTTTCTTACACTAACTCTGCTCACATTCCATCTCTCACGCAGACACACACACACACACACACACACACACACACACACACACACAGCTACACTTCCCTTATTGCTGTGTGAAAAGCCACAGCCTCTTAACGAGCTGCAAATTTGTCCTGTCAACTGGTGCTCAAACAAACACGCACACACCCACACTCAAAAACACACAGTACACACACATGCATGCAAAAGCCATAGTGACTTGACCTTCACCCCATTCACAAGGAGATCACAGGCACCCACATCAAGTCCAATCCCTCCTTTTCTTCAGCCTAAATGTACAATATGGGGCGATGGTGGCGCTTGGAGTTGAGAGGGGTTTGACTCGCAACACGCAAGGTTGGCGGATTGAACCCCGGTTGCTCCATGTCCCATGTCGAAGTGTCTCTGAGCAAGACACCCAACCCCTAACTGCTCCCCGGGCAAAATGTAGAACCCCGGGTTAAAAATGTAAGTCGCTTTGGATAAAAGCGACATGTAATGTAATGAAATAAATGTTTTAAGCAAGATACAGCAGGCTAAATACACACCAGCACATAACAGTGACATGCAGGAACTTGTGAGCAAAGTCACAGTCACACAATGATATTGAGTCATGCAGTAACTTTAAATGACTTTCAAAGATGTTTAGGTGCCAAAAGAAGAAATTGTAAGTAACTGTAGGTTTTAGAGTATCATAAAATGACATATGTAATCCCTTGTAATAAAATGATGTGTGTCAGCAAAATGTGTGTATGTGGCAATATCTAATCCCTCCAGACATCATATTTCCCTGTGATGATGTCAACAGCGGTCAGCATTTCTCCGACCTGGTTCTCCATGGGTACACATAGAGACACAGGACCACAACACAAGCCAGTTGCTCACACATTAATTTGTGTGTGCATGTAAATCCATTTGTGTAAATCCTATCGATTGAAGTGGGCGGATAAATAACTAGATATTTAGATGAAGTAATCCTTATTATGGAGCGACAGTAGCAGTAATAACCTTTGTCACTTTACAGAGAAAAGAGGAGGAAGAATTCCTGGAATTGTGTTTGATTTATTGCTCTTCTCTTTTTAAAGTATGAAAATACATGTTGGTTTTACATTGCCCAAAAGTGTTTGTCATATGCAAAGAGACAGTATCATATTCGGTATTATATACATGGAAAAATTGCATGAATATTCGTGGCGCCGCACGAGTGACAGCACTTTTATAGTGGTGAGCATCTGCTGCTCACCACAGAGCTTTTCCTTTTATATTGTTATTTTTGCTACTGTTAATTATTATTTTTCAGAATAGTGCAGCATGGCAGCTAATCTCTCTCTAGTTTATCATGGTCAATTCTATATTTATTGCTGCCTGTGTACAAACATCTTTTACGTAGGCAGCCAGCTTTGACTCCCACAGTCAAACGCCAGTCCGGTGAAGTGAAGGAGGTTCTGTTTAGGAAGTATTCAGCGATGCCCATGGCAAAGACGTTGACAGTCTCATAGACTGCATAACGGACAACATAAACTTCTGTGTTGAGAACACACTGTTTCAACCAGGACATAAGCGTCCTTTTCAAACAGCAAACGCTGAATCGCTCTTGAAATAAAGACTCTTCTCAAGGAGAAGCAGAGGGTTTTAGGCCTGTGCAGAGGCAGCTGAGGAGGGTGATCGGGGAAAGGAAAAAAGTCTAAAGGACAAAGATGGAGGATCAGCTGCAGCAGAACAACATCAGTAGAGTAGTAATAATCTTGAATTATTACTTGCGGGCTAAAGTTACTATTCTTCCACTGATCCCTACTAAGACTATACAACTCTGTGGTTGATATAGCACTCAGCTTATGTGCTGATCATTGATGTTTCAACTAAAAAACAAACAAAAACAAACAAAAAAATCCCACATATTTATATTATGTCCATTTGCCTCAATTTTAAATCCTTTGATGGCACCTCTCAAATCATTGGGAATGCTCTTATTTGCATCCTCCTCCCACATGAGGACATCCTCATCAATATTCTTCCTCACATATTTTATCATTCCATTCTTTTCTTCTAAGGGGTTCCTTCCTCAGCCCCTTTGTAAAATAAACTCTTTTACCCCTCTCTGCTCTGAGGAGATCTCCGCCACAGGGGAATGCAGGCAAGGTCAGCTAGCGCAGATACACACACACACACACACACACACACACACACACACACACACACACACACACACACACACACACGTCAAACAGCTTGTGGTTCATCTATCTGCCATTACATCCCGTTGAGCTGAACGTATGTGTATGCGCATTCCAGTACAGCACAGTATGTAACGTGTACAGTTACACCTGTGTATACTGGTTTTAAGTTTTGTGTGGCACTGTGTGTGTGTGTGTGTGTGTGTGTGCGTGTGTGTGTGTGTGTGTGCGCGCGTGTGAGTGAGCCTGCAGGTAGTGATATGATCGGCAAAGGTCAAAGCAGCTCTTAACTCATGTAAGTCATATGTCTGCCAGCTAATCTGTAAACTGTCCTTACAGAGACAGCACCTGCTGGTGTGTGAGCACGAGGGTGTGTTTGAGTACCGTTCAATTGGTGCAATGTGCGTATAAGAAACTCATAGGATCTACAACCTGCATATATGGTGTTCATCTGTGCGCTTTTGCGAGTTACCTGCCCAGGCCGGGGTTGAACCCGAAAAACATCTCAGGACACTGGTCACAGCGTCGCCCTCCCACTGAGGGATGTGCACAGACACACTGTCCGCTATGGCTCTCACAACCACGCTGTGATGCTCCCATCGGATGGCAGTCACACTCTGCACACGCACTCTGATCTGCTGAGAGGTAAAAGCCTGGACAGAGACGACATAAAGTACAGAAAAGTAGAATTGTGAATTTGATTGTGTGTCTGTCATTGTATTAATCTGTCTATAATTGTAGTTTCCTCCTTCCTTTGGTAATGCCTTTATTTTATATTCTGTGAAAAAAGGACTATGGACCTGCCCTTTGTTTATGGTGCCTATAGTGACTAGCAAAATTTTATTTTTTTACTTATACTATAAAAATTCATTAAATTCCTTGATTAGCAAATACTGAGTAAGCCACTCATTTTCGAACACACCATAGTACAGTTTTGTGATAACGTTTTCAGGTCCCTCCTAATAAGCATTAGGGGATGTCGTCTGCCATTTATTTGTAATACCATTTAGCACAAAGCCAATAAGTGTGGATCAGGTTAAATTAAGGTCGAGGTACTAAAGTACAAATCAATTCAGTTTATTTCTCCCTACGCTAATAGCAGCTTATAAACAAATCTGATATTCTATTTAGCCACTTCTACAGGGAATTTGCAATGGCTTGTTTACCATATCATGAAATGGCAGTCTAGGAAATTGGTAGGGGTGATTTGTACAGGGATGGAACTTAATAAAATAAGTAGAATAAAAATGTTGGAAAAGTACTTTGTGTACCTTCAAAGTGCTGAATGTTGCCTTTATTTTATATGGGGTATATTTGTATGAATATTCTGACAATCCTACGTCCTCTACTACTAATTCACAATTTGTGCTACAGTAGACTTGATTATGCTTTTGGTCCTTTTCCATTACTGACACAATACAACATGCCCTTAACTACCCCTTAATACGGTGGCCCTGAAGTGAAAAACACAACGACAAATAGGAAAAAAACAGCAAATAGGAAAACACAACGATATTAATTTCTTACGGAAAGGGTATGGCCTATCTAGCAGAGGACGGACCCTTCTGATTGGACAGACGGACTGTCTGTCTTTCTTAGTTGTCGTTGTGTTTTCCTATTTGCTTTTTGTTTTCCTATTTGCCGTTGTGTTTTGCACTTCAGGTGCCCCGGTACCTTAACCCATGAGACAACAAATACCAATACACTACTAAACACACACACACACACACACACACACACACACACACACACACACACACACACACACACACACACACACAGGTAATGTACACACAAAAATCAAAGTGATAAGAAGAGTTCCCCTTTTGTGGTGCTGTTGTGGAGATCTGGCACAAACAGGACAATCATGGAAAGGCAGGAAAAACAAACACACACTCACGCACATACGCGCACACACACACAAAGAAAAAAACACAAAAAGTTTGGAGTACCAACCATTGTACTTTACCAATGATATGATTTACCAATCATATCACAAGTCTGATAATACAATCACTCTAAATGTCAATTATTCAACACACACTCACCAGGTCGGCAGCTACTGCAGTTTTTTCCATAGCGTGTGGGGACACATACACACTGTCCTGTGATGCTGTCACATACTGACCCAGTCACAGCTCCTTTGAGGTCACAAATACATGGCACACAGATGTGGGAGACCCCCTCTGATAGGACAAAAAACAGCAACATCAGAAAGAAAAATAGAAAGACGTAACTGTCACAACTTAATAACGCAAAAGCTTTGCAACACAAAATATTTGACAATAAATTGAGATTACTGTAGTTATCCCAAATCCATTTGAATTCAATTACAGTAAGCGCAATATATCTGAGCTGACTCTGCTCATCAAAAGTATGTCGTCTGTCAAACTTTCCTTTAAACACTGTTGGCCTCCTGGCTAAACTAAACTTAGAAGTAGCTTGTGGTACCCTGTATGAGTAAGCTCTTGTAGTAGTTATGGGCACAGTTGGTACACCTCGCCCCCTCCACCCCTTCTCTGCATGGGCACTGTCCGGTCCACATATCACAAACACCCTCTGGCACAGTGCCATGGACGTCACATTCACACGGCAGACAGCCCAGGGAGTTCCGCTGCTCCAGGGTGTGGTAACCATGACGACAGGTGTCGCAGCGTAGGCCCTCCACGTGCTCCTAAGAAAGAGGGCACAACATAAAAGAGTTGGGTGTGGTGCAAAAAATGAGTCAGCCCGAGGCAACCAAGATAAAAATCTCCAATAAGGTATTAAACTAGCGAGTTACTTTATAAAAGTTGATAGTCTGTGTTTAATACCACCCGGTTGTGGATTTACAAATCAAGACAGGCGTGTGGATCAAACATGGTGGTGAATATTTCACATAACAAAGAATTATTTCAAAGTAGAAGGACAAGAAAATACTTAATCACACCAGAGTTGTCCAGGTCAAAAAGTGCTTATTCGGTTGTGCACGTGCCACCATTTAAATTTTTTTATCCTGCTCACAAACCATGACTTGTAAATACTTATCGTCATCATATATGGCACCGGTGGACACCAGGGCCATTACAACCTGAAGGGGTGAGTCTGTTGATACTTTTCCCATTGTTGCAAAGTCCCTTATTGTTGTGAAAATAAAAAAATGTCATTAAGAAAATGTGTTGTTCTTTTTAACTTGCCTTACACACACAATGTCCCGCGTGAGGATCACACTCTGTCCCAGGTACTGTTCCTTCTTGTGAGCAGTTGCAGGGTGCACAGGATCCCTCCAATCTTAAACCATACGAACCCCTGCCGCAATAGTCACAGCGCTGCCCCCCCACCCCTGGCTTACACTCACACTGCCCCGCCTCAGGCTCACAAAACAGGCTGAGGGAACCTAGGGGGCTACAGTCACATGGGACGCAGCCGTCTGGGTGGGACAAGTTCCAATAACCAAACTCACAGCGGTCACACGACAGACCTGGAAAGAAAGAAGGAGACAGAGAGAAAGAAGGCGTTTACAGAAATGTGTAGGAGAGGACATAGAGGGACCTGCGGGACGAACCAAAAAGATATAGAAATAAAAGTAAAATGATGCTTGCTTTTCCATTAACTAGCATTTAGCTTCTCTCTGTTTCGCAGGCCTGCATGTGTGTGTGTGTGTGTGTGTGTGTGTGTGTGAGTGAGAGGGCTCGAAAAATGGTAGGCGAGTGTATAAAACTGCCATCATTAGGGCCAGGCCCTCTACATATGATGGATCACTCACCTAGGGCCAAACACTTAATTTCACCGAGCGAGAAAATAAATAAATTAAGCAACTACAAGAAAAGGAGGGGGGAATGGGTGGGAGGTGGGGAGAAAAGGGGGAACAGGGAGATGGAAAGATGGAAGGAAGAACATAATAATACAGAATTAAAAAGGTGAGTCAAGTTGGCTTCAAAATACTCAAAGAAAAGTTAAATTATCTTTTTAGAGTTATTCATTTTTAAAGATTTCCCCATTTGGTTTTGTTAAACAAATAAAAAATGAATAAATGAGAAAACATTTAACATTTAAGGTTGGTACAAGATACAAGATAGAAACAAATGATTTCTTAAATTGTGTTTGTCCAGTATATAAGCATCACACTGATCGCACTGTGGGAGGTTTCGTGGCTACAGCAGTAGCAGCAGTGCTGTGCTGTAAGGCTAGTTAAACTATGATATGCAGTGGGAGTGAGCAGGGCTTATTTGAATACCCCATAAGTATTCCACGACAGGCAATCTGTCCCTAAATGGATGCCTGGGGGCAACGCAGTCACCACAGCCATTTATGAGGGAGCGTGTGTTCATATGTGGGTGTGTGAAAATGTGTGAGCACACACATGTTTCATGAAAAGCATATACATCTGTGTTAGTGCACATGAGTGTGTGCTTGTCTGTGTGTGTCCTACTTGGTGTGCAGCAGACACCTGGCATTTCCCCTGGTCTGCCCACTTTAATGATTTTATAGATATGAATGTATTCCTCTCCATAGATCGTATTTCATAATAGTGAAGTGAAGATGGGTTTGCGCGTGCATTACTGTGTGTGCGTGAAGGCTGACTGAATAATGTTTACAACCCTGTATGTATTGTACACCCCTCTCCACACAGCGATATAAGCTAAACAGTTAAAAAAATGTAATATATATAAAAAGTAAAAAGTGAGCTAGAAAACCTGACATTTGGGAGTCATGTTTTCGCAGAAAGTCTTGTGACATTCAAACACAAGGTCCAACAAACGCAACAGAAACAACTCAGAGAACAAGATTAAAAGAATGAAAAGAATACAATAAAAATGGAAGAAAATTGCAAACGCAAAATGTGTTACAAGATATTAGATCAGAGCAGAAAGAACGTGACTGTTTACGGGCCTGCACTAATGCGCGTTTGCATGCAAGTGTTTTTTCAGGACTTGGCCCAACTCCTTTACCAGTAGCCAGGTACTTAACAGGCCCATGCATCACCATTTCAAACACTATTATGTACACACTGCACTCTGGCACCTTGTTATGAATGTGCACATGTGTGTATCTTTGCCTGTGTGCACATATTTCAATTCCGTCCTTCTGTAGCGTGCCGGCAATTGCTCTACTCAAAGTATCAGCTTGGCGGTAATAAATTGCCATAATCAAATCTCATTTCTCAAAAATACCTGTGGGAGCAACCAAACAAACAAGGACAGAAAAAATGAAAGTGGTTCGTTCTTGTAAGGAAGAGTGTGAAAAATAAAAGGGCTGCAGCAGTTTGTTTTAATCAACTTGGCATTGAATTAGAGAATTTAATACCAGCTTAGTGCTTCATGGTGTGCGTGTGTGTGCACACACACACACACACACACACACACACACACACACAGACATATTTATGCACACGCAAAGAAACTCTTAGTATCATGCGACACATGCAATTACGCAGAGACAAAAGTGCATGGACACACTGTCCCAGCCAGGCACTCTCCCTCTTCCGTAGACATATACACAAACATAAAGAGACACTCTTAAGCACATTTACAAGTTTGCATACACGTGCCTGCACTCACACGCACAACCGTGGGCCCTAGATAGCGCGGCTTAGCAATAACCATGATGCGTTGAGTCGAGGACCGTTGGCTGGTTTTGCATTTCATACGAGCCGGCTCTTCAAAGACACTCAGGGGAGAGAGTGAAACCATTTATCACAAAGAGAAGCACAACGGCTAGAAGCACCCCCAGCAGAAAAGCCTGTTTATTTTGGCTGCAAAAACACTTTGGGGTTTGGTTCAGTGTGTGTTTTTGTCTGTGTGTATGCACGTGCCTGGTTTGGCATGTAGACACGGTGTATCCTCTTTTACTTTTGTTTGTACACCGACAAGCAGATGTGCCTATGTATTAATTAAGAGGCCGTTACCAGACAACTGCACTGCTGATGGAGTAATTGCTCATAGAGCAAGTTATCAACAATATTCCTGAGGGACATTTTGTAAGAGGAACTATATTTGGTCTTAAGAGATGTCCGTACATGACTTATCCTTTCTTTAGCTTTATTGAAGCCTCAATCACACTGAGGCTGGTTTGTACTTGTGGCATTTAGGGGGGTGGCATCTACTTCCTTGTGTTACACCGTCCTCCAAAAGTTTCTCACCAGCAGGTGGAACGAAGCAATTCTAACACATGCAGTGAAAAGCATTGGCAACCAACCCACACATATTTCATCAACATAAAACCCCCAAAAAGAAATAACTTAAAAAACGTACTGGTTTCAATGTTTTTGTCTGGGGTTGGTTTACCTGTGATATGCGGTTTGCAGTGGCACAATCCTGTGTCCTGGTTGCAACTGGGATCTCCTGTTGAGGTGTCGATGATGCCAGCGTCACTGCAGTTACAGCGGGTGCAGCCATTTGGGTTTGAAGCTTTAAGACCATACCAACCAGGCAAACAGTCTACACATCGCCGACCTGTTACTGCAGCCTTACATGGACACTGACCTCCTACCTGGAGGGTGAGGTACAGAGGGTAACACAGGTTTTCACAGAACTTAAAAACATCAAAATAATTTAAACTGGTAATGCAAGGGATCAACATTTTGCTGTTTATGTTGGTGTTTACCTGGGCACACTCCATGCTGCTGTTGACAGTGCCAGCAGTGTTGCATTTACAAGGCTGACACAAGTGAACTGAAGTGGTATCAGCTCCTGCTTGCTTGAAAAATCCAGGTACACACAGTTCACAGTTCTTACCTGAGAGACAGAAACACAGAGAGATATTCAAGAGAACCAGCCAAAACCATGCAGCTATGAGGAGACATCAGTCTACATTCTCATTTGGAAAGTGGGTTCACTTTCTGACAATATTACATTACATAATTAAACACTCCATAACCACCCTCTAAATGAACACAACAATCACAAGGATCTGTATTTGTATTTGGAACTATACCAAAAGGACTTAAATTGTATTTGTCTATATCTGTTTTACATAAATCACACATATACACTTAAATATACTTACTATTACAGTTACCATCTGTCTTTACATGGCTGAGTAAGAATTGGACTTTTTGGCAAAGACACTTCAGAGGTTAACATTTGGTCATGATAAAACCATCATCTGAAGGCCTATTGACATCTGCTCTGTAATTGTTTCAAGATATTCTACAAATGACTCATTTTGATATTATGAAATGTGACACTAATTGGGTAACTTTTGTTTATGAGTCTTTACCCATGGTGTTGTGCATGCAGTTGTCACAGACGCCTCCTCCTCCTCGATAGTGCTCATCTGGCTGGTCATCGGCTCTGACATCATAATGACAGGTGGAGGCGTGGCCGTGACACTGACAAGACCGGCAGTTCAGAGGCTGGAGCTGGTCCCCTGATTTGAAAGGCTTGTCATTGTAGAGCGGCGCACAACGCTGGCACTGTTGAAAATCACTTTCACTGTCACTTACTGTATATAAATAAAGTTGTTAGTACTTTTCTTTATCATACCACAAGAACATTGTTATCAGGGATTACTACATCTTGCAAGTAATCAGCCCTAGTAATAACACAATTGAATGTAATAATGAATACAAGTTGTATGGGATGTACTACCTATACTTAAAATGAATTAGTGTTTAAAAAAACACCACAAAAAACATCATAGTAGAAATTCCTAATTTCTTGTCTGACATTGGTATTTACTAGATATATAAAAGAAGTATCAAACTGTACACTTGCTGTGTAGATAGAAAAATGGTCCCATGACAGTGAAATGCTTTCTTTCATGGAACAAAGAAAGAGAATGACACAGAGTGAGAGAGGGAGGGAAATATAACGGCAGAAAAATCAGTGGCCCATGCAGCTCTAAATCTAAAGAGAGGGAAGAAGAATGCATGTAACTGAATAGAAGACACGGAGGTATTCTCTACCCTATAATAAAGAGCCAGTACATTCTCTCTCATCCACACACACCCAGCATAGGGAAATCAGACTGCTAATGAGGAGTGACTTGCAACAGCCAGGGCTTTCACACAAGCTCACTTTCATGTCAAAATAAACATACCAAAATGTGTGTAGGGGAGGAGGAAGGCAAAAAAGTGACATAAAAAATGCATTTTTCTGTAGCAGAGAGCAGCAGAGGGAAGAATCAGCAAGTACAAGCCCTTTGATTTTGTTCAGCAGTCAGTACAAATTATGGTGGACAAGGGGGGGCATCAAATGGCTGGATTAAAAATGTATTAAAAAACACAGGAGTTCCTCCCATGTGTGACACATGCAGACCTGCACTGGGCCCATTATGTATGACACACAGAGGAAGGGGCTGGGGGAGGGGGGGTATAGAAATAGAGGGAAAGGCTCCTACTTTGTATATGAGAGAAAAGGGGGAGAAGGAATGGCAAAATGAAGGAACCTGATGTGAACAGAAATAAGGAAAGTCCCTTTGTGTTTTAAAGATTAAGACGGAGAGACAAGAACCAGAGATAAAAACAATCAACAAGTGTGTAAGCAGGAGATGTGGAGCAGAGACGTAAGAAGACAAAGAGATCAAAAATAAGAATCCCTCTTAGTAAGTGAAGAAGACAAAAGGCCCCCATGTGTATTGCAGTGACAAGACATGTCCCAGGAACGGAACATCTACAATTATGGAGGCTTGTGGGGTCAGATAAATATTAAATGTTTCTGCCCAAAATGCATTTTCTGTATCCTGAGTGTCAGATACATATTTTTAAAGCAATTCTGTCATCAAAGAATTTGCAAGGATGCGTACTTCAATGATGCATGATGCGAAATGCACGCCCACCCATCAGGCATTGCTCTTTAGCGAGGAAAAACCTCCCCTGTCGATTTGAATTTGAACATGCCATTGAAATCATATCACGCGTGGAACCACATTTGTACCACATTAAAAGTAACACATTTTAGGATGTGTTGTCCAAAAGAATATTTTGAAAACAGTAAGAAAAAGAGGACTGTCTGGAATATTTTTAAAAGGCAAATACACTTACTCTGAATTGAAGGATAAAAGAGGGGTTTGGCAGTCTGTATAGTTTGTGTCGGTGTGCATGTGTGCGTGTGAGTGAATCCAGAGCATTAATACCCTGTTGGGTGATTATTAAAAGGATCTAATGAAGCCGCGGGAGAATCTCTAGAGTCATGATATATGCAAACATACAGACACACATAAGACAAAAAGAAATCCACGCACGGACGCACACACACACACATGAGGGGGTGTCTTGAGACATGTAATTCCACAGGAGTGGTATGTTTGCATGTCATGGTTGCTCGTCTCTGTCATGCTGCTGTCCTTCAAATCCATCTATTGTCATACCTACAGAAACGTCCTGCCTCCCTGGAAGTCCGTGCTGCTTTTTGTGTCTGTCAACGCCCCCCCCCCACCAAAACGCTTCACGTATCAAAAGGTACTTTTCTGTCTGCGCTTCGAACACAAAGCTCTCACCACATCTCACTCTTGGTCTCATCCGCCGGGATGAGTTGAAGAGCGAGATGCAAGGAGTTCTCTCCTGTATCTCCCTCCCTTTTCATTCCTCCTTCGTCTCCTCTGTCCCTCCTTGTTCTTCCCACCCTTCCTTCCTCTTCTATCGGCTCTTTTTCTGAAAAACAAATCACCCTGTACATCTCTCTGGGCTCCCCTTTCCCTCACTCGCTTCCCCCTTTCTCCACCGTCCCCCAACTCTTGTTCTCATAGCCACGGCGAGTATGTGAGCAGGAAATATTACCATACCAAATGAAAGGGAGAGGATTTTTTTCTTCCTTCTCTTTTCATTCAACATTGCGTTACCTTCCCTCTCTCCCAGCCTGCTAATTAGTCGAGGGACTGGTGTTTGGGAGTTAAAACGGCACACGTTCATTCTCTTCCTTATACGAAAGGTTTTGATGGCGCTCCATCATCCGCCCGCAGTACCAGCAGCAAAAAAGGACAGCACATACTGTAGAATGAGTGTAGATTTTCTTTCATTTTCTTTCATCACTTTCTTTCACACTGCACACGTAACTTTCACTTGTCTCTTTCTGTTCGCTGGGGCACTTTATTTTTAATTTTTCAAATATGTTTAACTTTTTAACTTTTAGCTTGTATTCCTTTATTTTAAACTAATCCATAGCCTTATATTACTAACCCATAGCATTATATTTTATTTTATCCCTCTTGCACTTATCAAGTTTAGACTACTTGGCTGTATGTTACAATCACAAAGCCAACTCATGCAAGACATTAAAGTTAGAGATAATACCGACTGACTGACTTTTTTTTCGGAACATTTTTGTAGTCCATTTCTTAATGAGACTTCAGTCAGAATTAAATCACAAGAAAGCAAAGGGTGACATACAACATACCTCATTAATGATGTTATACTTTTGCAGATCGGTTTATTTCTAAAGTTACAAATGTCCAAGTCCTGTTCAATGCACATAAAAATGTGTGTGCGTCAAGTGGACGGTGTTGCAAAGTAAAGAATGGCATCTTATTTTTATTGCGAATGTTGAAGTTGACAAAATCTGCTGAGTGTGGAGCCTACTCTAATGGATATGTGGACATTTAGATGGCCTGTCACAAGTGTGTGTGTGTGTGTGTCAGTGCACATGTTAATCTGCTGGGCCAACTCATCTTATCCTAAATACCATGACCAATTTCACGCTCTCGTTGGAAAGGTCGTGCCACTGGTGTGTGTGTGTTTGTGTGGGAGCACGTTAGTGGCTACACACCGTGTGGTTTGTACCTGACGTTAACCCGGTTAACCCCAGCGTGGGTGAAAATCTGCTGTTGAGGCAGACTTTGGCAACAGAGATCTTGGATACCACTACTTAACGTCACTAGCCATCAACATCTGTGACACTCACACAGATGGAAGTGCAGACATACAGAGTGCCTTTATAAACTTACATTTAAAAATATCCACAATGAACAACACAGTTTCTTTAAAATTCACGTAAAACATAAAAAAAACACATGCAAACTCATCAAACATTAAGGATTGTTGATGTCGAAGTTTGGATCTAGAGTCAATCAGACACCGCAGATGTCTGATGCAACGAGCCCTCGGGGCTCAGGATCTTGAGTGAAAAACATACAAACTGGCTTAAAGAAAAAAAGAACAGTGTGGATTATTTTTACTTTTTGTTACGATGATATATTTTCATTTCTACTTATTTTGAAGAACCTTACCAGCACACTTCTGGTAAACACTCAATCGATTATGGTGCTTTTGTATGATTCGTTGTGTATAAACTTACAGGTCTGATGATTAAATTAACTAACCGTTTAGTCAACTTAAAATTTCTTTGGTGCAACACACTTTCTAAATCAATATCCGATACCTAAACGTATGTATTGGCCGATACCAAGTACCTATCAAATACCAATGGGAACAAAGAACAAAGGGTTAACAGGTCATGAATCCCTCTCTAATATTTACAACACCTCCTTCAATCAATTCTATTTTCTCCCCAAAAAATACCTTTCACAAGACTACATTTGAATACAATGAGATAATGCAATCTGATTGTGATTATAACACAGCATGTGACGTGCTGTACAATACAACTTATGATATAGCTTCCAGACACGAGTGAATCCATCAGCTTGCGAGAGATGTACAGAGACGGACTGACAGAATGAGAGATCAACTCTGACACAGAGTGCACATAAGAAAGAATCAAAAGAAAGAATGAGAAAGTGTGCGTGTGCGTTTGTGTGCCTGTGTGTTTAAGTGCGTGTGAGAGTTTAAGTGTGGGTCTTCGAAGCCCCCGTTGATCATCTTGACACATGTCTGAGCATTTCTGTCACTTTAATGTCACTGTGGAAATTCTGCAGATTAGTACAAACATCCGTCATGGTGCCCGGCCGATCCAAGTCACCAGAAGGCATGCAATATTAAACGCTCATATTCCCCACAGCCTTTCATGCTCCAATATTACAGAGGCAGAAGAAAGGTCCTGAATATTCACTCAGCGAGATGACATGGACAGGTTTGGAAGAAAAGTGTGCGCGCGCGCACACACACACACACACACACACACACACACAGACGATCACGTAAAAGGACTGTGTTCAGATACCTACATATAGGGCACACACCCATTCACACAGTAGTCTTTCACATAAGTGTAGTTTAGATATACACACAACCACACACACACACACACACACACACACGATAACGTAAAAGGACTGTGTTCAGATACCTACATATAGGGCACACACTCATTCACACAGTAGTCTTTCACATAAGTGTAGTTTAGATATACACACAACCACACACACACACACACACACATACAAATAAAGCCATATTGGTTATTTACAGTGCATCTCCCCAACACAAAAGAAGTGTGAGAAGAAAATAAATTGTTTTTGAGGACGGCATGAGACATGAGACAGAAATAAAAATGGAAGAAAGACGGATGAGGCATGAAAAACAATGTAAAACAGAAATGAATTAAATACTTAGAAAGCGAGGCAAAGCGGAGTGAGCGGGAGCAGAGACCACGGTGGAGTGAAATGAAGCGAGGGACAAACACAGACAGAAAGAGAGCTGATTAGAGATGCATGCTGAGGGAATGTCATTGTTCTAGTCGATTTGAGACATTATTTAAACTGAGACCCAAGAGGGAAAGAGAGTATATGAGAGAGAGAGAGAGAGATCGTCAAAGGGAAGTGAATGGAGGGACCAAGAGAGGAAAGCGAAAAGTGTCAAATAAGAGAAATGTATATATTTTTACTTTTATGACAAACTCTATTTTAGGAGTTCATTTAAGATAAAACCTTAAATGCACTGGTGTGCGCGGGAGGGTCTTTGTCATTTGGGTTTGAGAGTACGCGAGACAAGCAAAGAACAGCTGCTGGTTGGCAGCGCTACCTCTTTACTGACGTCCTCTGTCTGAAACATGCATTCACACATGCACGCGCAAGCACGCACGCACTAATAGGGGGACGCGGGTGCATGAATGATACATTAGTAGTGAATAATGCAGGCTGTCCTGTGCTACGGTGAGGTGGAGCAGTCACACTGAACTTTTCACTGCTGACCGACCAGAGGCTTCTTTGGGGTGATGCCTACTACGACCTGGCAAGTTGGATTAGCTTTGGTCGCAAGCAAAGGCCCACTCCTGAGGTGGTGGTTAACATCAAACTCGACTGAAATTACATTGTGAACCAGCATATTGCAGCCTACCGGTATGCAAACGGTTGCTGTGGATAGTACTTTTGCTTTACCACAGTATTATGGCAATGGTGCCACAATATTAAAGAGGCCACTGTGACGAGAAACATACAGTGAAATATGCTTTTGAATTCCAAATAATTAACCCAACCATTATATTCTAGCCCAACGACAATCCAAGTCCCTTTGTCTATCCAACTATAATGTTTTATGAACACAAAAATAAACCACTTTAAAATGTTAGTTTAGGTTTACCGGAATCTTTTCTTCGGCACACAGTGAGTCAATGTGATAGCAAGCATAGACTATTAGACTAGATTAGAGTTTTAGAATAGAGAAGTGACCCACTGTAAATCTAATTGAAAATGTCTCAGACACCATATGATCAGTTATCATAAATCACACAACCCCTCCAGCCGTCCTGTGCCAATGAGGCTGATGTAAGCTGTCAGTTATTTACAACTTTAACAGCATTAAGTGTATTGCCTGATTTAACAGTCTGACCGCACTGATAACTGTCTAAAATATCAGGTTCAAAGCAGAACCGCCTGACACCACAGGTAAACAGCATGTGTCCAAAGGCATAACAGTTAATGCCACTCAATTTCTCAAAAAAAAAAAAGGAAAAAACTATATTTTACAAGGAAGGAGTTCTAGTTAATGTGTTTGAGTGTTCATAATTTATTAGAGAAGTCCCTTTAATGTCCTCAAGAAGAAAACTGCTTAATTAAGACCACGAGGACTCTCTCCGCAGGGGGACTCCTCTGTGCTCGGTGTTTGTGTGTGTTTACATGCTTGAAAATGTAATGAAATTACTAATATTGATAATTGTGAATTCAAAACACGCAGTAAAGGCAAACCAATGAAAAACCTTGATGTGAGTGGAACGTGTGTGTCAACATGACCCTCTAAAGACCTCACAGTACCACCAAAGGGTGAGTGAGGTCCAACACCACACTTACACATGTAGTTAATACTACACATCAAGCTTTTGTGTGTACTCACATTGTTGCCCTCCGTGTGGCTCTCAGGCAGACAGAGACAGTGGTACGGCGTCACACTTGTGTCACAATGGTCTGCGTGGCCGTGACACTCACATCTGGCCAGATGATAGCGACAAGAAGAGAAAGACATTTAAAAAGAAATTCTGACGACAATGAAAATACAATACCAAAGGTAAGTAGCAAACAACCCTCTCTTCAAAGTTTCTGTTGCCACCTCCTCCACCAACGTCCATGGAACCGCTGTCTACCCATTAAGAGTCCCATTCAACTTCATTAAATGCCATCCTGAGAACTATTAGAGCAACATACCAGGTTGCCATGTCTCCATCTCTCTCACACACACACACACACCAATAGTGGGCTATAATGATTCATTTAAACAAAAATAAATAATCTTCCTGCTGACCCTATTTCTAACTTTATGAATCATTTTCAGCCATTTCGACACTGCGTGAATCTTGAAACTAGTTGGGACATCCACTAAATTCAACTAAATTCAATTTTTATGTAAAAGTGATTGCATGTATTGTTTACGTCATTAGATTTTCTGAAATGAAATGACAGGAATTATAAAAAACACAATATTAAGGATAAACTAGAGAGTTCTGACAAAGTTTATTCTCAATGGTTTTACTGTGTCACAATACTGTGTGGCAATTTGATATAAGAGGCACTGTTCTAGCATGTAAAGCGATGCTCATGAGAGCCAACAATAGAGCGAAACCCAGGTTATGAGTGTGCTCTCTCTATCACCAACACGTTTACGTGCATGAAAATGAATGAAAACAGAATTGGAAAAGGTATAAAAGAGGGGGGAGAGACGGGAAGGGAGGACGAATACACAGATGAGATTTCAGCAGCTCTGAATCTCTGTTTCCACCACTTCACTGTAACAAGCTACTAATTAAAACAGCTTAGAGGGAGGGGGAGAAAGAGTTAGAGATGATTGCCTCCTGCATAATCCTGTAATTACCACAGTCATAAAAAACAGTCACTCTGTCAGTCTAATGAAGAGATGTGTTCACAATTACTCTCTGAAAGCTCTGCTGAAACTCAACAGTCTGTGTGAAAATATCTAGATGTCGAGCTCAGACGTTTTTAAGGAATCAATACTGAGTGTCTGTCAACCGAGTAGGCCTTTGAAATGACCAAAACAGACAGAAGGGACTGTTAAGCCAAACCCCCCAAAATGCTGGTTCTTATACATTAATTAGAACAATTATAAACACAAAATATTCAATTGTTAAGCCAGAATATCAGATTATGAATAATAAATAAATCCAGGCCTCAATTTCAATTTAATATATATATATATATATATATATATATGAAATATATATTTAGCTTAGCTTGAGGACTCAAATGTATACTTATCTGTGTGCGACACATAATAACATAATAAAATTAAATAATATACAATAACTGCAATTCAAATACAATAGTGGGATCTGATAAATATGTGTAGCTTCTCACCTGCCACTGATCGTGATCTCATTGATGGCATAGAATCTGTGTCCCTGATTCACCCCGTCTGCCACGGTGTGGTACTGTCCACTCAAGTGCATCCTGACCTGGGTGGCATGTACCATCTTCTGGAGGGCAGGGGTGTTGTAGAAGTCACTATAGCCTGGCCTGAGGTTTGGCTCTGGGGTTAGAAGGCTAAATGTGATGTTACCTCCTGAAAATGGCACGTTGCTGGTACACAAGAAACACAAAACACAAATTAAACAGAAATGCATAAAATTATATAAAAATAGAAAAGGACCAAGAATCAAGTTGTATGTTATATTCACCCCAAAAATAAATTAAAACAATTTAACCCCCAACCAAAACATCAATTGTGGTACACACCTTAAATCCAGTATCAGCTAGAATATAGTACATTAAAAAGAAAACAGTAAAGTTGATAATGCGACACACGTGCTATTGCAAATCTAAAACTGTACATTTGTTTTCCCCTCTAAAAAAGATATTTTAAGGTTTATTTGGTTCCAGTTCTCACTTGCTTTGGACAATACAGTTAATCTCATAAAAAAGACGTTTACCTGACTATCTGTACAGACAGACAAAACAAATGGATCAGTTACAACACTTCAGGACCAGCACTGTAATTGACTGGTATGAAAACACCTAAGTGGCATGCTTGAATTTATCTTGCCAGACACTCGAGCAGCCTCAGAGGAGGTAATGTCTCTAGCGTAATTAAAAAAACTTGAACATCAAAAAACATCAATCAAGATCAAAGACAGAGCTCTTTTTGATAAAATGATCAACTGCTAAAGTCACAGAGGTTCAATTGCTCTCATGCCAATTTAACTAACACAGTATGTGATATCACTCGTCAGTCAAATGAACTTCTAGGGCTAGGACTTCACAATCTGTGATCTACTCATACCAGTTCTATTGAGTGCCAACAAGGCCTTGAAACAAACAGCAAAGCCAAGATTTAGTGTGTTAGATTGTGTGTGGAGGCCAGTTTTAAACCCAGTGCAAATGAAAGCCTGTTAGTGGTCATGTGCCAGACAGCGCTGTAGGTGGGTAGCTTTATAAACCTGGTCACTGTGAGAGTGCCAGAGTGTGTGGATGTTAACTGGTTGGGTGTGTATTGTGTGTGTATTGGGTATGTATGATTTCCTTTGATTTCTTTTAGATTTTAGTACATGTTTGCGTGTGTGCATATACTTTTGTATTTAGTCTTGCCAGTAATTTCTGTGTAATCTCCTCTGGTTTAAAGAGGCTATGACCACCCAATAGAATACAGCTCCCACACATGGTTCTGCTGTGGGGAGAATACCCAAAACAGAATGTTATTTTCAGTTCATAGCAGAGTCCATCCCGGCTGCAGATTTGGGGTTCATAGAGTTGAAGTGTCAACTTTTGTGTTTCCTTTTCTCATTCGGAAACACGGATAAATCATTTTAATTGAGTGTTTATATAATGCATTAACTAATAACAAAAGATTTTTTATTTTTTATTATTGATGTGTAAACTGTAGACAACAAACATGTGTACAGTATACTATACTGGTTTCCCTTTTAACAGTATGGTAAAAATGCCACCCCATTCACACGTGGTACCTACCTGGGCAGCTGCAGACAGTTGACAGAGTCTGGTCTCAGCAAAGGCCCGTTGTTTCGCATTTCAAACACACTGCAGTTTCTGGCCATGTATTGCCAGTCCGACCAGGGCTGTTCTGTCGAGGTGTCACTCTCGAGCACTGTGAGGTCAAGCCTTCGTCTTTGGATCAGAACGGACTCGGGCAGGAGCCCACCAAACTGTACTATAACATAGAATATCTGGAGGAGAAGAAAGTACTCATTTGGATTCACAATAACCCATAACAAGCATGTGATACTTCTCTCCATGTTTTTTTTTTATAGTTTTTATTGATATGGACAAGATATGAATACATTTTGGTCAGTTATTAAGTGTTGATTGAATCGTATTCTAAAGGGAGGATAGGCGCCGTCTCAAATGGTAAAAATGTAATTTTGCTCATGAGTCATTAATTGTGTTTCAGTACGGACAACCTAAAATTATGATAAAAGGTTTTAATTGTAAAAACAGATACAACAAATAGACACATATTCACATGAACACAGACACACAAGTAGTCTCCCACAACACATAATCCTTGCCTGTGTCTGTGTGGGTATGTGTGTTAAGTGTTATCTGCCCCACTACAGTGTGGGCTGGGACACTGGGTTACACAGCAGGGAGCGCATTAAGCCCCCCTCCTCCCCCCGCCCCGCACACACAAGCACACACACACCCACGCACAAACACATGCACACAAACAACCAGGACTTCAGAAAGTGTCTTTTATCTAGGGACTTGAGTTGAGCTTCCGCGTCCTGATAGCTCCCAAAATCCTGCCCACACTCACATACACACTTCAGAGAGAAGAGGGACGACTCTCTTAACAGGCCCAGTGTCGACGGCGCCCAAATCCAGCAATATCGCTCACTCCCTCTGCTCTCCTGTCTATCTCGCTGCAGTGCTTAGAAAGAGGATGAAACTACAGTCCACTGCACCTACAGTACAGGTGCGAGCAGTTGGAAGGTGTACAGCGCCTCAACTGCACACTCAAAAAGGTTGAATGTCCAACCCGAAGTAACAAACCATGAAGGAGCAGGCAGGCCATTTAGCAGACCCAATGATCTCAAATAACCCACATTTCTTCTTGTGTGACTGGGACAAAACATGTTATTGGTTGGTGTGTAGATGCGTTACCTGGTATTGTCCATTCACCAAATTCACGGTAAGAGTGACTCCTTCATCCAGTTCTTGTGTAGTCATGATCTTAGAAAGCCACGAGGTTCCCATGTCCTGATCATTGATGTAGCTTAGTGGATGGCCATTAAGGTTGAGTCTTAAGACTCTGTCATTGGTGGTGTCCTCAACCCCATTGGGAATGCAGTATCTGTTAACGGTGGAAGTATCTCAACTGTACATTAGTGTTTCTAAGGGGAGAATATTTTTAAGACTGAACTAAGTAACAGTAAGACTGAAGAGTGAAACTTTTACGGTTATGGTTCTGTACCTCTCAATCAAAGGGTGTACTTTGGGGTGACTGGGAGGACAGCGACACTCTGACTGGGAATGGAGATTGGGCAGGACCCCCGAGTACACCTCCACCACTTCCCTGTTGAATCAAGAAACAGCAGATATCTCTGAGGTAAAATGAGTTAAAAAAATAAGAAAAAAAAGAACACAAGGATTCCTAAAATGTGGGGCATGAACTTGTAAGACAATTGAACAGTGAAGGGACCATGAACCACACTGACAGTGACCCAACAAGGCCTTTCTAATAACTTACAGTTAGAGATACAAAGACCCTTGATGGGCCTTTGACTAAACATTTAGTGCAAACTGGAAAATCAAAGGAACAATTTAAAAACTCAATCTTTCATTTTGTCCTAACCCAATCTTGATGAGAGAGACTTGTAAGCTCCAAGTCCTGACTGTGTGCAGTGAATCACCGGTAAGTATAACACTAATTGCCTTGTATTGAATTCTCAGGAAAATCCTCTGGAAGCAGTATGGATCTTAAGATGCAACGATTAGCCTTCGCTATCCTTCCTCTTACCATCTTTCCCTTTATCGCTCCATACAGCTCCTCTACCCGTGCTACTTTAATCTATACAACACCCCTGTCTGTTTGTCTTTATTTTGATCCCGTCGCTTTATTTAATCTCTCCATTGCTAACATTTCACTTCCACTTCCTACGCCAATCATGGTTACCTTCCTTCTTTTCTTTCACTATACTATTCTTTGGCCCTTCTTTCATGCATCCTTCTTTCTCTCCACACCGCTGCTCATTACATGTCTCACCGACTTACTCACCTGTTGGTCAGAGCGACAGGATAAAATCTAAAGTCCTGCATCCGTCCAATGAACTGATTAGACCCTGTAGAGATGAAGAGAGGGGAGAAGAGAACATAAAGAGGGCGTTAATGGGTTTGTACCGAAGGCAGTGAGTGAGAGGATTTCACAGTGTTTAGTAGATTATCTTATCAGTTTCTTGATAACAGCTAAGTGAGGATGCCCACAGCTGCTTATAATGGCCGAGTTCATGATACATGGACAAACATGATCGGCCCCAGGTCACATTTGCTTCCACTAGAGAGCAGCAGGGCTTACAAGGACAAATTCATTAGCTTGGTTTAAGACCGCGGCCAAAATAGGTCTGTCTAGGGATAACCAAGTTAGATTTAAAAAAAAGAGAAACCTGAGGGGTGTTTCTTCATTCCTTCTTTTGGGTGGTTCTCTATCTCTGTCTGTTATAGACATTAAATCAGCTGCAAAAGCAAACGCTGAACTAGTTGGTACATTTAGTAGGCTTTAAGAGCAAATAAATATATGGTCCTTGATTGATAGTTTTTTTTCTCCAAATATACTGTTGATATATTGTTTGCTCTATAAGTGACAGAACATTTTCAAGAATGTTCCATCAAAACGTTATCTTCAAGGCAGGAGATATTCCATGTTTAATTGAATCAAATGTGTGAATTTGGGACACTTGAAGAGAAAAATCAGGTTCTTTCTAAAACAATGAATGACATCTTTCATCTATCTTTGATACGTGACAACACGTGTTTTAGCAGGAAAACGGTAAAGGGGTGTCTGGCTGAGGTTGATAAGAAAGGATCTGCAAAAAGGTAAATACAAATATGTTGGACAAGAGATGAAACATATCAAAAATATGCCAAGACACCAAAGTCTCAAGGAAACGTAAACTAGAACATCTCAAACTCATGGGTACAATGTCCAGACACACATGTGGATACTGGACCGCGGACAAGAAACACCATCAAACGTCTAAATGAACACAGGCAAGTCCCCAACTCATCTCCACACACAACTATCCATACGTGACACTGCTGGACAGACTATAAGATGGGGATTGGGGTCAAAGAGAGCCGGCGTCTTTTAGAGTCCAACAAACTTCTATCTAGTTTGACAAGAAATCTTAGAAGACGGATAACGTCTCTTAGCATCGACAGAACCGCTGCCATGTCTAGCTTTTTCTGTGAAGGTGTGTGTGTTACAGGCATCCTCTAACACACACACACACATGCATCACACACCCATCCGTGAGCAGCCTCACTTTAGAGAAACTGGGTGGAAAAGTGTGTATGCATGACTGTGTGTATTTGCATTTGAGAGAGGCTTTGCCATGTTTGTCCCAACTACAGTGTGAGCGTTTGTGTGTGTTGGAGGGGTGTATGTGTGTGTGTGTGTTAAAACAAAGAGTGTTATGGGATGTAAGTGTGTTCGAACAGTGTGTGCTTGTGCAGCCTTAGGCTTTGGCTGAGGATTTCTTTAGCGTGTGGAAATGGGATTATGTCTTCCTCTGAAAAGCACTCTCCCTATTGTTACTGGGATGACTCAAGGTATAAGCCTTAATTCTCTCTTCTCTGTCTTCTCTCTCGATGTTTCAGTTCGCTCTCAGTTTCCTCTTGTGTGTGTTTTTGCGTTGTTAGAACTGATGATCGTTAATACAGGCTACTAGGAGTTGTGTGAGCCTTTTGTACAGGTTTTTCCTGCCTGTCCTTTGCTGGTGTGGTGTCCATTGTGGGATAAACGCTTATTGCTAAAAAACAATTCAGACCATGAATGGTATCAAAAACTGTTTTCCTTGAATTTCTGTTGATCTGTTAGTAGTGATGTTAAAACCGATCATGTTATCTTCTCTTTGACAACTTACTGCTGTACTTATCAGACACACAGTTTTCAGTAAACAGGGTCTCCCCAAAAAACAGACAAGCTTTTAATCAATACATCTGATCAGCATTCGCATAATCAATCCACTGATCAAAATTCAAGACACAGGCCGCAGGTTTAACACACACACACACACACACACACACACACACACACACACACACACACTCTCTCTACTCCTTGAGCCAATCACTTGCATTGATCACAACCACTGATGTGATCTTCAGCTGATCAGATGCTAGCTGCCGTGAACTAGGGATCAATGCCTGATAAACGAGAAGAAAAACACTCGTTTATCACTCTGGAGATGAACGGATATCATTTTTCTCTCAATTTCTCCCCTATTGACTGTGAGACGGCTTGCAGGCACCACCAATCAATCACACATGTGTAGTTGAAGCGGGATAAAGGCTGGAAGGAGTATAAAGGTGGAGTAGTCATTGACACCATATTTAGATATACAGACAAGATAAACTAGGAGGTAATTCTCTCCATATGGAGAGAAAAGACACTGGACCCTCTTAATGAGGAGGGTGGGAGAAAAACAGATGTCCTCCCTTGCTGTTTTGAGTTTTCTGCTTTGGTGAAAAAGCGTCATTCGTACATTTCACTAAATGATCATCTCTTGAACAGTGTAAAAAGGGAAAATCTCTAGCATTTTTACCGTTGGAGCTGAGTCCCACCCACATTGCACCACCCTCGCTGATGGCAGAGAGCCTGGCGGTCAGAGGTTGTGTGTCAAATGGCGTCCCATCCTCCTCCAACCCATCCAGGAATAGACTCACACGTCTGTCGTAGACCTGAAAATCAGACAGATTGAAACCTTAGTTTGTGTTGAATGCAGTGAACGGTCAACATTTTATTAGACTAAGGAAGGCACAACCCGTCACAGTCTAATTCTGTATGTGGATTTTGTCTAGACAGCATCTACGGAAACTCTACACCAAGTTTACAAGTACAGAGATGATAAATTATTAAATCAGCATTTCCATAAATCACATGCGAGCATCATAGTGTAACCTCCACACATGTAAGGGAGCGGCCTGAGGGGCGGATGCAGCAGCGGTTTACTGCTGTAACACACAACGTCTCAGTGAGACCAGTGCATGCAGATCTGTCTCAAAAAGTGTATATGCGCTCTGCCGGTGTGTTTTTCTGCATATATATCTTTGCACGTGTGAGAGTGTGACCATGTGTGTGTGTGAATTATACATACGGCTAATCTTCCAGCTCATTCCCCCCAGTAGCAGAAAGAGCCTCGGGCTAAACTGCCTCAGCCGCAAATTAGCTTTCTGTTTGACCAAAAAATCTCCTCTCCACTCCTTCCCTCGCTCCTTCCCCGATTGGCTGCATGAATAATAAAAACTGCACGGCGGACAACATAGTCAAAGCAGGGGCCAGCTCGCTTTCACATCAAACCCAGGCAAAAAGAAAGATACTTCTAAAGAACACGTGCCCTGCCCCACCCTCTCCCTCTGCCCCATCTCTAAATTCTCCATTTGGGCAACACACTGTGGGAGCACTGATAAAACGGGGCTCTCCCTGTCTTACTAGAGTAAGACCTCCTCCTCCATCGTCTCTGGCACTCCTTGCTTTGTCCTTCTCCTGCTCAAATGACCTCCTGAGGTCATTGGACTTCACCTTTTTTTTCCCCTGTCCCCAGTCCCTCCCCATTTTGCATAGCCTTCTTTACTTTCTCTTCCTTCGGAGTCGCCGACTTCCCCCGGCCATCTCGCTCGCTGTCTTTCCCTCATGTTTATCTTGCCCTGTCGCTCTCACTTGTTGTCAGCTCTTTAGGGAAGTTCAAAAAAAAAAAAAAAAAAAAAAAGGTGCGAGAAATAAGTCCAAGTCAAAAAACGCCTTTAGGGAACGACGGCAATCCCAGACAAGTGTCTGCTTCTCAGAGGATAGTTAAGACGCCCAGACAGACACTTTCATGATGGCTGATTGAAGACTAGCAAGTGCATGAGAGCAGAAGAGAATTGGAGTGGAAAAAAAAGAAAAGAGACAGGAGGTAGAGAAAGAAGAGTCAGAGAGCGGGTGTAAGAGAGGGAGCTAGAAGAGGGGCCCTCTGTAGAATCTCTAAGCCGGAGCTGTGTGGCTCTTGGGGAGATGTGAGGCAGTTGTCAGGCCTGATGTAAATGAACCCTGAAGCGCTTCATCCTCCTTAGCTGCCACGCGCCCTTTTGAAACACAGCCAACTCCCCTTTGTTAGCTTTCACAAACACTTTCCCCGTCCATCTGTATTTTTACTTCTTTTCCTTTACCTTCATTGTACCTTTTAGCCAGTTTAACTTCAGACGTCTTTGAGAACAGAGGGGAAAAAGGAGTTAAAGAAATGCTTTAGTGTTGATAACTATAGTCTCATTTGGACTGTGTCCACGACGCCAGAGGAAAGAAAGTTACGACTTTAAACTGAACCGATTCTCCTCTCTCTCCTGAGGGCTTTCAACGAAAGCACTTTACAGTTCAATCACGTGCAGATGCCTATTTTAGATATATGCTAAGCTACAATAGAGCCCACAAGTAGTGAACACTAACTTTAGTTAAGTAACTGTTCACACAATTAATGAATAATAAACGTTTATGGAATATTTTTTATAACTATTGAGTGTCCAGGGGGTTTTACATCACATTTGTTAATTGTACACTTGTTCAGTGGAGCGTGCTGCACCAAGCATGTTCCCTGTGCAACCTTTTACGAGCAAGGTGTACCTAATAAAGTGGCCGGTGAGTGTACATGCATACAAACAGAGACACCTTCCGTTTTAAGTTAAATTAAATATAATTATCTTTCACTGTGCAAGGTCCACCAATAGCTCTTGTTCCTGGGGTGAAACTTTTTGCCGTTTTGCTCTTCTTTCCTGCAAAACTCTTTCACATTGAGATTAAAGCTGAAAAAGGAAGGGATGTCTTAAGCAGGGTTCATTGCAGGGCCAGTCTGGATATTAACAAAGGCCCCAACTGTGGTTGTGCCACTATTAATGGCTCCATTAGGAACTGGTCTGGTTGCATGCTTTTTGCTCCTGAAACTTTTACCATTTCTGGATCAAACTGATGGCTGTGAATTTGTCAACATACCTCATCATAGCAGTGCTAAAACCTTTGGCCTTGACTATTAAATTAAATGTAGTTAAATAGATAGTTTCATTGTTATTCTTTCCTTATTGAACTATTTATTTCAAAAGTTTGCTGTGCTCTTAGGGAGTTTCGAGCACCATTTCCCTGTGTACCACCCAGCCCACTGGCAATGTTACCACCTAAGCCGCTCTAAAAGCCCAGGGAAACCCTGAGTGGAAAGCTTTTAGTGATCTGTAGACTGGCATTTGACTAAAGCTCTTCTCAATTTTCACACTCCTGCCAAGCTATGGCTCAGTACACAGTTTGGACAGCAGCGTTTCTTCTAAGCTCACTTTGTAGATGTGGGACCCAAACAAAGTGGTGGCAGATAAAATATGAACAGAAATAGAACAAGCAACAATACAGAACTTTTTTTCTTCAATCAAATTGATCTTAAAATGTATTCTTCTTTAAAAGTTTGAAGTGTTTCTGGACTAAAGCTCCTTAACTGATCCCAAACAACACATTACATTACATATAGCTGACGCTTTAGGAGGCATAAGAGTTAGCCTAACTAATTCACTATATTACAATTTAAAATACGTTTAAATTTATATGTGAAGGGCTATCTTAGCTGCCAGTGACAGTTTGAGGTCAGAGAAGATGAGAGGGACCTTAAGAATGACTAACACTGAAAACCAATTCTAGATACATATTTTACTGCTGCCTGATAGTCTATAAAGTGCTAAAGAATCACAAGGCTCTCTGCAGGGGCTTAATGTTGTTTGTGTGCATGTGTGTGAATGTAAAACTAGTTTACACACTCACACACACACACTCTCTCTGCAGTCGGTTTGACCTTTATCACAGAGCATACCAATTCCCCGTCGTACACATTTTTCTCATTCACCCATTTCAGCTTTTGCTAATTGGCTCCTCTGCGCTACTCAAACAATTACATTTTTATTGACAATGAAAACATTAAAATTCCTCAAAATCACACAAGGAAAAAAAAAACTAAGGATTCACATATTTGACTTTTACCTTGGGTTTGGGCATCGCCGGTTACCAAGCATTGATCCGTCTCACTGTACAAAAGTGGCTGGGATCGTTCTTTTTTGTGTAAACTTGAAAATGCAATGAAAAATAACAATATGTTGTTTATTGTTATAAAGAAATGATACGTTTTCCAGCACGTGAAGCTGGGGAAACATGTCGCAGCCTCTCGCACCATCAGCACCGGTTCCCCCCAAGGCTGCATGCTTTTCCCCTCCGCTCTTCTCCCTGTACACCAACAGCTGCACCTCCAGCCACCAGTCTGTCAAGCTCCTGAAGTTTGTGGATGACACCACCCTCATTGGATTGATCTCTGGTGGGGGTGAGTCCGCCTACAGGTGGGAGTCTGACCATCTGGTGACGTGGTGCAGGCAAAACAACCTGGAGCTCAACGTTCACAGTGGAGATGGTTGTAGATTTTAGAAAGAACGGAGTCCCACCTTCCCCCATCACTCTATGTGACTCCACCGTCACCTTCTGGGCTCCATCATCACCCAGGACCTCAAGTACTCAGCTCCATCACCAATAAGGCTCAGCAGAGGCTGTTCTTCCTGAGGCAGCTAAAGAAATTCAACCTGCTTAGGACGATGATGGTCGTGTAGAAGTGCACCATCATCGAGTCCATCCTGTGTGATGCCAGTGAATAATTAAAATTCCAGGCCAGATTGGATCAATCCAGCTGTTTGAGTTGGTATCAACCTGCTATCCAAGATTTGATCACTGCACCGCTAACAGAAACAGAATAACAAGAAGAACAGACCCAACTTTCCCAACCACCCCAAAGTGAAGTGTGGTTGCGTACGGCAGGTATAGTGCTGCGCAGCTTTAGAGAGTGTAACAAGTGGAATACATGAATGTACATTAATTAAAACCTTTGCAAGAACACCTGTAGATTTGCCGCGACGTGGAAATGAAGAGAAGCTGAGCCAGGACATCCAAAAAGGTTAAGACAAGAAATAAAGGAGAAAATAAATATTGGTGCAAACCGGTTGTTTCACATTCCTGTGCAGTTAGGTATTTATTTACATTGCTATTGGATTCAACTCACTGATTCTGCAACATATGTCAGTATAATGTCATTATTACCTTATAATCAACTGAAAAAAATGCACAGCGTCCGTTTCACAATATTTCTTATAAGCCAACTAATACACATCATTTGAGTGAAATATTTGCAACAAGACACCTTCCAGTCAGCCTTCAGGTGTTTTAATAAGATGTTCATTAAGCTTTAACCAACACAAACACAGAGCAGCTTTTCCAAAACCATCATCATTAATATAATCTGCCTTACCGACTAAGAATCATTTTAACTTAAAGATGGGAAAAAGCTTGCTGGAAAGTCCCAAACATTCATGTCCTCTAAAGGGGAACAAAGAGTGAATCAAAAAGTGTTAAGTGACTTTATGCATCCCTAATTCTACACTTTTGCATCCCCAGGCATACTGTCACCTTTTCCCTCCCTGTCCTGTTATCTCTCTCCTTGTTATTCACCCACCAAGCATTGTTACTCCTCGCTCCCCTATATACACCTGCCCTTACCCACTATGAACTGTTAGCAGCTCTGATGTACAGCCAATATTCTCTCTATCATATTAGCACGGCTGCAGTGTGTAAAGAAAGATAGGAAGAGGAGGGAAAGGAGAGAGAGAAAGAGAGAGAGTGGAGAGGAGACACATTTGTT